AGCTATGGTGCAATTGGCAAAAAAAGAACAACAAAAGAAGTGATGAAGAATCGCAGGAAAATGGGCTTGGGCGATGCATCGTTTGGTTGACCCTTGTACCTGCAACGCGTCTTGACATGTTTCCCTATTTGGACATGCCAGCGCCAGGCGCGCGACGTGATTTGGCCGTGAATGGAGCCAAAAGAAACGCGGATCGATTGTGCTCTTTTTTTTTTTTTTTTCTCTTCTAATTGCTAGCAGAGAGAAATTGAAGTCGAGGCGCCCGAAGAGCTAGAGGGGTGACTTCTGGAGGTGACTTGGGAGCCTGGCGCCCGCCGTACCGATACCAGCGGTCGGAATGCCGCTCTATGGAGCCCATGGATCGCTGGCGAAAACCCCCCTGGAGCCAACCCACGCCCCTCCCGGCTCCAGCGCCAGGGGACCGCCCGTTGGCGTGCTGTGCGTGCTGTAACCTGCTGTACTATGCGCTGTCCACGGCAAGCAGCAGCGCTAGCGCCCCCCTGTACCCAAGGTACTCTACCTGATCGACCTGCCGATGCAACTGGAGCTTATGTACCCAATTCAATTCCCACCGCCTCCTGCACGTCCACAACACACACGCCACTGCCTTACCACGTCCTTGTCCTTTCGCTACACGTCGAGACAGGCCATCAGTGCTATTTTCTATTTTTTCCCTCTTCATCCCCGGCACCCAATTGTTGTTTATCTTGGTCTTTAATCCTCCTCCTCTCCCCCTAATCCCATCCTCCTCAATCCGCTTCTCGACAATCCCGACAGCCCGACGCCCAAGAGAGTAATGCCTCTAGCTCTAGGCGCCTCTTAGATCAACAAACCCGCGACACAAACAACAACAACAACAACAACAGCTCTCCACCACCACAATGTCCAACAGCCCTCTGACACCGCCTGCATCCATGGCCGACCTGGATCATCGCCATCATCAGCATCTGCGGCATGTCAGCTCCCCTTCGCCTATCCGAACCTCTGAGTACATGCCCGGCCTGGCCCAGAGCGCGCTCCCCACCGTCTCATCCCCCACTACAGATAAACATCCCAAGGGCAAGAGAAAGCGAACAGCGTATGTCCACCTGATGCTTTGCTGCTTGACTGCTTGCTGGAGCCTGGGAACCATAAACACAGGTCACCTGGCTTCAGCTTCAGCTTCAATTGGTCCCGGATGCTTGGCAGACAGCTAACATGTTTACCTTTGCTTAATTAGCACCAAGGACAAGTTGATCCTCGAAGAAGCATACTCCATCAACCCCAAGCCCGATAAGCAGGCGCGTCTCGAGATCGTGAACCGCGTCTCACTTAACGAAAAGGAAGTTCAGGTATGTCATCTGCTTTAAAAATTTCGCACGTCCACTCCTTGCTGCCGAGCCGGGATCCGGGGTGGTCAACGCGTCTGCAAATTAGATCAATTAAAGATTTATGCAACCCTTTATGCTTCGAGAACAACACAAGCTGACAAGGCTGTTTACCGAATTAGATCTGGTTCCAGAATCGTCGACAGAATGACAGGCGGAAATCACGCCCGCTGTCACCGCAAGAGCTGGCGGCTCTTCGCTTCAGCGGCATGCACAACATCGCGTCAGACCCCATCACCTCCCGCAGCATCGTCGTCGAGCTGGATCCCGCCTCGTTTCCCTCCCCCGGCCATTCTCCAGATCTTGTCAACCATCCGCTTTCACCACCCTCTCACCATCCCAACAGCCCTCTGCATGTACACCCTCACCACCCTGGTGTAGAGGCCATTCATGCCACGCCGGCACCTCGCTACGGCTGCCCGCCCTTCTCTGCCAACGGTCTGCCACATGTGACACCACAACGACAATTGTACCCATCTTCACAGGATGAGGTTCATCATGCTTCTCACTCTGTCGGCTACCTGGCAAACCGATGGAACCTGGGCAATTCGTACGCCACGCCTCTCTCTCGTGACAACTCTGGGAAGTAAGTTATAGCATGTTTGATGGGATTGTATGTCGTCTTCATTTCGCTGACTTTGATTCCCAGATTCGACCCCTTCTACCCTTCCTCTTGCTCATCTAATCCATCTAGGGCATATCAGTCTCAGATGCGTCTTTCCCTTTCCCTTGAGGGCAAGGCTGAGCTGGTGGCCAACAATGAGTCATCTCCAGTCCGTGAAACCCCATCAAGGCCTTCGTCTACTCTGCCATCTCTGCCCCAGTTTCGGCAGCGTAGCCTTCAGCGTAGCCATAGTGCACTTCCTGCTGTCACTTTACCCCCCATCTCAACCTTGACCAACTCACTTCCACCACGCCTTGTTCGTGGCCGATCCCGTGATGTTCATGCTTGGGAGCTGTGTGCCGACTCTGAGACTCGCGATGAGCTGACAGCTCAAGCTGAGCACGAGTCCAGCGGTTCTGCCATTGCTGCCATTAGCCTGCTCCGCTCCAGCAGCGGCATCCTGCAGCCTAGCAGCATTAAGCGCAATGCACCGCTGTCAAAGTACCAGCGTTCTCGCGGAACCAAGAAGCCCAGGCTCGGCCGTACCAGCTCTAGCGTTGCTCGGCTGGAAACATGCTGGGCAAACGATGAGAAGCCGCGCGAGTCCTTTCACGCAAAGATGAACGTCTCCATGCTCGTCTCCCCGTCCGACTCGGACAAGGAGAACTGGAGCCCGCGAGATGGCGCAACTTCTGCTGAAGGACGACGGCAAATGGCTCCTGGCAGCCCCATTAGATCGCAAAGTGCGAGACGCATCGGTCGAGCGCTGCAGGGCCGAAAGAGCCCAGCAGCGTTCCTGGTGCGGTCTGACACTGTGCCATCGGAGCCGTGTTCTCCCGTGAAAACGGGTGTCCATGGCTTCCGGGATCTAGAGGCCAAGGCTGAGTCCCCACGGGACGATGAAGTAAGCCGGTTCATGTGTGGCGAGGTCAGCCCCAGCAAAAAGGGCGACATGGACTGCGTTGCCGGCTTACTGTCTCTGAGCCAGGGCGCTTGGAGGTGAAGCAGGAGGCGAAGAACCGGGGAGAAAACAAAAAAGAAAAATTAATTTTGCTTGGAAAAAAAGAAAGACAAGAAAAGCATCACTGCACACACTCATTTGATCATTCCCTTTGTTTTTTATACGAAGGCATGAATTTCGAATTCTTGTACTCCCCTTGACGATTTTTGACATTTTTCTTTTGTCTTTAGAGGGCGAGGGGGATATCTGCATCAAAGGATATTTGACTATTATTCTCTCCCACTTTGGGAGAGACAGGAATGTTTGCTGGTTTGGACATTGCGGATAAGGGAGTTTTTTTGTCCTAGGGATTGGCTTGCGGCTGGAACTGGCAACAGTTGGATTGATTCTCCCAGGCCAGCAACAGCATTTTAAAACGGCGCAACGGAGCGGTGGGAATATTACTGGCGGGGGATAGAAAAGAAATTGTTACATCTACATTGTTTACTTAGCACCAATGCATGAGAATCAATGATATTAGAAAGCTACTGCATGATTTACTTGCCTTTCGAGGTCAACTTGCTTGAGTGACTAGACTCATATCTTCATTCACTTGAGTGACAGTGACTCCAGAGCCTTCGATCTTCATTCACTCGAGTCGGCATCATGCATTAGACGTGTCTATATAAGCGGTGAGTATGCAAATGGCCGCACGTAAGTGACTTGGCACGTAAGTGAACTGACCTCAAATTGTCTATATAGTCAGGGCAAGCTGGCTAGAAGCTCAATTCTATCCCGTAGATTTTCACTCATCAACTAAGTTCAACTTGGAACATTACATCCTTGGCCGTTGTCGCCACCTCAGCGGTGACGGCCGGAGAGCCCACGGAAAATGTCTACACTGAGGAAGATAGTCGAATGGCAAATGCAGCTTTGAACAAACTTTACAGATACTGAGTGAGACTCAGACCATCACTGAACTCTCACAATAGATTCTCTCTTAGAGGGATCGACAATACTTGTTGTCCCAACTCACCTCCACCACGGAGACTGCTTACAATGTCTTTCTTCCAACAAAAAGAGGCACTCTTTCAGATACTCAATCCCGCAGCCTCTATAGCACCTACTCTGATGGTGTAGCCTGTGTACAGGCGTATTGGGCGTATTCCTTGGAAATCTTTTACTACAGAATTCATCTCACCATGGACAGATTTACGCAGCAGCAGCCTTTTGCGGTGTATGCATACAGAATCAACAATAGCAATGTATCGCAGGTCAGTGACCATACCTCACGAAGACACGGCTTTCGATTGTCCCGCACCATGTGGTTGAATCTGATTAAACTGGTTCGCAATGGAACAGGTGGGTGTTCGATCGGAACAACCCACCAATACAGAGCTCATGTTGATACCTACCTAGTAACTTGAAAGCAGCAAAACAACATTCGGGGAGGAACAAGCCAGTATCGTCTTCATGTCCCACTGCGCCTGAAATACAAGAATATCGCGCCAACACTCGGTTGAATACCGCCATCTTATAAAACGTTGGGTCCAGGGAGATGGCGAACAACTCTAAGATCTATTGACCTATACCCTGGAAGAAATACGCCGACAGACTTTCCGGACCTCATCGATGAATCTCAGAGTGCCCGTGGTCAACAGGAAAGGTTGAGGCAATACACTTGATGGGGGGTTTCTTCCACCGACAAGCCCGGCCGATCCCAAAGTCGAATACAAAGGAGAGCCAGGTTCGATAAACGTAGGCGCCCAGTGTTTCCCACCTCACCACTCGATGTTGCGGCCAGCTAATTTGAGGCCTTAAAGAGATTCACAACCGGAGCCAACGATGGCTCAATCACCGAAGACGAATGGATGGATTTCAAGCAGAAGACTTGTACTGTGTTGAACATGCCTGAAGACGGAGATTGCCCCAAGGTGCCATCTCTCGCAAAGCCACCAAAGAAGGACGAGAGCAACACCGGACTGAGGAACACAAAAAAGAGGAAGAGAGACGGCTTCCTATGCATGGAGTTAACCCACAAATACATCTGCCTATACAATGAGCGCATTGTCATCTGCGTGGACACACCATGGATACAGCAGTAAGTTGTTTTTGCTTACTTTACTATTGGCAGAATGTCATTTTATATTCCAGCAGTTGTGAAACCGTTTACTTTTTACACCTTCTCTTTGAATCGGATAACTAAGTACTGACTATTTTGGAGGATGATGTATGCTTCCATGAAGATTGCTGGGTTCTACGATCTACGGACAAGCAAGGTTCCAAGATTGAGGCACTTCAATTGTTTACCGATGCCACGTTCCAAGCAAAGATTTTCGTGGCGAACATTAATATCATGGCAACGGGCGTGAACCTACATGACGCCTGCCGCGTCGGGGTTATTGTCAGCCAGCATTTCAATCCCAAGAGGAATCTCCAGATTCATGAGCGCCTGAACCGCCTGGGTCAGAAACATGTAGTCATCTGGCACTGCTTGAAGGTCAAGAATTCGTTTCACGACCACCAAGATCGGGTCATGCTGACGAAGTGGGCACGTCAGCTCTCCGCCGAGAGCAATATTAAGAAGTGGCTAGCCGGCGCCCTCCGAGAGATGATACTTCTTGAAACCATGAAGACCTACGCCAATCTCGTTGATTCTAATGTGTTCATGGTAAACACAAAAGGAATCGACTTTGAAGTTGAGACTACCCACTTGATAGCTGGGCCGACGATTCTCCTACACTACATACCTGTTCAATGACAAGCCCAGCAGACTGAGTGGCCTCACCACCACCAGCCAGGGCATCTCCAAGCACATCGCAATCTGCTGCGCTTCCAGCTGAGGGCCCTCGTCCATCGGCATCACCTGTAAGTACTAGGATACCAGCATCTGCCATTCCTCAGCTTCCTTTCCAATTGCTAACCTATCATCATAGCGTGGACAGACCAGGGTTACTCCATTCTTATATGACGCCTACCTCGACTAGCAGACGGCGCTGCCGGGATCGCTTCCAGAGAAGAAGCATGCCCAACTGTCGGCCATTGCCAGGGATGAAGAGACCGCCATGATGAAGGCTGAGCGCGAGAAGAATACCGGCCCCGAAGCCGACCAGGACATCAGCATGGAGAAACTCAGAGACATGCGTGACCAGCTGGGATATCAAACCCTGGCAACAGTCTCAATCGCCAATTGATCTCAAGAGCCGCGTCTTACCAGGAAAGCCCTGATAGCCCATTTGTTGGGTCCCAAGAGTTGGCTCCAACGGCCTTCTGGGAACCTACCAGAGCCAATTTGATCAGCCTGCAGGATCATCCTCTCCCAGCAGACTCCGCTAACCAGCGTTGTGTGCTTGTGAGAACCTATATGGCCGTGTATGATTCCTCGATCTCGCATATGATACATACAGCCCCTTGGGCGCCGGGAATTTACTAAAGAAGTCAATATGAACCTTACTGGACCAACAAACGTCCTCTATTATAGTATTCCGGACTATACTACGCTTATTCCTGCAACTATTGATACGCTTACAACAGCAACGCTAAGAGATCTTTATGGTATGGGAGAAGAAGCTTGCCACTGTTGTATGCCACACTGGGCATTGAGCGCTGCTCTCGCAGGTTCCCGCGACGACGAACGTCCAGTTTTTCTTTCGGGTTCTTTATTTAACACGGCTCTACAACGCCGTCCGTTGCCGCGTTCATCTTTCTTCATCAACCATGCCACTACTTTGCTCAACTGAAACCAGTACTCATGGGATTACCCACAGGAGCTTCTAGACGAACTCAGGAGCTTTTCAAAGCAGTACACAAAGGATAACCTACCACAAGAGTTGCTGCTTATTGGCCTTACAATATAGGCAGATGCAGTGAACGACAAGAATAAAAAGTTGGAGCCGTGTATGAAGGGTAAGCCTGCGGGTGTTATGCCATCAACGATACCACTACTTTGCTCAACCAAGCCTCCTCACTCCATGGAATCCCCCAAATGGGTTATTGGATTTGGGCAACGTGAAGCAACCGCTACATCTTCAGGGGTGTGTTCGTTCTCATCTGGAGACCCCTTGTCGACACCCGCGTCAACGAGATGCTTGCTCAGCGCTCACTAGAGTTGCTTCTTGTTCCATGTCTTGAGGGCGTGCTCAACCCCCTCATCAACGAGCGCCTCACTGCCGCTGGCATCGAACCGTCCGACCCAGTCGACAGCTGATCCTGATGAAAGTCGATGCCGAACCACCCTTCTGAGTACGCTACCGTTGAGTACCGTTCCCTTCCATGGCTTTCTGATGCTCAATCTTCGCCGCCGATTGTTGCCGTGCTTTTTCTTGTCGTTCTCTTTTAGCAACGATAGGACAATTTGCTCAATAAAGTTTTTTATTTTCATGGGATTTCTTTTATAATGGGTTATGGAATTCGGGCAACGAGTGGTAACTAGAACACCTTCAGGGGTGTGTTGGAGGAAGATGGGACCGGATGAGGAAGATGGCCAGTTGGAGGAAGATGGCCAGTTGAGCGTATCTATAAAAGGTCGCCCCCTTAGCAACATAGCCTAGAATTTAGCATCAACATCAATCAATCGTTCGCAACAACTTCTCTCAATTCTCTCTAATCTCAATATTATATACTGTAGTAGCAGATGCTAGAAGAATATAGCCATAGCAGCAGATGATCAAGGAGGCTGGTAATTCTTATAGCCTAGATCAGTACCCGTAGTAGCACATAAATGCCAATTTCCACGCGGTCGTTTGGATGCTGAATAGCTCCTCTCTAAATAAAGGCTCTACGACATTGAAACTGCAAGTCAGATAACTGATTCACCAAAATTTAACTCTGAACGTGTGTTGCAAACGAAATCTTCGTGTTCTTTGCATTTCAAGCGACTCAGGATCGTTACTTAAGTCGCATCTAGCTACATGTATGTAGTATCTTCTAGTCTAACAAGACTGTCATTTAAAGAGGGAGCCAAAAAAATCTAACCAAAAGGGGGACGTTATCCAGAGGAGTCCCATCCGTGTTCCAACGCCTAAAAACTCCAAACATATCCTATATCTATATGTTCAGTGAAAGTGTATAAGAATCAATGCCGGTGTAAGCAAAGCCTGCAATAAAAGTGCTGACATGACACGCTCATGTATAACTTGAGTAGTAAAAAAAATTGCACGAGTTTATCGAAATCACATGCCCAGCATGCTCATTTGCCTCCTTACGGGGCTGGCGGCAGTGCTGCCCTCTTCGCTCGCATAGTATGCGCTATCAGTGTCGATATCCCAGCTGTCGTCATTGTCATCATCACCATCAGGTGAAATGCCGGATGCATCGAAAGGCTTCTGAGCAGCGGCTCGAACGTTCCATCGCAGAGTGCGGCTGACACTGTCAAACCATTCCGTGTCGGTTCGGGTGACAGTTGGGAAGGGATACTGAGATGCCGTGATGGTAACGTGATCACCCTGCTTAAGCTCCACGCGTCCCTTGCCATCGAAAGCACAGTACGCGGTGGCTCGAGAGTTGCGCGGGACGGCAACACGAAGCGCCATGGTGTCGGAGAGAACCATGGGGCGGAATGAGAGCGTGTGTGGGCAGATGGGAGTCAGGAGGATGGCAGGGATATCCGGGTGGACGAGGGAACCACCAGCCGAGAGGGAGTAGGCAGTCGAACCAGTAGGGGTGGAAAAGATGCACCCATCAGCTTGGACAACTGTCAGGAGCTCATCATCTCCGTATAGCTCCAGGTTCGAGACATATGGCGATGGGCCGCGGTCAATGACAAGCTCGTTGAGAACTTCAAACTGCTCGCCCTCGTCAGGACCGTTTGATCCATCTCTCCACACGGTGCAGGTGAAGCGCATGCGGAGGTTGATCTTCATACCATCATCTCCCATCACGCGGTTAAGGTGCTTCTTGTAGTTCTCAAACTCGAATGTCGTCATGAAGCCAAGGCTGCCCAAGCTGAATGAGAGGACTGGGGGCACAATGCGCTGGAAGAGCCACGAGGTAAAGAGGACAGTGCCGTCACCTCCAAGGGTGAGGACCAGATCGAATTTCTCGGGCTGGCTCCAGCACAGATCTGGAGTCCAGTACTTGAGCATGGTCTCGAATCGCGCGTCTTGAGCGACAATGCCAGCGGCGTTGAATCGCTTAGAGTTGCGCAGCTTGGCGTCCACGTAAACGTTGACGCCAACGTCGGACCCATATCGGGGGGTTTGCAAAAGCCACGTTGTCAACTCTCGCGTCAGGTAGACAAGCTGGTTATCCCGTGCCTTGGTGACAATCATGACATTGCGCACTGCGCGCTTGACAGGGCGGCGCTGAAGTTGCTTGGAGATTTCGCGGACACTTGTCGCGGTCTGGACCAAGCGAGAGTGCGACATGGACTCGTCGTTCTTGATCTCGTCCAGGACCTTTTCAAAATCGACAGCATCGTCGAATCTCTGGTGGTAGAAGCATGGCGACAACAGATTGCTGATTGCTGTGGTCGGTGTATTTCTCTTCTTTGCTAGGTCCTGGAGCGCATCGGCGAGCTGCTGCTGAGGGCTCGCGGCGGCGGAAGAGCCGCCGTTGCTCTGAGGGAATAACATGTTGTTGTTGAAGGAAAGAGCCTCGGGCTTTCTGGGACGCGAAACAGAAGTGGTAGATGCGAGTGCCTTGAGAATGGTTTGGCGAGGAAGCAAGTCGTGGACAGCAGGAGGTTGGTATTGGTCGCGCGGTTGTTGCTGGTTGGAATCCGCCGAAGGCGCAGTGAGGCTTGTTAAAATTGCGGTCTTGGGCGAGGGTACAGTCGAAGGTTCGGCCGGGGAAATTATAACAGGCGTAACGGAAGGACCCGTGGCACCAGAGCCACCTAACGATGGAATAGCAGTGTATGGCGTGTTCGAGTCGACTTCATATCGTGATGCCTTGTTGACGTTGACGGACAGATTATGAATGCCGGACGACGACTTGGGGCGGCGGCCAAATATATCGGACTTAGCCAACAAAAGCGAAGCAGCAGGGCACTCCTGCGAGTCAACTCCGCTGCCCTTTTCGGGCGAAGGGTGGAGGTCGGTCCGAGGCGACACGGCGGCCATGATTACTCTAGCGAGTGTCGGTAGCGGCTACAGCGCGTTGCAAATGCGATTGCGAAAGCGATTATTAACCCCGGGCGGGCTTAGGCAGTGGGTGCTTGGAAACGCCGGGATTATGAGGGGCGCAGAGATGATAGCGGAATCCCGTGTTCCGTGGAAAGCTGTAGAACAGTGTAAGCCTAGATTGCGACCGTACAGCGGCGAGTCCACCACTGTGCAAAGGGCCAATAGCCAGGGACGCGGCCTTACAAATCGGGAAAGGCAAAGTCAGCCGGCGCCTTGGGGTTATGCGGAGGATTGGCTGCTACTTTTGGCGCACAGTTGTTCGTACGGTGATGCAGCTAGCGTCACAGCGATCCCCCTCATCCAATTTTGCAAAACGCGATGCGCTGCAAGTGCAAGCACAACACGCTAGGCTCCAGCGGAAGCGTCGGAGCGAAAGGTTCGTCTGCGTAACCTTGCAGTTTCCTGTTCGCGCTGTGGGATCGTTGCGACTGTTGCTTATTCAGTGGGAGTTTCTCCGCAGGTGGGCGGGCTCGAATATTACCTCTTTCGACAAATGCTGATGCAGCGAGAGCAAGTATTGCCGTGTTAGCGGTATCGAGGCCGAACAGTTGTTCCGCTGAGAAAAGTATGATGACGTTGAGTAGCAACAGACCAGCTGTAGCGCAAGGCAATGGAATCGGCGCAGATGAGGAGAAATGAGATGCAGAGTGAAGCTGAAGGATCTCCAAATCTGAGGGAGCAGAAAAGGGGCAAGTTTCTTGACACTAGGAATTTGGTGGAAGGAACGAGCCGACGCCAGGTCTGGTCTTGCCACAGCTGTCTTGTATCGATAGCAAAAGGAGGCCGAAAGAGGCAATGAAGAGAGTGGCTGGAATTAAAATGATGTAGAAGACGTTGTCAGAAGAGAAATGAAGGAGACGAAATAGTAAAACAAATCGAAAATACACGCTGTAAAAAGCACTTGCAGGAACTTCCAGAGTTCTGCTTCCGGCACTGCGACTCCAAGCCGTTGAGGTGATTAGGATTAATCTCGATGCGTGCGTCGACACCAAAACAAACAAAGAAAAACCAACAACAAAGAACCCGCTTGGCGCCAGGAGTCTTTTATAACCGACAACCAAAGAATCAAAACCGCATTCTCTGACCGCTAACGAATCCCATCATCTATCACAAGCCTTGTCAATAATTGATGCAGCCATCGTCACAGCTCCTAAGCTGTCACTAGCCCCCAGAAACATTTGGCGTTGGCGATGAGCGAAACAACGGCCACCGTCCCCTACCCGCCGCAGTACACGGAGCTAATAGTACGGAGTAGCGGGACGCACCGCAAAACGCATCATCCCCTGAAAATGAGGAGCGAAGGAACAAGACTGGGGGAGACGCATTGAATGAAGGCTCTGCATCTGAGACGCAGACGGGCATTATGCCCGGCATTTGAAAGTGGCAGGTATCTGATACGCGCTGCGTTTACTGCAGAACAGAGCTGCTTACAGGTATGGGCTACCTACTGAGACAGGGACAGGTATGCGCCCCAATACTGCAGTCCGACGGCCAAAACCAAACACAATGGAAAGCAAATCAAGCCGAAATGCTACGCTGCGGAGAAAAAAAAAAGTCCATCAATCCCATAAAGTGCCCTGTCGCAGTGCACGTTTCCAGTGGCGAGTACGGGGGCGACACCTCCATGCCAGATACCCGCTGGTTGATAGTGCGGCGTCTTGGCAGTCTCACCAGCCCCCAGCCTTCTAAACATGGTGTTCTGCATCTGGATTCGAAAAGAGCATGGAGCAGACAGCTTCCCCTTTGCTCCTTTATCTACGGAGTACTATTATAATGATACTCACTGACTCTCTCTCTCTGCTGCAACGGTCGCTACGGGCCCTGCCGCTGGTGGTCGAAACGCCGTTTCATCTCTCACACCAGGGGCTGTTACAAAAAAACACATATGCATGCCCAAATATTACCTAGGAGGTTAGTAGTCAACCCAAATTTAGATACGGCAAGATAGAAACCGGGGCAAGAAATGTCTCGATTTGCTATTCGGTACCCCAAGTTGGCTATCCAGCATCCCACGAAGGTGACCATTGATTCCTTTTGCTACCCCAAGTTAATATAACAAGTCCCTTGTAATATACCCCACCAAGCAGAGGTCAGAAAAAGCAAGACTGCAAAATGAATAAGTGCATACATTTAGCAATATAAGCACTTAATTACTTTATAAAACGGGCGCAGCATAGAAATAATACTAAGTAGTAAATAAATATAAATATAATAATAGCTACTAGAGAAATGTAAATATAGTAGCAGATACTAGACAAATATAGATATAGTAGCAGTTGCTAGAAAGATATAGATATAGCAGCAGATACTGGAAAAATATAGATATAGCAGGAGATACCTGAAGAGTTAAGATTTATAGGCGTATTATTTAAGGCACGTGTGTTCGTAATCTTCTCAGTCTCGGTTTTTCTGTCCCCCACTTACCCACGTGTATGATCCCCCAACTTTTTCCATTATCAAAGAATTCAGCCTGTTTGGCGCACCCTCCTCGAGATGCAGCGACATATCCGGGAATTATTAATGCAGCTTAGCGAACTGCTATCTCGACCCAGCTGACCTGTTTGGATGGCATCTTGTAGGAATATCACAAATCCAATAGCTTTTCGTCCCATCCTTTCCGTCCAGTCTCGTCGTGTTCCTGGAGGTGATAGCGCCTCACTAAAGCTGGCTCCCACGTATCACCTGTGAATTCACCTGTGAATCGCCCGTCTAAACAAGGGCGCTCCGCACCATCGCAAAGATGCAATGGGCACAACCGTCACTGCTGGCGCCCGTGATATCTATCGAAAGGGGGAGCCAATGGTAGGGAAGAAATGATGTATCAACAACGCCAAATGCTTCACCTCCAGTGGAGACCTTCGGCTGCTTTAGCTTCCAGGACTGAGCGCATAAACTGTTGCACATTTTCGGACTCTGCCCCGTAGCCTCCCATTTCCGCATCATCTTCGGCCTCCTGGCTGCGGCAGCACACTTTCTCCGCTGTCTGGAGAACCTTGTCCCACTCTTCTGCTGAGAAAGAGCCCTCGCTCTCGGCCAGGAGAAGGTCTCGGCTGGCCGTGAAGCCCAGCACGTGGACAGATCTCGCTTGATCAATTTCCGCAGGCGTCGGGTCTACCTTGACGGTGCTCTCATCATCATTCGTAATTGCTAGGCAAGTTGCTGAAGCCACTGTTTTCAGGGGAATTGTTGCCGTTAGGAGACCCAGAATCGAGGCGTGGAGAAGTGCTGGAATGATTCCGAGATTCTACGGAAATGATTGTGAGATCAGCCGACCACCAACCAGGCTCGTAAACGAGAAAACGACAAACGAGACAAGATCACTCACCAGTCGGGGCTGGAGCACTTTGGTGTTCACATAAGCGTTTTCAGGCACTTCCATGACCTGGAGCGTGACTTGAATCACGCATCTCGGGAAGTTTCTGACCGGGATGAGATGTCGCAGAGCAGGCTGCAGGATAGCCTCCAGCTGGCGCTCGGCCGTTCCTACAAGGCGGCGATAGATGTCAGCCGGACGAATGAGAATCCCCGTCACCGTGATATCAACTCACCTCCAACTCCTGCTGCCGGCCGCACATTCACATCTACCAGCGCCTCGAAGGGATTCTCATCTCGACGCTGAGCCTCTACGGGCCCGTTGACGGCCGCTGTGATTGTGTAGCCGCCGAATGCAAAATTTGCCGAACCGTCGGCCTTGGGAAGATGTGACAGCTCAGCAGTAGGGGGAGCCATGGCTGCAAAAGATAAGGCGTTGTGGTGAAAGAAAGACGGCGATGAGGCTACAAAGTGCCTGAGACTCAGATATGCACAAGATTGAAATTTTGCCCGTGATGAGGAGCCCGGCTTTGCTAGTCTCGATCTGCAAAGGTATAGTCTTTGTTTAGGTACCTTGGCAGTGGTGGTCATAGCTGCCGTTCTCAGGTTCAGGTACTAGCAGATACCTTGTGGGGACCTCCCATCACCAGTGACGTGGGGTTGAGCTGCTGGCACATTCAGGTACCGATTTTCGCCATCCGGGTAGCTCCTCAGCTTCTTCATCCTGCATCTTACAAAGCACAGCTTCTTCATCCGACGGTGAATGAGAATCTAAACAAGCGCGCCATGGCCTCCGAATCACCCGCCCAACCAGCTCCTTCACCATCCCTGGCCTCGGGCATCCCCAACCTGAAAGACAGAATCCCCAAGCTCGAGCCTCGCAGGAGGAGACCCGGCCCCTCCAACCCAACTCCTATTCCTCAGACTCCCGCTCTCCCTTCGCCCCCGGACTTGGCGGACTGGAGCTACAAGCTCCCAAGCAGGCGCATTCTTTCAAAACAGGACCATGAGCTGTTTCTGGCGTCTCCAACCTACAGCCTCATTGCGGCCTGGGTCTTTGGCCTATCTGAGTCTGTAGTTGACACACCCAAGTCTGCCGTCAGGGATGAATCCCTGAGCGAGGGCGTCAAGACAATTTTAAGCATATTAGACCAGGCGGAAGCTTTTGTGTCTCAGTCACCACCCAACGAGCAGGGCGGTTCTCGCTTCGGCAACAAGGCCTTTAGAGGCTTCCTGGATCTGGTCAAGGAAAAGACCCCAATATGGCATGAAAGTCTAGGTCTGCATAACACGGACGCCATCGCTGAGGCATCTGCCTATTTTGCTCAGTCATTCGGTAACCGGAATCGAATCGACTATGGATCAGGACACGAGCTCAACTTTATGATGTGGCTACTTTGTCTGTACCAGCTCGGCATCTTGCAGCGCTCCGACTTCCAGGCACTTGTTCTCCGAGTCTTTGTTCGCTACATCTCCCTGATGCGGGTCGTCCAGATGGCCTATTATTTGGAGCCTGCGGGCTCCCACGGTGTTTGGGGGTTGGACGATTACCAGTTCTTGCCGTTCCTCTTTGGCGCCTCTCAACTTCTACACCATCCGTACATCACCCCTCGCGCCATTCACCAGGACCTCACGGTCGAGGAATTTGGCGACGACTATCTCTATCTCGGCCAAGTCAACTTTGTCAACAGCACAAAGACTGTCAAAGGCCTACGATGGCACAGTCCCATGCTGGACGACATCTCATCTTCAAAGTCGTGGACTAAAATCGACGGAGGCATGCGCCGTATGTTTGTCGCCGAGGTTCTGGGAAAGCTACCGGTGATGCAGCATTTCATGTTTGGGTCCCTCATCTCTGCTGCTCCTGGTATGAGTGAAGAAGATCCGTCAGCTGCTGGTGAAGACGATGGCGAAGATCACTCCAATCATAACCACACAGGACAAGCACACGACGGCACGGGCTGGGGCGACTGCTGTGGTATCAAGGTGCCCAGTAGCATTGCTGCTGCCCAAGAGATGAAGAAGGGCCATGTGGAAACATTACGTAGAATCCCCTTTGACTAGTGGCGAATCGACTTGTGAGCAAGGTTAGGGTTGTCTTTGGCATATTGGTAACTGTCCCTTAGCAGCAAGCACATAACCATAGTCATATGTTACGAGACAATATATGACTTGGTCCAAGAGAGAGAGTGGGCCGCGGGATAGCCTTGGATACCATAAGAGATGTCAAATTTTTTTAATACAATTAATCTAAATAAGATATGACCACAAGATATACTTGCCATTCTGCTTACAGCTCCCTCTTGTCAGTCTGAAATGTCCATTTTGTCTAAAGACTTCTGTCGCAACCGTACGGTTATATGGGCAGTGTTAAAACGTGGAATAGCAAGATGTAAAAGACGAGCCTTTCTTTATCTTAATCTTTTGATTTGCTCTTCTAGTATCTGCTATTTCCCCTTCGTCACCCTCGTCAAAATATCATCAAGCACTCTACCAGCAACAGCCTATAAGCTCATTGGTGGAAACATGAAATGCCCCATCGCCGTGGAAGTTGACAACTCGTATATTGCTTCTGTGGAATCTACAAGGCCGTTCAAAATATACCAGCGGGCGGAAGAGATATGGTAAAGAACGCGTTGTAGCGAAATTGAAAGAAGCCAAGCAATCTTTTGTTTTGGTGCCCAGTGTCTAATTATCCAAGTATCTGCTATTACCTTTACTTTCTCTATATTGCTACTTTTACGACTTCTACTGCTCTCGCCATACCCTTCAAGTAGAGCAAGTCTGGTAGTGTACCAAAATTCGTTTTAGTCGTTGAGGTGTCCTCTGGGTTCCAGCTCAAGCTCGCAAGCTTGAAACCTGAGGTAGTTGACGCGGTCGAAAGTGGCATCCCATCAAATCACCCCCATAGATTTATCTCGCCTTTGTGCGCCCAACTCAGTGTTCTCATAAGCAATTGCTTTCACCCTGAATCTGACGTAGAAATTTTATTTATTATACCTGTCTAGAGACATTTCGACAAGTACATGTATACGTATCTGTCCATACGCTACTTGCCATTACAAGGTACTCGGTACCTAGTATGGATATGACTTGGGATACAAGCTGCTGGATACCAAGCTGCGCTATTTGTTGCTTTGACCCTGCACAAACATGTGGCTTCGTGAGAGAAATATCTGCGCACGTGGTGCTTGAAACAGCTAAAAAGGGCGATGGATCACCATCGGACGAGTGAAGCCGACTTTTGATCTCATAATGCCCCAAGCTTTTCCCCTCAAACACCTGTGTTATGGTCCGTGGCTTTCCGGAACCAACCGCATTACCAGACCAACAGTGGTCGTTCGTAAACATGCTAAGACAAATACAATGCCGCTGGTGCGGTATCATTCTCATACTCCATCTTAGGCAACGATATTTCCAAGGCTATACTGCAGTTTCACACTTGAAACCAGTGGCTATATGGTATTCCATGTTAGCCGTTAGTTGGATAAATGTGATAGTAGAAGAGTCTAGAAGGAATAGTGCTAGTAGCTAGTGTCAGAAAAGAGTAGGCACCGATAATAGCAGATACTGGTCGGAAAGGGCAGTGAAGGGAAGGGATGGCAACAGATACTGGAGGATAAACGGTCGTAGACACTGAGATACACAGCTTGCGTGTGAACGGCGATTGGGCAAACTGGTAACACGATGCAACGTACTCGGCGCATCTGTGTAACCATACCTAAATTGCCACGCCAAGCAGGAACCGGTCAAGGCTTCCCCAAGCCATCCTCGTGTCTTGTGTCGTCCGAGGCGGCTTTGTGCGGATTGCTGCGCACTTCGGCCGTTGATCAGATTCCCGGACCAGAAGCCGGAGTCAATACCGTAATAGTCGTAGTGTTGACCGGGAAGTTGTGATGAGGAGATGGGCCTAACACGGGGTATAAACAGTGGTGGGTTTATGGGTGTGACAAGTGGTTACATGCCTGTCAATAATCTTGGACAGGCCAATATGCAGGACAGCAGCTCGGTCTGGAGGCGGGAGCAATTCAAGCTGCCATCATTGGACGCCATTCTGCCGTAAACTGCCAGTGTCAGCTCGTCCAGTCAAGACCAAAAGGCTAGCGGCCGGCGCCACGGTTACTAGCCGTAGTTGGTTGCATATACTCGCACAACAGGGCAGAGGCGAAATGACAACTCGCAAGGTATTGCTTTTTCCTATGTGCCCTTTTCTTTTTTTCTTTTCTTTTTTTCGCGCTCCGCCTGCCCTTGTGATCCTTTGAGCAGGCGGGTATCACATATCGTAAATGTCCCAATAGGAGCTGGCCTGAAAATTTTTGACGATGGCGCTGAAGGAAGCATCCGTTTGGCCTGCGCCAGACTCTGCATGATGAATAGAACATGCGGTAGCCGCTCATGACTCGGGCTGTGCCGTCTGCGAAAAGGAAAACCAAATCTAGTATGGAATTGTATGACGGCTATCTTGGGTGGCGGGTGGTGGGGACGAGAAGAGCGCAGTTGTGCAACTCCATCTCGAGGGAGACGAGCCAGGGACGGAACAAAAGCAAGAAATTTGTATCACGTATGACCTCCTATCCATGTGAAGCACTGGCTAGCGATTACAACGCTGCCTCCCGCGCCTGGATTTTGCGCCACGGCAAGGTAGACTGCTGTTTCTATTCGGGGCGATTTGATTCCAGTGGCATATGCTCCGGCGACATTTCCTCAGTCGAGGACCAACGCTCCCGAATCCAAGAACTGGGGACCAGGTAGAGGTGTGGTCCTGTCAAATCTGCCGTACGTTATTGTTGTAGTGATCTGTGCCGCATGATAGGTCGCACATCAAGGCCAAGGCCGAGATCGAGTAGAGTACTAATACATCTCGTCAGCTCAGCGGCTCACAGACTATCAAGTACTAATATCACCCTGTTGAAGGGGCAAATGATATAAGGGCAGAATGTGAATGTGAGATGTGAGCGATGATATGAATTAGATCGCCGACTGGCATGCTGGCAGCGGCTTGCATGAGGGTAGTGGGGCCGCCGCCCTTGGTCCGCCTATAATTCGTTCAAGTCTCCCTTGAGTCCGTACTTGGTAGTAGTAAAAACAAACCACCAACCTGATCGGGGTGAGTGGGAAAGGGCATAGATCTGAGAGGTGCACAGAATTGTTTCTGGGTGTATTTGGAGAGGAGGGGTACGAACATGTCCTCTGATATGCTCGTAGCCATTCATCGGAGGCAGTTGATGTCGGTGTGAATCTGACATCGGTTGTCGATGCGGTTGTCACATTACCCGAGCAAAACCCCTCTATTTCCCGCCTAGACACAAAAAGAAATGAAACATCATGTCCATATGGGAACAAGCCACGATGGAGCAGACTGATGCGCTAAGGCTGGCTTTGAACATGCTAGAGGACACGGAAAATCAAAGGCTCGAGGAGGTGGCCATTGGCCGGACTGTTTCTTTTAGAGTTGTACTGTCTTGGATGGCACGGCTGTGTGGTGCATACCTCGGGTCTGAGGTCCTGTGAGAATGTACGAGTAGAGGCGCTTGATCGCTCAGCCTAGACGCTGCCCGCATGTCTCACCCGCCCGATACCCAGCAGGGGAGAAGGGCTGGAGGCGAGCAGGAGGCGATGCCTCATCCCACATCCCCGAGCTGGCTAAACCATCCTGCCAGGGCGGATCTCTCTCTACCATCAGTTGAGGGCCTCACGCCACCCTGGTCGACGTCCGTGAGCCGCGGCGCTAATCTGAGCATTTTGTCTCTGCCCTGCGTCCGAAGTGGCTCTTGGCTCCAATCGCTCCAGTCTACCAGCTTTTTCTTCTCTTGGGCCTCGGGCTGCTAGTCGAGTGGCTTGCTGCATCCGAGCTCAGGCCGTGGGGACGGTGGAGGAGGATATCCGATTTGCTTGTTCCTTGGATGCTTGTTCCTTGGATGCTGGTTCCCAGGGTCTGGGTCTAGGGTCCGGGATGTCTTGGAGGGAGGATCAGAAACTGCGCGGTCTTGGTCCTGCCCTTGGAGACATGATAAAAGTCTCCCTCGACCCCTCTGGCTCAGAAGTATTGGCTTCATGTGTCTTGTACTGCCTGTTCCTTGTTCCTTGTTTACTCGGATTTCCCGCGTGCTTGAAGTTGAACTGAAGAAATTCTGCTTCGAGTTGTCGCTCTTGTCAAATTCCCTTGTCTTGTAGCTGTTACTCCTTCTGTTCTTCTGCAGAGCCGAGCCGGCTGTCAGCGTATTGGCAACAGCCCTTTGCGGCTCCTTCCATTCACTTACACGTCTTATCGCGGTATCGCCTCTCAGAAACCGCCTCCAAGTTCCTCTACCAGCTTGGAATCTAACATCCCCCGTATGAAACTGCATCCAAAATATCTTCATCTAAAAACCAGCAACTCGGCAATTCATCATCAGAGAACAGCTCGCATTTCGTCGTTGCGACGTCTCATTCTAACACGGCCTATCACCGTCGGCCGCAGGAGATACAAGGCGCACCCACGCACAGCATCGCGAGGTGCATCACTTTGACACATTCCTACGGCACGCATATCTTGCACTACGCTCGCTTTGGCGCCGCTGCGAACAGATTAGGTACCACGAACAGATCTTGCGACAGATTGGGCCTTGCCGTAAGGGTACCGGCCAGGTGTCTTTGATTCATCACTTGGCAGCCGCCCTTGGGCGAGGTGTTGCGGAGTGGACTCGCCATCATTGTTTTGACTTTCTCACTTTTGATTCACTTCTGCTTCACTTTTCACCTTGTATGGGGATCTGCCTGCCACCCATTAATTTCGCACTCGACTTCGAAAAAAATCACCCAGCTGTTCACTTTCGCCCACAAACTTCTACCAGTGCTTCTCCCCAGCCCTTCTCCATCAAAACAGAAGCAGCAAAGACATTTAATACATCGTTCCCTGCCGCCCTCGACACGGATTGCCGTTTGCCATCTTCACTGTCTCTCTTTCTTTCGTTCAATTTTCTTCTTTCATTCTTTCTCCTTCTCCCTCAAAATCTCTCCACTACGATGGCGACCGGATTTGATCGCCTCGAGAGGCTATTCAGCATCAAGCGCAAACCTTCATTTGCCTCTGTTTCGGTTGCTACTTCTATCAGCACCCCGACAGAACCCCAGTTCCCCTCTCCTTCTTTCATTCGCCCTACAGCCACTCGCATGGCAGCTCGAGAGGAAGTGCGATTGCGAATAGCGACGGGTCGATCCCCCTCAGCCCCGGATGTCACTCCTTCTCGACTAGGCTCACTGAGTTCCCATGCCTCCAGCCCAGGCTTCAGTCACTCGTCTACCCGATCGCCTTCCCTCCTTGGCCCTCACCCACAGGCAGACTCTCTAGTGGCGAAGCTTTGCGAATATCAATTTCCTAACTCACCGAGCCCAGAGGAGAAGGCGACACCAATGTCCACGGCGTTAGAGATACGCGAGATCCCAAGTCCTCGTTCTCAGTCTCCGCTCCGTCTACGGGCTACACCACGTCTTGACACCCCTCCATCCCCTGACTTGGAAGACATCGAATCCTGCCGCCGCTCATTTGAGAGCATCAGAGTCCCAATAACTTCCTATGATACTCCACCAACTCCTGAATATTCGCCCGAGATTCTACCCGTGCGCAACGCGCGCAACCTGCTCGCCGATTCCAAAATCTTCGACATTGCAATCGATAAGGCCCTCTTTGAAGAAATTGAAGATCAGCTTCTTCAAACTTTTGATTATCCATCTTTGAACGATTCATTCAGCGACTCGTCCCCCTCTGAAGCATCATCCAATAGCTCTACCTTGCGGGAGCCTGACTTCAACGAGTTTCTGAATCTGAGCGATGACGATATTGCTGAATTGGCGCCTGATAATCTAGACGTTGAATCTGATAGCGGCACGCAACTGCACTCTCCGCTCCCAATGGACACCTCTCCCCCTTCGCCTAAGCCTTCTCCCCTCCTGACACTAACGCCTCCTCCTGTCAGCCGGCCTGCTACTGCCGCTGCTTTCGAGGCCGCTAGAATTGCAAAGAGATATGATTTCGACCTTGTCTATGTGGTAAATCTTTGGCCAGGCGGACCGCGTGGCCAAGTTTTCGACCTCGAGTCTGCGAGTTCTTGCAAGAGGCCCTTAGTTGGTCGACTGTTGGCAGCGCATGGCCTTGATCAAGTCCCATCGCCACTACAAATTTCCCCGGAGGCTCATGCCACCATGTTGCGGTCCAAGGGCTGGGTTGAATACAAAAACACAGAAGCGCAGTTGCACGAAATCGCACGTGGCTACGCATGCTCCTTCTACTCGGGCAAATATTCTCAAAGTTGTTCACACGATCGAGACAGCCCAGTTTCAGGAGTTCGACTATCAGAGATGATCGATCGAGGCATCGTGTTTGCAGCATATAGAAAGCCTAGAATTGGCCCATGCAGACTGGGGCACAGCTTTACTGGACAGGATCTTAGTTCTCTATACGGAGATGCAGAGACGTTGGTGGAGATGCTGATTGATATCCATACCCGCAACCGTCAATACCAGCCTGATTCCAACAGCCAGCTCTGCGATGAGACTGGCCCCCTGCCTACGCAAGAACTCGACCAGCCGTCTCTCTAAATCGAAATCAATCGACACAATTCTCCTATATTTGCCTACAACTTTATGGTCATTTGAGGCGTCAATTTTGGCCTGTACACTTTCTTTTTGTTGTTGCTTTCCGATATTTTGTCAACATAAAATGATGAGTTTACGAATGGATTTCCTTTGTCATGTTATTTCTTTTGAAGATACCTCTGGGGGCGGTTGTTTTTGTGAACTCGATACACGAGATGGTTTGCATGTTACACTTGGCGTTTTGTGAGATTCTGAGGCTTTTCAGCTCTCTCTATCACAATAAAGGGGGATTTTTACCGAGTTATTATCGGTGGAATCTCGTTGTATCCATAGTCTGGAAGGAATATTTCCAGGAATTGATGATGGGCACCTACGAGGGTTTGGCCGTCGGCATATCTCATTAAAAAAAAGTAATTAGGTATATGTGCAGTTGAGACTTCAACGAGCTTAAAGCATACGATAGCACGATACAGAAGAAGCATTTAACTTCACCTACCTAGTTCTTCAATAAAGTGAAATACTAGCCAGCACCCTAGCGACTGTGAGGTTCAATGGCTAGAATTTTAGCATACATATAAGAATTATCCAGCAAGTAATGAATATCTGGCGCTTCAAATCTCAACTACCATCATTACTCTCAGCTACTATCAATATTTTACTCTAGTATCTGCTACTATAGCTATATTCCTCTAGTTTCCAGTATTATCACTACTGGGTATCTTCTCATATACGGTATTTGGCAATTTGCGTCTTCATGTTCTGGTCACTCATAGCCTGCCTGCATAATCTGTGCTACGCAATATGAAGCTGGGATGCAGGCAGCCACGGGACGCCACAGGCTTCATTTCACTGAGATCTAGGCACTGGCCCGCGTTCTGGAGCGAACCTCGAGATCTCGTCATACCGTCTATTGGCTGTGAGGAGAGAATGGATGTCTTACAGCTCCGGTCTATGAAGCAATAGCCCACTGTGGTTCCTGTTGGTTGTGTGCCTTTACTTAAGCTGCCGCGACGGAAGAAAAGCCACGAGTGAGGGCTCGAGCTTTGATGGCGTGATAACCCGCATTTTGTAAAGTGAAGGGGCTATTGATATGTGGGAATAAGTTGCTTCATGAGTCTAAAATGTCGCGCTAGGTCTGTTCTTCTATCATATTTTACGCAAGGTGGACGTTGGGTCTCGTCTGAACAATGAAACAGAGAACGATGGTGTAGATGCTTATTCACATTGGTTCTCTGGCCAAGCTTCAACCTTGAGTCCGCTCCAAATCGCCCTCCACCTCTCTACCTTCTTTTCATAATTTTCCCTTTTCGCAAAGGCTGTGTTCGGCCGGACAACCATGTTAAAGAAATCGGATAGACCCCTCGGTGCATAAAAGATCCATTCCCCATGTTCATCCAGCCTCACACCAAGCATCGCGCTTGTCGATATCCACGAGTCAATGCCATCCTCGACACTCTGGTTTGCCGGACGTGCGAGCCCGAATTTCTTCTCATACCATAGATGGACGCGGGCCTGGTTACGAATTTCAACCTCGACGGGGATGTCGGCGAAGAGCCGCTTGCCGGCCTGGATGACAACGTCCTCTGCTTCATACGAGAGATCGGAGGCGTCGTAGTAGACGAGATCGTAGTCGTGGATGCCTGTCTCGGGAGGGAGGGATGAGACATTGTTCCAGATGGTTTGTGAGAGGGCACCGGCGGCTAGGTACCAGTTGGGCAGGTTGAGTGATGCGGCACGTGTGAGCACAAGGACTAGTGTTGGGTTTAGAGATAGGACATTGCGGAGGTGAACGAGCTGCGATTGTATTGGGAGCTGCGCTGGGTTCATTTTTTTCAAGGTCAAGGAGCCGTCTAAGTTTGTCAACATAGAACACTGTCAGAATACGCCCCGCCAATAGCTACATGTATAGAAGCTTAGCTTACATGTACTAATAGGACGGTTCTGCGCAGTTCAGCCTTGAGGGATTGGGTTGCACATATATTGGAGTATTATATGCCTACTGGCTATAGGGAAAGCAAGTCGGGGTTTGTGAAAGATCAAACGTCTAAAATGTCAACTGGTGAGACTCCCCCACCTAAAGCTCGACACGTGATTAAAACCAGGCCAACTAAACGCCCTCGTCGGATTACAATCTATTCCTTCGTAACAGATAGATCCCTTATAAATAGTTGGACATTTATTTCGGCTTTCACGTACTACTAGGGGAGTATCTATTTCTTCCCTGGTCATCCCGTGAGTGCTACCGTTGTTTCATCATTAGGCCGCGCACAGATGTTTCTATTCTATTTCAATAGTATGTGTTACGTGTATCAAACCAAGAGAGGCTTGTTGGGTCTTGTGTGCGAGGATTGGAGATTTCAGCTTCAGAGGCCCTAAGATATGATTCACATGGCTTACATGATTGGTGTTTCTATCTTTCACGAGTAGAAGAAATGTTTACAGTGGAAGACAAATGATATATAGGTTAGTTCCTTACAGCATTTGCTAGTGCATGGCCTCGACCTCGTCGAGCTGGCCGTAGAGGATGCCTTCGTATCTATATTATTGAGCTTGTGGGGAATCCACGTCTTTGACGTCCTCTCTATCATTTATTCCTTGTCCCTGCTCTCTGCTCAGACGAAACAGCTCAGCCCGCACCTTGTACCACTTGTCTCCCGTTGATGGCTTTCCTTCTTCCCCCCTCATGTTCGGAATCCTATCGAGCACCTGAATAAGGGATGGGGACGCTCCCGATACCCAAAACTGGACGTTATTGGGGAAGTACCGTCGGGCAATCATGTAGACCTCCTTTAGATACTTCATCACATCATCGACGAGCCCGGATTCAAAACGAGTGAAGTAGTCGATGTTATACGGTAGGATTGGACCCTCGCCGACGTTGAAGTAGATGTAAGCGTTTTGGGTTCCCGGGGAGCCGACTATTTGGACCAGGGGCTTGCCGGTGTTGGGATGAACAGTTTGCTTGTATTTCTGGACGACTTCCTCAAGGAACGCCTCGTAGAGATCCCGGCACTCTAGGCCGAGGGTTGGATGGACATCAAATCCACAATCGACGCCCATTTTGAAGCGTGGCAGATGCGTTCGTGTGGAATGGGTATACGGTGTTTCTTTCTTTCTTTTGAGAAGAATGAAGGATGGGGAGGTAAATGGCTCTTTGCCCCTTGAGACGAGGTAGGCAGGGAGTTATAGCTAGTTCAGTCTCGTGCTACAGCTCGTATCCGGCAAGCCGCAGCAGCCACATGTCTACCTCCGCGATCCTTCAAAATGTAGGTATTTGTTATTTTTAATTGTCCAAGGTCCATCGTTGGTATAAGCTGAGATGAGTGTAAAGCCTGAGCGACCGGATATGGTGATCCATTAGACTATGATTGCTGGGTATCTGACTACCCAGTTCGCCTTCTACTGTACATACATGGCTCAGAAAACAGGCATAAGAACTCGCTACGATGTGTTTCTTCTTCGAAACACGGCACCATCAAACGCCGTGTGACTGTGACTTGAAGAATATGACATCAATGGCACATCATAGGTTACAGCTTTGCCGCATCTGCTTCGCCATCGACCTCGCCGAATAGTCCCATGAAGGCAGTGTGTACCTCGTCTGTAAGATCGCTTGCTTGCAGGCTTCGTCCCTTTTTGACAAACGCTAGCCGAGAGCACTCCTAGACACAAATTCTTCGTTAGTATGGCTAAGAGAACCAGGCATGTTTTCACCGATTGAGCACAACTTACCCTAGTCACTGCGCTTCCTCCAAACGCAGCCAAGCCCATCATCTCATCGGCATCAAGAGCAGGCTGCTCATGATCTTTCCACAGACCATCCAGATAAGCCTTTCGCCAACCCAAGAACGTGGCTACAGCACCAGTCAAAGTATCACCCTGGCCACCACTTCGTTTCTTCCCACCCTCGAGATCACTGACCAGGGTGACTTTGCCGTTGGAAATAAAGTCCTTGTAGCCTTTCTGGATAATAGTAACTCCGCCTAGTTCTTTAGCTAGGGTTTCTACCTTGCCCGTCTCGCTGGACTGCTGGCCGACGTCGATCTTGAGGGCGTCGCATAGACGCTTGAACTCGACAACGTTGGGGGTCAAGACTGCATATTTGTAGCCTCTGACTACATCTGGATCGTTTTGAACAACCTGTAGAGCATCGGCGTCGAGAACCACGGGCATGTTGGACTCTCTGGCGGCCCTGATGACGCGGGCTACGGTTGCTTGCATGAGAGGATCACGGCCTAGTCCAGGGCCTACGACCAGGACGTGAAGTCGGCCCAGCATATCGATGATCTTGCGTGCTACGTGGTCGGGGTTGGAGTCCTCGTCCTCTGATGTTTTGTTCTGCGGAGGTGATTGGCGCATGAGAGGGTGAACCATGAGGTTAGGTGAGTATGTTTTTATGACTGCCGCAGCTGCGGGAGTGCAGATGACGTGTGACTGTCAAGTTTCGTATCAGCATCACATCTATGCTCAATCCGGTCCCAGTAGAATTCTCTGAGGTCTCCTTTTCCTTCATTGCCAAACCGTGATATCTGATGACAGAGAAGAATATCGCCAGGCTTCTTCACTCACTCACCATGTCACATCCCAGCCTCGCACTAGCCATGGCCGAAAAGTACGGAGCTCCGGTATAATCCTCGCTGCCTCCAATGACAGCAACTCGGCCCAGCTGACCTGTGAATTTGTGTCAGCTTCTTCGCCTCTCATTTTAATGCTTCAATATGAAAATGGTGGAAGAGTAAGTCTGCAAGCTGGACCGGGAAGCCCATCTTGTTACATCGCTCATTCACATACCTTTGTGAAAGGTGTCCAGCATCGGCGGGACCATCCGCCTGACCTTGCCTAGAATGTTTTTCGTTGATGCGGACATTTCGGGGACGTCTCTGTAGACAGACATTATCGATCAGTTGAGCAGAGAAACAAAGGAGGGAGCGTTTGTGTTGTGAATGAGGTGATGTGTATATGAGATCTAGATTTGTCAGTGGAAAACGGGAAATTCCAGGGTAAGTGAGGGGTGAGTTACAGCGCTCCAAATCCCGTACCTCTGCTACAAAGTGAATCAGTCTAGTGATGAAGCATCTGATATTTTTTGTCTATTGAGAGAAAAATGACGGAGTGAATAAATAATGAGGTGAGATGTCAATTGATTGCATTTTTGGTTGATGGAGGGAATGCGTGCCCTCTTTTTGATGTGCAACACTATGATGTCACCATCACTTCAATTTGAAGCGTTATCATCCAATACTCTAGATTAACTATTTAGCATCCCCTAAGTCCAGTATTGGCCGTTCCGAGAAGACAAGGGATAACAGAATAAGCAGGGCCTGAGAAGCAAACATAGCCTTAGATTGTTATACTGTTTAAACAGAAATGTATTTGGCTACAACCGAGGTAGTAATAAATACTAAAGAAATACTACTATAGTCGCTGATTATATAGCTATATTTCTCTACCATCTGCTACTATAGCTATGTGCCTCTACTATCTGCTACTGTCTGCTACTGTCTGCTACTCTTTTCTATTATAAAATTATATTCCCCTACTCTCTGCTGCTGTCACCACTTCCTGGTATTATTAATACCTACTTTCTTAATTTACAAGATAATGGCGGCCCATTTGCTTCCGAGATCTTATTGGCCTCACAATATAGGCAGATGCAGTGAACGACAAGAACAAGAAGATAGAGCCGTGTATAAAGGGCAAACCTGCGATTGCTATGCCTAAATCTCATTTAAAGCACGCCCCCTCTTATACATTGGTCACCTATTCAAGTGGACAGAGTGGATGGGCCTTGATGCATACCCCCGTCCTTTTCGCTTCGGCTCAGAGGCAGGCAAACCCGATTTTCTCTATGTTCGGAAGGCATGGATGAAAATCAAATGCTCAAGCTCATGGAGCAAGTCAAGTCGAAGGTGCCAGGGATCGAGACCACAAGGTGGGTGACACTGTAGCCGTGGATGATGCCAGATATGCCGCCATTATCCTACCTAAGGAAGAACAGTATCAATAGTACCAGAGGATAGTGTAAAGAAATATAGCTAAAGTAGCAGAGAGTAAAGAAATATAGCTAAAGTAGCAGAGAGTAAAGAAATATAGCTAAAGTAGCAGAGAGTAAAGAAATATAGTTATAGTAGTAGATGGTAGTGAATAGTAGCAGATGGTAGCAGACAGTAGTAAAGAGTAGTAGATAATAGTAGATAGTAGGTAGGGAAATACAGCTATAGTAGGAGATAGTAGAGAAATATAGTTATATAATCCGCTATTATAGCTATACTTCTTTAGTATCTATCACTGCCTTTGTTCTTGTCGTTCACTGTATCTGCCTATATTGTGAGGCCAAAAAGCAGCAACTGGCACGGTAGCCTGGGCAGCTTGGGCGACAGCCTGGTTAACAGCCTGGCCGCATCGGCAAGGGTGGTGCTGGCGGTAGACGGCCGTGAAATCAGAGATAGCGTCGCCTTTAAACCTGCGGCGAGCGTGCTCTCGGTGCTGGTTAATGTTGCTGGGGTAGAGGGCGTTGAGCAGCACCCAGTTTAGCTAGGTGTGAGGATAGTTTCTGTGCGCGCGATGGTTGGATGGCTTTGTTGCGGTGCTTTGGGTAATGAAGAACTAACCCTTGGCAATATTGTCGATGTATTGGGTTTGCTCGCGCTCAGTCATATTGGCGGCCTGCTTGTGGTATGCCTTCACCGCGGCGACTCCCTTCGCGTACTGCGGATGTTGCGTCGCTTTGCCAGCAGTGCGGCCGTGCTTTTGAATGAGGTATTGTTTGACGAGGGCCACCTCGAGGGGCAACGGTGGGATGTTCACCTGGACATCGCGAGTAAACCCGGCCATCTTGTCGGTCGATGAGCAAATTCGCGAGGTAAGGTCCAATCACTCGTTTGATTGACTGCTCAACCCGGTTGTCGATCATCTCGGCAACTTATCCCATGAGTAGTGCTTTGAAAAAGCCTGAGATCGTCCAGAAGCTCCTGTGGGTAATCCATTGCTTGAACTAACGGAATCTCAAGCCCTGCCAGCATAAATTTGCCGCCCTTCTGAAAGAAAGATATGCTCGGCTGAGCACTAGGGTCGGGGTTGCCCTCGTCCTTCCTTGGTGGCTTGACGAGAGATGGCACTCTGGGGCGATCTCCCGCCTTCAGCGTGTTTACAATATCTCATGTTTTTTTTCTTTCTTAAAGTCAGCCCTCTTACCATCAGTGATTGATGGATCGCTGGTCCCGATCACGTATTTCTCCAGGGCGCTGAAGTTTGCCTCCCGCAACAGGGAGTGGTGAGGCAAAAATGACTGTGCTCCCACATTGATAGAGCCTGGCTCTCTGGCTCTCCTTTGTAGTCGACTTTGGGTTCGGCTTCCTCCGTTACCTCAGCGTCCGAATCGGCATCCTCGTCTTCCTCCGCGTCTTCCACCCCCCTCTTCTTTTTGTTTGCGCCCTTGCGCATGAACACGTTGCTCTGGAGTTGCAAGCTAACACCAGCGTATGCGAGAACTGCATCCGGGCACAAGGTTTTAATGCGGGTTTTCATCTTCTCTGTCAAGGGACACACCAGGTGTCGGCATCGGCCTATCACTGTGTACCTGTACATTTAAGGCCATTGTTGAAGATTCGGGGTTTTGGCGAGAACGCTGTTCATTTCCTGGTGGATCGCTATACCCACTCCGTCGGGCCTTGAACGTTTGTAGATGCCATTCCAGCTCTGGAGAGGGCCACTCATTGGACTCATCTTGCCTCAAAAGAACAGGGCCACGAAGATGGAAGTTTCACGGCAGGAGTGTGGTCGTTGGGGCCTGTAGGCTGAGGCTTGAGATGGAGACAGTTAGCGGAGATGAGTTTGCTTCAAAGGGTTGGTAAGGTTAATTGAAATAAATACTCACATAGAGGATTTGTTGGATATGAAGTGGCGGGCTGAGATGTTGAGAGGAGAAAGGATGTAGCTCGCATGAGGAGAGAGGAGAAATGGGGGTTATTTATAGTTGGAGGCAGCAGGTCGGTGAGAGGATAGAAAGCTGGCATGTGTTTAGCAAGAGTAACATTGGAGAGAATGTTTCGTATATTGTTGGGCGCGTCCATATAAATATAAAAACAGTGGCTCTCTCTGACTCCGCCAGCTCTCGCCATCTGGCAACTTGAAACAACGGCTGCCAGCACCTGCCTGGTCTTAAGTCCAATATTAAAAATAACAAATCTCTTATTACATTTGGGGCCATCGTTGAAGGTTCGGGATGTTGGCGGGAACGATGGCTATTTCCCAGTGGACTAATGTACCCAGTCTGTCAGGCTTGGATAAACAGCACAAGTCTTAGGGATTTATAGTTCTAGCGGTAGATAAATATTTACATATATCTACTATTTACTACTATGGCTATATATATCTACTATCTACTACTCTAGCTGTATTTACCTAGTATTTACTATTTACTACCTCACGGCCCCGCCCCTGACTTGGTGAATCCTTCCTGGAGCCTGTTAGACCAGCTGAGCGTTCCCTCAAAGGCCACCTACTTGCGACAAATATGGGCCAGCCTGGGACTCCTGTACGATCAGGGAGTTACTATCCCTGACGGTATAGGTACTATGCTGATATTTTTTACTATTTATTACTATACTTATATTTACACGCGACTTGTTTAGAGATGGCTCTGCGGTGAAAAGGACTCGTGGGACGAAAGAGGCAAGACGGAGCAGGCCTTGAGGTATTCCACCAGTTTGGAGCACCACTGGTTGCCACCCCCGACGTAAGCAAGTATCCTGCCCTGGAACAGTTCAAACTGGCAGCCCGCTGTCGAAATCTGATCAACCCTACTCCTGAGAAATTGGAGGACCGAGGAAACGAGGAAAGAGCAATGGAATGGGCAACGATCTTGTGGCTTACCCAAATGTTCAAAAGCATCTCGTGTATATTCGAGTCAAACTTATGGCACGCTACCAACACTTGAATCTGCCCCTCGCCGTCCCAAGGCCAAAAGCTCGGTTGGCAACAGCTCGAGGCGGAGGAGGGGCGTTACCTACGTGGGATATGGGGTCTGCCATCCACGGCGTCATACTGCTTCATGGGAAGACTGACGCCAAAGTAGAGCCAGCACGATGCTGTAAAGATGGGCTGGCACGATGCTATAAATTTGGAATATGAAACCCAAAATCAGATTACCGCCCAGGCAAACCAGAACACGCAGAGTGCAAAATCAGAGCTAAATGGCCAGGGTATAGGTAATGGATGGATCCCTCACTGATCCAGCTCCAGAAGGTATATATCCCTCTGGTCTCTACTACTATATTTATATTCATCTCGTCTCATATACTATTAGCTATATTCCCCCAATCTCAGCCACTACAGCTATATTCATCTGGTCTAGGCTACTATAACTATATCCCTCTAGTCTCAGCTATTAGAGCTATATCACTCTACCATCTGATATCATCACCAACTTGGGGCACGGAATCATAGCCACTCCTCTTTATGTCAAAAGTAGCCGTACGGTCCAATGTGCAGAAGTATAAGCCGAGTTCAACTGTGACTAAAATTTGTATTAAGTTATTTATTTTTTATTCGTAGTCTACGCACATAGTGTAGGACACATGCACGACGATTTCAAGCACAGTCACCTCTCAGACGTCTTTGTCTAGATTTAACAGAACAAAAGGAATCAAGGACATCCATTGAGTAATGTGCTCGTATTTTACAAGTGGTAGAATGACTGGCGCGTCTCCCTTTATAAGCCATGGCCCTCTCATTTGGCGCAGCCATCACTTTTTAAAACCCCCCCCTTCCTCCATCTCTAGAGAACGACCAACAATAATTGGTATAGACAGTAGCACCCCTCCAACAGTGACCTTTTTCTATTTCGCTCGACGCGTGCTTCAACTTATTATTTGTTTAGCTGAGGAAGCTCTTGACGAAGTTGACGGTGACGTCCTTGAGTCTGGCCTCGAGGTCCTTGCTCAGGGCACCCTCCTTGTCAATGGTGGCGAGCAGGTCGGACTCGTTGGTCTTGAGGTGGGCAAGGAAGTCAGACTCCCACTTGAGGATCTGGTCGACGGGGATAGCGTCGAGGTGACCGTTGATACCAGCGTAGATGAGGGGAACCATCTCGTTAACGGCCATGGGGGAGTACTGCTTCTGCTTCAGGAGCTCGGTCAACTGTAATCACGGCTGGTCAGCTATCTCACGCGGTCTAACAGTCACTGGTGCGCATATGTGCATATGCGGAGGGGGATAACTTACACGCTCACCACGGGACAGGGTCTGCTTGGTGGCAGCATCAAGATCGGAACCGAACTGGGCGAAAGCGGCAACCTCACGGTACTGGGCCAAGAAGAGCTTCAGGGAACCAGCGACCTGCTTCATGGCCTTGAGCTGAGCGGCGGAACCGACACGAGAGACGGACAGACCGACGTTGATGGCAGGTCGGATACCCTTGTAAAACAGCTCGGACTCCAGGAAAATCTGGCCATCGGTAATGGAAATGACGTTGGTGGGAATGTAGGCAGACACGTCACCACCCTGGGTCTCAATGACGGGCAGGGCAGTCATGGAACCACCACCGTGCTTGTCGTTGAGCTTGGCGGCACGCTCCAGCAGACGGGAGTGCAGGTAGAAGACGTCACCGGGGTAAGCCTCACGTCCGGGGGGACGACGCAGCAGCAGGGACATTTGACGGTAGGCAACAGCCTGCTTAGACAGATCGTCGTAGATCACCAGGGAGTGCTTTCCATTATCCCGAAACCATTCACCAATAGAAGCCTGATGTCATAAATACGTTAGTGAAGAGTTAAAGGAGTGAAGCGGATAGATCATAGACATACACCGGTGAAGGGAGCAATGTACTGCAGAGGGGCGGCCTCAGAGGCAGTAGCGGCGACGACGATGGAGTACTTCATGGCGTCGTTCTCCTCCAGGGTCTTGACGAGCTGAGCGACAGTGGATCGCTTCTGGCCGACGGCGACGTAGATGCAGTAAAGCTTCTTGGTCTCGTCGTCGGAGTTGTTCCATCGCTTCTGGTTAAGGATGGTGTCGAGGGCGACGGCAGTCTTACCAGTCTGACGGTCACCAATGATCAACTCACGCTGACCACGGCCGATGGGAACCATGGCGTCGACGGACTTGAGACCGGTCTGCACGGGCTGGTTGACGGACTTGCGGGGCAGGATACCGGGAGCCTTGAGCTGAGCACGGCGCTTCTCCTTGGTGTTGAGAGGGCCCTTGCCGTCAATGGGGTTACCCAGAGCGTCGACGACACGGCCGAGCAGCTCAGGACCGACAGGGACGTCGACCTTTGCGGGCAGTTAGCATCGTTTCTGGCAGTGTAGTCTTATATAACTCACAATTTCACCGGTACGCTTGACAGTCTCGCCCTCCTTGACCAGACGATCGGAACCGAACAGCACGACACCGACCTGGCCGGCCTCGAGGTTCATGCACATGCCCTTGACGCCGGAAGCGAACCTGAATGGTGTTAGCTGCAAGTCTTCTGCAATGGGCAAGAGGAATCTCCACATACTCGACAAGCTCCTCAGCCTGGACGTTGGCCATACCGTGAACACGGGCGATACCATCACTATCCTCATAGTTAGAAAAAAATTACCAAGAGTTAAAAAAAAAAGCTCATCAGTCGGTAAGAAGCATGTCTTTTGATAACCCTCCGTCGCATGCATCCAATGTTGACAAGGATTGCATTTGGCGTTGCGGCTCCAAAGACCAGACAGCTTTGATAGGTGGCCTCCACATACCCAACAGACAGGACACGGCCAGTCTCAGCAAGACCGGACTCCTCCTGGACACCACGGATTCGCTGCTCGAGGATAGAAGAGACCTCAGTGGGCGAGGCCTTTGCGTCGGAAGCGTAGGTGCGGACGGCGTTGATGGCGACCGGTGCGGCATTTCGAGTCTACATTGGGTAAGAGAAAAACATGTTAGCCGAATGGCCAATAAAAGAGTATGGAGAACCCCGGCAGGCGTGGAAAAAGCTCAAAAAGCGTGCTCTGCGGCTCGAAAAAGTCGAAGAAGAGCTCAATTGAGGTCGGTAGGCCAAGTTGCAGGCGGATGCGCAAGGCTGTGATGCATCCTCCTCGCTGTCCACGGCCGGGATTCATTTTTTTCTGCCCCATGGTCGCCTCGGGCTTGCGGAAAAAAAGACACTCACCACGGAGACTCGGCCAGCAGCGACGGCGCCGACAGCGCGAGAGGACTGGCGGAGGGCGTTGCGGAACATCTTGAGGGAGGAATCTAGGGGCCTCAGAAGAGAGGGAAGCAATTGCAGCGGCGTGCAATTGGGGAGGGGATTGAGGGTTTGTTGATGTCTGCCTTTTGCAGGAAGAGCAAAATGGAGATTTTCGGGAGGAGAGGCGATGGAGAGAGCAGAGTCTGTGAGGACCAAGGTGGGGTTCTCGGGTTGCCTCGCTGGCCAATCACGGCCACTTGCGCGGTTTTGCTGGAGGAGCCGACGCCGCCTTAACAATTTTCCATGGGCAGCTTAGTGAGGGAACGGAGCGGAGGCTAATACTGGAAGGGGAGCGCTTTTTTTTTCTTGCCGGTGGTATTTTGTTGGTGCCTTGACTGCCTGATCGTGAAGGCACGCATTTGCTCATCGTGGAGAAGGTGTGGCCAAGGCAGGGGGTCAAACCGGGTTGCTGTAGGTACGTACCAGAACATTCAGGTTCAAGTTGGGAGTGAAGATTGAAGCATCTCTGTTTTCAATAACAACACAGCGATACCTTATATGCCTCATTAAAAGAACAACATCTCTTTTGATTATGAAGTAATATTGAAACGAATTCGCAGAGGTGCAAATATGGTAAAGATGAATACTATTAAATGCTGCGTTGGTTGGTGAAAAACAACCGCGGAAAGCAACATTGTAGGCGTTATTGCAAGAGACTGATGATGCCGCATCACCTTGAAATGATGTGACACAGTCATGCACAATGCATCATGTCCAAAGAGCACAACTCATTACTCCCACAGTGAGAAATCCACAGAGAAATTTTTGACATGCCGTATCAATTCATGATACGAAGCCATCGTGATTCATCAAACAAATACATCGCTACTGGGAGAAACAATAGAGGTTTCTACAAAACAAAAGACAGAGGATAGTCAATACGAATATCCTCCACCACGACAACAAACAGGCATTGCCAAAGGTATAAATGGTGCCATCACATTGCAGGGGCAATTATATGTGAAGCCGGCATAGCGCCGGTCGGTCTCTCAGGCCGTTGCTCGACTCAAAAATTTTGGTACGAGCTGATGTAAAAATCAAGCGGAAGAATACATGACCATATGATCCTTTTTACCCCCAAATGTTCGCCATGCCCATTTCCTTCAAGACAAGAAAAAAAATATTTTATTCGGTTTGGATTTTAAACCGTTTATCGGACAATGCCATCGAAGCGGCCCTTGAACCACTTGACGGTCTCATCGCGCTTGATGCGGTGAGAAGCACCGATTCTGCTCTTCATGCGGCGGCGGCGGGTGACACGCTCACCGGGGCGGGTCATGCAGCAGTAGAAGTCCATGCCGTAGATACCGATGGAAGGGTCGTACTTGATACCAAGATCGATGTGCTCGCTGATACCGAAGCCGAAGTTGCCAGTCTCGGAGAAGTTGCGCTTGCGAAGCTCGTACTCCTTGACCTTGAGGCCACGCTCGAGAATCTCCTCAGCCTATCCAATACTGTTAGTCAACTTGTTGCCCAAAAAAATTCTGTGTTGAATTTTCCAGATTCAATTTACCTTAGGACCGCGGACGGTAACGTGAACAGCAATCTTTTCGTTACGGCGGATACCGAAGGTACGGACGGTGTAACGGGCCTTGCCTGCAGTCAAATTGGTTAATATCTGGATTTTTTTCCTCCTCATGGAAAAATTGGTTGCGACGCACTGTAGACGGGGGTTTGACCAGACAGCTGCTCAAGCACCTTGGCGGCACGAGTGAGTCTGTCACCAGATTCACCGACGGAGATGTTCAGAACGAGCTTCTGAATCTTAAGCTCCCGCATGGGGTTGCTGGACTTTTCGGCGGCCATTGCTGCGGTTGTTGATCGACGTGGTCTGCTGCTGCGTCGGAAAGGGCAAAAAGTGAGGTTGAACAAGGTCGGCCGATTTTGTGAGGGCGGGAAAATTTCGAGGGTTTGTCTGCCCTCAAGCGAGAGCACAAAAAAGCGGGGTGTGGATCCAAATGAGGGCTAGCGTATTCGCTGCATCGCCGCTAGTGATCTTCATGCCTCAATTTGCCCCAGTGAGCTATCGCTAGCAAAAGCTACTGGAAAATACTCTAGAATGCGCCTAAGAGCAGGCCAATAACGAGTATTGGAAAAGTAAATTTCGATAGCACACACAGCTCCTCTTCTCCAGCTGCCAAAGCAGTCACGTCTCGGAATTAATGAGGCATTGAATGCTCGACAGGCTATCTGCACCGCCAAGTACGTGTTGTCTACCATGACACTCCCTGATCTTGCAAGTTTTTCCATTTCACATGTTTTCTACTTTGTAGAATATATACCTAGCGACTGAAAGGTAAATGTCGTTTCCATTGTCTCATAACTTATTCATCGTTAAAGGAGGTCGTAAAGAATACAAAAAAGCAAAGGAACCCGCCCAAGACTCATCCACAGCACATAAAGTTGCCCATCTGTTTTTTTCAAGCTCCCACCCATTGCGTCTTCCCCGTCATTAAGGGCTAGCAACATGACTGAATACCTTTGCAGCCAGTTGGCTCAACAATCTCGCCCTATCGGCTTGGGGAAGTTCCTATGTATACATTAGCGCTCAGAGATATCTGAATAATCAAGTCAGTCTCAGAAGTGGTCTGAGATGCGTAGTAGTGGTGGTAGTTACGCAAGCCTGTCTGTGCCTTACCTGGAAGACTTCATATACGCTCTTCCCCTTTGCGTCTCTGACCGCTCCGAGTCGGTTGCCGGCCACTGCTCCGGCGAGCAATCCAGGGACATTGCCGACGATGAATCCCAGAGCGCCGCCACTGACTGCACCGACCATACCCCACATGGTCGAGCCGGTGCCTTGTTGGTTTGGAGTTCCATCTTCGGAGAACCCCTCGTCTCGCATCATCTCCTCAAAGGCATCGCTAAACTGTGCATTTTCTGCTTCTTGGCGGCCACTCGGGGTGGTGCCGCCGTTCCTATTCTCAAAGTGCTCCCATGCCCACGAATAGCTCTGCCCCGTAGAGTCTTCTGCGTCTGAAAAGGGATCCGATGCCGGCGGCACGTGGTAGTATCCTCGCTGGTCGTCGTATTCTCGTCGTCTGGTAGGGTCGGAGAGGGTATAGTATGCGTCATTGACGAGCTGGAAGCGTCGAGTCCTCTGCTCACGATCGGGCGAGTCGTTGGCGACCCGATCGGGGTGTGTCTTCAGAGCAGCCCTAGAAGAAAGACGGTCAGTTGGTCACCGCCACGCAGACTAAGGTGTTGACATAGATGGGTGACATACCGCTTATACGCATCTCGGATTTGCGAAGCAGAGGCCTTCTCTGAAACCTCAAGGATTGCATCTGTGTTGGCGTATACATGTATCAGCAGGTGCCTCGGCACAAAGTGGCTCCAATGGAGAGCATTGTCTTGCTTCTTTGTCTTGGATCAATGGCGGGGAGAGCTTGTGCTTTGCTGCATCGACTCACAATAATCAGGTGGCGTATTTCTCGTCATTGTGTTAACGTCTTTGGAGGTTTGTAGAAAATTAAAATCGGCTACCTTCCCATCCCTATTATTTAAGAGATGCCAATAAAATAGCCAAGGTAGTGAATTGATAGGTGCCTGATGCAGGTTCGGTGCTACAAGCATGCAGGCCCAGCACAATGATTTATCCAGTACCACGTCAACGTCATGTGGCGAGACGACTATGTGGCTGGTGCCACGTTTGCGCATCTGCAGCCCGACTCCACAAACAGGCTGGTTCGCATGATGGCAGGTACAGGCTTAGCTTGGCCACATGCATTTTACGAGGAGAAGCTGTTATCAAAGTACACCAAAACAGAGCGAAACACGGCAGACGCTATACAGCAAACAATTTATTACTTGCATAGTAGCAATTTATAAAATAACATTACTTGTATACTGTTGAAGATACTCTGTCGAGTGTCCAGCTTCGCCTCTAATCCAATAGGCTATCCATCAAAGAAATCTCTATAAAAAAATGAGCAAAACAAAAAAACCGGCCTCCCAAGCGATACTTCCTAATGTGGCAATGTTATCATTCCCACTCTCTCTAAAACGCCGACTGACCTTGCGATCCGTAATCTCATCATGTATAATTTCAGCCTGGAAGATCGTGTAAATACTGCTGCGCCCTGGTGATGGCGTCTTGGGCCACTTGCAGAGCGTCGTCTATCTTGCCAACCTTTTGGTAGTAGGCGGCAAGCACCCACATGTCTCGGATGACACGTAAATTCGAGGTCGTACCGTGCGCTGCCTCTCGCATGTGAATGGCCTGCTTTAAATTCTCTTCAACGCGGTCCCAGTCCTGTTTGCTCTCACATATTCTGGCCAGCATCTTGCGAGCATATGCGTGGAATCTGGCGTTTGAAAGCGCCCCTGACCAGAACTGGGTGGTATCCAGCAGGTCCAGCGCCATCTGCTCCGCCTTCTCCTTGTCATCCAGGTCCATTTGTGTAAACTCCAACATGAGAGCGTCGACTCTCAACTTCTCCAAGTTACCGTCGTTGCCGTCACTCACCAAGTGTTCTTCATGATGGCCCAGGCTCTCGAGGCCTTCGTACATAATCTCCCGTCTATTAGCAAGCCCATTGTTCCTGCGCAATCTTGTCCGACCATCCCATATCAACTGCTCATATAGCCAAAACTCCTGGGGGGCTGATCTCTTAATGTGCTCCGAAAGAAGATCAACATTGCGTAACCATGCTTGCCGTAACAGATAACAGATGAATTGACGGCCATGCTCGGTTTGATAATCGCACGACAAGAGCTGTTGGAGGATACGAATGAGAGGATGGGTTTCGGGGAAGCGGCTCCGTGCCAGGACAAGCGCATGCCGTATGAACATGCTGAGGAGCTGCAAATGACCTCGGTCGATCATGTCATATATTGTGTCAAGCATGTGCCACAAAAGGTCAGGGTGGTCCTCCGTCAGGACATATTCCATGACATAGAAACCCTTCCTGGCAGCCATGCCCGCTAGGTCACCTTTACCATAGGACCACAGGTCGAAAACCAACTCGAACGTCCGGTACATGGTGCGGCTGTCTTGAATAGGCTTGTTGGGAGTGGCAAGATATCGGGACATGGGATCGGACGCTATGCGATACGACTCCAATTTCTCCGAACTCCAAGTCATGACACCATTCAAGACGAGTTCTAGATCCGCGAGGGGCTTGAATTGGGGGTTTGGTACCAGGTCAAGGCCTGTAACCGCGGGGGTTTCTGGCGTCCTTGGTACTTCCTCGACATCGTCATCTTCTTGCTTTGAATCGGCCGAAGAAGAAGACGTGGAGGTGGAGGTGGGAGTGGCAGCGGAAGCCGAGGAGGGAGTAGAGACTTTGGTCTCAACAGCTGATTTGCGATACGCTCGTTTTCTTATATTCCACTTCTTGAATCTCTTCTTATACATTTGCTCGCTTTTGCATTGGGTTAGCACACTGGGTTAGTCACCCCTCGCCTCGCTTGGTATTTTGCCTATTCTTTGCATACGAGTAGTGGTAGTACTCGCATGTACCTTGAGTAGGCGTAGGCATGTGCAAGGAGGTAGGTAGCAAATAGCAAACAACAAACAGCAGGATCGTGACTTACGTAGCGGCGAAGCCATACTTGGTCTCCATGATGGCCATGATTTCATTCAACTTGCGATTGTCGCCTATGTATAGCGCCTCAATGAGGTCCTTCCGCGCGGCCCACTCCTTTTCCGTGTGCTCTTTGACGCTCGGCCTCTCGACGACCGGCGGCGAATTGCCTGGCAGGCGAGGGGCCAGAGCCGGCAGACGGGGCCTGGCGGGATACATGGCGGGATGCTGGCCAACTGGCGCGGTCACTGTTATGCTGCCCATGAATGATAGCTGCTCTGGTGTAGAGAAGACATGGCCAGCCGCATGGCCATGACGGGCCCTGAAAGGAATCGGAAGAGAAGGTTTTTGGTGCAGAAGTTGAGCCACGATGCGAGTGGTCGTGAATCGGTACTAGGCTAGTACCTCGCTACTTCGTGCCTTACAGTACCGCGTATAGGTACCTCGGCTGCTACCCGGGCCGCAGAAGCAGTCAAGTGATCTGCGCCTGATTGGCGGTAAAAGTTCCCTGCATGGAATTTAAGCTTTTTACAGCAGTTGGATTGGCTGCACATCACGTGGGCCGTTTGGCTGTTTGTACTGGTACGGATCCTACGAAACAGAGTTTGTCCGTCTATTTGTGGTCCAGGGCCAGAGGTACGAAGTGGCGACGAAATTGTTCCGTCTCGACGAAGACAAAATGTGACGAGCATGTGGTGCAGTGATTTATCAGCACTTGGGAAATCATACGGCTGCAGAGAAAGCTACGGTAAGTACCGAGTGTAAGTTGAGAATATTTCTGTCATGTCTACGGAGTACTCCGTAGAGTATCTGTTGCTTTTATATCTGGACAATCTATTTCCGGACTCGCCTTACATGTCGAGCGATTATTTCCGCTCATAGTCGGCCAATGCTATCCGGGTGCCTCACCAAAGTACAATCATGGCCACCTCGGCAGTATGTATCTAGAGAACAACCCGCCCGCCTATTATGTGCCATTACCCAGCCAATTGGAGCATTTAGCGTTCCACCACAAATCTGAATTTGATATCATGAATCCAAAGTACTTTGACTGTCCAACCAATGGCTTTTCTGTATGCTCAACCGATCGAGATAAGCTTCGGGACGATCCGGGCCCCAGTTGAGAGGATTTAATCTCGGTACCTATATATAACAACCATGCTTATCGTGACGACTGTTTGCATAAGTGCCGTGGCTAATGGTTATCATTATCTGGTTTGAGTCTGGAAAATTGACCGACAAGCTATTTTGTGTGTTGTATATCCAAAAAGTGTGGGTAAGCTTGGAAAAGTCTCATATCAAATCCAGTAGACCACTATTGTGGCTCAACTACCTACCCGGAATTACAAACATACTTTCATATTTGTAGGCATATTTCGCTCCAGTGTGCTGAATAGGTCCTATTGTTACGGGAAGTACGTTCTTTATAGTGAGATGAAGTCTTGGGCCCTGTTGCGTACATGTCCAGGTATACATGTAAGCAGGTTCCAGGGTACCTATTTGCATTTGTGCTCACACAATCTCACTGGATCAAATGCAATCGTATTGAAACAGCTCAACCTATTGTTTCAACCGACAATTCAATATTGTTAACTCCGAGAATAAATAGTAATGGTTGCTTGGAAATATTGGTACTGCAGCATTACTAGGAAAACGAGGCAAGCTTGTAAGCGCGCATCGTGTCAGACTGTCCCGAACCAATCACACGCAGCTGAACCCAGCGTAGGTAGACAAGCCATAATTGAAGACTTCGACATCTGCATTCTAATACCGGAGTTTAAGATACAATGTAACACTCAATCTTCAAATCAGAGCAACACGATCTCTTGGCTCTCATTCACTGTATAGGGAACCCGGGCTTAGTGAGACAGTTATATATAGGTATACTAATCTCATAATCACAACACGACCGTATCTGTATTAGCAGCCCGTAATCATACATGATAGTAAGCTTGTAATCAACTGCGCATCACTCAACGCATGCATTGTCAACCTCTCGGACTTATACCAAGAAAATGCTTCACTCATAATGTCTCAAGAAATATCGAATGATGAGGCTGAAATTGACATGCCGTAGAAATGGGTACGCCTTGCCAGCATAGATGAGTACATGTATATATATGAAGCGAGAATAACCATGGTTTAACGTTCCTCTCTCTCGACCGTCCGCCATCAGAACCAACTTTAGAGAAGATGGGCAAAATAATCGACGCTCTTCAGCAAGCGCTTCCACTCCTTGGCGTTGCAGCTAACGTCACGGCTGCTTCCATTTCAAATATCTTTGCGGTCCCAGATACAGCCTGGAAGTCACTCAATGACAGTGTCTCTGGCCGGTTGCATCTTGCCTCGCCTGCGGGCTTACCGTGCTTCACCAGCTATGAGAATGCATGGGGGCTTGATGCAAATGCGCCTAACGGAGCACAATGTCAGACAGTCGAATCTGGGCTGTCGACGTCTCTGGACATCATCTCGAGATTCGGAGGTTACCATAACCCGACTTTCAGCACTTGCATGAGGCGCGGCCAGAAATGCACCCTGACTGCGACTGGGGGCATACGCAATGATACCTGCTTTCAAGGAACGGTGCCCGACTACTATGTGGATGCCCAGTCAGTCGAGGATATCCAGAAGAGTTTGCAGTTTGCTCAGCAGTACAAACTTCCCGTCACTGTCAAGAATACTGGCCATGATTATAGGGGCGGAAGCGCAGGTGTCAATACGTTTGCCATCTGGACGCACAACTTTGCTCCTGACCCAGTGATTACCGAGAACTTCACTCCTGACGAGTGTCCCAGCCCTGTCGGACCTGTCGTGACATATCATGCCGGCCAAATCGGCACCCACTTGTACAACAGCCTTCAGGGAACCGGTTATATGGTAAAACTCTGCCCCCATATCCAAGTCACCAAAAACAGTTCCTGATCAATTCTGTGTTCTTAGATCGTCGCTGGATCATGTCCTTCTGTTGGACCTTCTGGAGGATGGATCGCTGGCGCTGGCCACGGCATCTTCACGCCGTCTTTTGGCCTCGGCGTGGATAATGTCCAACAAATGAAAGTTGTACTGCCCAACGGAACATACGTAACAGCCAACCGATGCCAGAATAAAGACATCTTCTTTGCTCTCCGTGGCGGTGGTGGAGGTACCTTTGGAGTAGTGACAGAAACTACCACTAAGCTTCACCCAGACCAGGAATACTCGGTGAGTTCCTCACTGACCATATAGTATCTTGGCTAACAGCAAGTCCTTTTTACAGTATGCGTTCGTGCAATTACCTGTACCGGACGTTCGCACAGCTAACGAAGTTTTGGTTGCAAATGCTGAGAGGTGGTCTGAAGAGGGCTGGGGAGGTGTTTACGGAGTGCTGGACGTCGCGGGTAGCCCCAACCTTGTATGGCTCGGCTACAATGCGAACCTCAACCTCGACGAGGGCAAGGCTTCTCTGAAGCCAGTGACTGACTACCTCAAGTCCCTGCCAGGCAGCGAGCACTTGATTACCGACTTTAGGACCCTGCCGAATCAATTTACCGCACAGAATGATCCCGCATTGCTCTCCATTCTCTTGCCTGAAGCCGGAGTTTCTTTGACTCGATCATCTAGATTGGTGCCCAAGAAGAATTTCCAGACTGCCGATGGGCAAAAGGCGCTGGTTGACGCTCTCATGGCTAACAAGTTCGGCTGGGGAGCTGTCATTGCATCTCCAACCAACTATACTTTGGCCGAGTCAGACCAACCTGGCGGCCCGGGCGAGTCTTCGGTGTCACCAGCATGGGTAAGTCCAACTTGTACTATTAAATATGGTTGATATAATCAACTTGGAGCTGACACCTTGTTATAGAGAGATTCCGTGTGGCATCTGACTTACACAACGACTTGGGATCCAGCAGACCCAGATGCCACCAGCCCTGAAGCTCTCGCGAGCATGTTCCAGGAGATGAGCGAGGCAATGGACCCCATACGTGCCATTACCCCTGGCGCTGGCGCGTACCAGAACGAGGCTGATGTTTATGAGCCTGATCCTATTGGGTCGTTCTGGGGCGAAAAGAACTATGCTCGCCTTCTTACCATCAAGAAGCAGCTTGACCCGGATAACTTGCTGTCGTGCTGGAACTGCATTGGGTGGAACGTGAATGATGAACGACACGAGTGCTATCTCAATGTGAGAGGCATCGGGCCGTCAAACTGAGATTTTGATGTTTACATTGCAGGCACTTAGAATTGCTTCCATGTGCAGGTACTCGTTACAAATAAGAAAGCAACAACCTCGCACTAGATACAAGTACCTAATACTCTACTCTTTAGTTGAATGTAATAACCTGCTATTCGAGCTGCTGCGCGTCATTGTCAAATTGTTCTAAGCTGAAAAAATTGCGTGTGTTACTATCAAAGTGAAGCCTAGACCGGAATGGGATAGGATAATGGCATTCAATAAATGATAATCTGCAGCGTTTGATGAGACATGTCGTGTCGCGTTGCAAAACATTCCCGATGGCGATTGCATCATGTTGTCATTGATGCCAATCCATCGATGACGCTCACACGCGTAGTCGCTCAGGTGCAGGGAGAATCCCTGGGCGTCGCCACAGCGGGTCAAGCGCTGAGCAACGTATTGATGCGGGGGGCTCCAGGGCAGGGTCAAGTGCCGAGCCGGCTGATGAGCTCCAGCTCCTTCACAGGCATAGGCCAGGGTGAGAGAATGATCAGGACAATGAAAAGCACATAGGCATATGAATACGATAAAAGGGATTGACTTTATTCATCGATATGTAGGTAATGAGATAAATCAGATACCAATATTGCCCTGTCAATTCCCATCTCATCAACCTTTTTTGGCCTGGATTGTGCAATGTACAGGGCGCCGCCACAGCACACGCCCCCTGGCCCGAGGTACATGTACAACCTCATTTCAATCCGCCTACACCTCCCACCGAATCGGCACCAGACCGGAATCAGCATCGACCAAGGAGAAAATCCAGGAAATCATCAACGGTGGCTCATTTCAGTTTGAAAGCTTACACTTATCGCATGTACACCTACTGTACGCCCCTTTCTCCGCCCTGCTCTCATTCGTTCGTCTGGCTGCAATGACACGACGAATTGATACGGCGTCTATGACGTACTTGTTACCCGAGTCCAACGTCACTCACCTGTGCGATTGGCATCAACGGGCTGGAAAGCTTGCAACAGGCCAGGCAGAGCAGCCGTTCTAGTCTAGACCCCCGTGCCAGCTGCTGCTATTGGTAGCGGTCGATCAGTGATGGAAGCAGCGAGCAGCTCGCTGTGATTCCGTGGTAGCAGCTATAAACTTCGCGAGTGCCGCATCCAGCTCTTGGCTTGGCCCTTCTCTTCTTTCCTCCCTTCAAGACATCAATTGAAAACTTGCAATTCTACTAATCCGGCAGTGTTGCCATCAATCACTGCTCTTAATTCCTGTGATACCCCGAGAGCTATTGCTCTTCACGTCTACTGAAAAAATACCCCTACCAAATCGACCTTTGTTTTTTTCTTGGTCCGTTTACGTTTCTCCTTACGAATACTCCCTGTTACGCGACAAGTCTAGGAGCACTTTTTGATTTTGCAATCTCTTCTACTTTCTTCTCGATTTTGCGCTTTAAACATACAAGACAACCCTAAGAATAGCAAGATCTTGCCGTCACCATGGCTGCGAATGTCAACAGACCCACCGACACCAAGCAGAAGGAGGATGACATCAATCGCAAGCTGCAGATCTACGGCATCTTTCATGCCTTCAAGAATGGGAAACTCCCGTCGGTATGTTTTGCTCCACCATTCGTGACATGTGCTGGCGTGCTATAATGCGATCATGTACTCACTCACTCCTTAGAACGATCAAATCGACGTGGCATTGAACAGCTTCCTGCAATCTAGACCTCTCGCGAGCCCCTCTGACAAGTTATCCGATGACGGAAAACTGCTGGTGGAGGATGCGAGGGAGGTTGTGAAGCTTGCAAAACAGCTCCTGCTATCCAAGAACCACGGCAACCTGCTCCAGGACTTCATCTGGCAGACTACCCATTATGACACACAGAGTGTCCAGGCCCCGGGAACTACATTGACTAAAGACGCCGCGACACGAGACAAGGACGATGCTCTCGAAGGGCTAAGAACTCTAGGCACCTTGCTCATCACCAATGGGCAGTTCCGCAAACTTCGTGAGTCAAACACAAGTTACTCTCTGTGTTCCAGTTCCATACAGCTAACTCTTCTGTTATAGTCAAGGATGCTAGTATCCTCGTCCGCGACATGGTTGGGGATGGCGCTACTAACGCTGCCAACTTTATTCGTCCCTCGGATGAACAACTTCGCCAAATGGACCATGCCGCCCCAGACAACACGTGGCACGAGAAGCCCGATTTTTCCAAGGAGAATCTAAAGAATCAGGCTCGAAACGTCTACAAGGGCGATCCCAAAAAGGACGCCCAAGACGTCGTCTCGGCTGCTGCTACTGGTACTACTGGTTCAGTGCCTCAAGCTGGGGGTACGGGTGCAGTGCCTCAGGCTGGAGTAGCGCCTCAAGGAGGAGATATTCCACAGATTAGAGTCGCCCCTGAAACAGGAGTCGCACCCGAGTATGGAGTGGCTCCTCAGGCTGGAGCTGTCCCTCAGGTTGGAGCAGTTCCTCAAGTTGGAGCAGTTCCTCCAGCTACGGCTCCTCAGGGCACAGTCACAAGCACATCTCGTACCAATGCAACCTCCGGTCTCGACGCAGCTCAGGCAGTTGTGGACCAGAAGCTGGACCGTAATTTGGACGACGAGACGCAAGAAAAGGTCACGAAGCGGAATGAAGAGTACCGCCGCAAGGCCAGAGAATACCTGAAAAAGAAGATGCCTCAAGAGCGCAAGGATCAGGTCATCTTTCGTCTCAAAAAGATTGTGCTTGAATGCCAGCAGCACCCCGATTACTCCCAAGCCGTTCAAACGCTCCTCCGGCTGGCTGAGGAATACGGCCGGCATGGGCGCAACCTTGGAAAGGGTTCCGCCGACTCTGCCAAGGATGTCCGTACTGGACTGTCCGCAGCCGAGGAAGATTTGCGCACTCTGATTGAGCGGTTCGCCAATGGCACCTCGACCGAGGATCTTTGGCGGGCCATCGGCCAAATATACAAAGATGCTGATAGGGACCAGGAACTTCGAGACTGGTTCAAGCAAGTTGACACCTACATCCGCAAGTGCCTGTTGGAGCAAGGCTACGTCCTTGAAGACGCCTCCACTGATGAATGGAACCGGCTCTACGATCATGGTCGATACCTGCTGCGTGAGAAATATCGCGGCCACACCGACCGCGTTATTGACGAGGTCAGGTTTGTTGCGGATCAGTTTGACCACGATCCTCAGAACAAGGCATTTGGCGTTGCAGTCCAGAAGCTGTTCAAGGACTTGGGCAATGATGAGAATGGAAAACCAACCTTTAAGCCTCACCTCGTCAAGGATCTAACCGAAGTCATCGTCCCCGCCATTTTTGAGAATATTGCATACGTGCCGATCCCACGCATTGAATATTCTGATCCTAAAGTTGATGCGGTCATTGAGAATCTGGTCCTCGAGAGTGACAATTTCATGCCCAATGTCCTTGAAGTAGCCAGCGATAATTACTTCCGCTGGGGACGCAAGAAGATTGCCAACAAGCACAAGAATACCGTGGACATAAAGGTTACTGGTATCCAAATGGATCTCCGAGACGTCAGCTATCACATCAAGAAGAAGTCTGGATTCCCCTCCATCACCGACACTGGAGTACTTGATCTTTTGCTGCCTGGTGACGGTTTCTCCTTTAGGTTGAAGGTGTCTACTCCTGAAAAGAAGGACGCTCAACACGTCTTCAAGGTAGAAAAGGTGGACGTCAACGTTAAGGGCCTGAAGCTCAAGATTAAGAAATCCAAGCACAAGCTCTTGTTCGCGCTCTTCAAGCCCCTTGCGCTCAGGGCTGTCCGTCCGGCTCTCCAAAAGGCCATTGAAATGGCCATCAAGGACGAGTGCGACAAGGCCGATGAGTTCCTCTTCCAGGTCAAGCAGGAGGCGGACCGTGCTCTCGAAGAAGCCAAGGAGGACCCCGAGAATGCGCCCAACATCTACAACCGGTACTACAAAGCTACTCATAAGCGAATCCTCCAGGGCAAGGCGAAGGCAAAGGCCATCACGCAGGACAAGAAGGTCAACGTCGCTATGACTAAACAGGAGAGCATCTTCCCCGACATCCACCTTCCCGGAGGCATCAGCTCCAAGGCCACGGAATACAGGGAGCTCGCTGCCAAGGGCGACAGATGGGAGAGCCCCGTCTTTTCCATTGGCGACGCCCAAAAGAGCACGGATATCCCTCCCGTGCCGCGAATTGAGAGAAAGACTCATACTGTAACTGGTGGACGGGCCAACGGAAATATTAACGGCTCAGCCAATGTAGGAGGAGGTGGCTTCACGGCCGGAGAAGGCACAAGCGGCCACCAACTTGGCGGACAAGGTCTCACTGCATACTAGGGATGCGGTGGTCAGCTCAAGTCCAGAAGGTGGAAGAAGAGTGGTGATCAGTCACTTGAAGGTGAAGATGTGGAAGTTCTATACCCATTGGGACAGACGTAACGTTGTGCTATTCTATTCTTTTTTATCTCCTTTGTCCTATCTCCCTTCCTTCCTTTGTTCTTGGCTTCACGATTAATGCTCTACCGTTTCTATTATATCCATCCCGCTCCTTTACTGGCGATTGCCTACCTGATACCATGGTAGTAATAGTTGTGTAGCAATTAAATTGATGAGTTTTAATTATTATTGCCGCATGTTTGACCAATTTCGAGACATTATTTTAATGACATACAGCTGTATCGCTGATGTTGGCTCCAGCTCTCTGAAATGATGAGATACTGTCCAGTAGAAACTAGATGACGGCACCGGAACATGTACTGTAGTAGTATGATCTCGGTGGCGTACGGCCACTGCCCAATTGAGTTTACGGCTATGGATTCAACGACGTATCAATGAGGTTGGACGTTGTTTGTGAGTCCCTTGCTTTGTTTCTTGCTTTGTTTTAGCCTGTGACCTGGACGCTTAACAAGGTCAAACTACGTGGTTGTTCGTATCGGCAGATGCGGCTTTGTTTAGCAGCAAAGTACCGTCCAAAAGAAAACGGTTGGACGGGATTCTGCACTAGCCGATCGAACGGGGCATCGAAGATCGGATAGGTATGCTGTAATACTGCTGTTCATATGCTTACTCAACGCCATGCATTTTCTATCTGCCGTGACGGACATTGACCGCCACCCAAATGCATACTTGAATGAGTGCCATGGACGGCTTTGTATCAACATAGTGTACTCATTTCATTGTTATTTTTATTTTATTAGAGACTCTTCATTTTTCTTTCATACTGGATTAATCTGAGGAAGGATGCGATAAAATAGCTCTCTGCCTAGAGACCCCAATCTCTAATAAGCCAACAAGGGCATATCCAACTTAACACAATCAGCCATGGAGGCGGAAAAGGCGGCAGAGGCGCCTTTATCAGCGTCTGAGCCTGTGCATTCATCAACGACAACTACGACAAGGATTCTAACGGACGAGCAGACGCGGGCGCTGTTTGACATCCTGACGCACCGGGAGACGTATGCCGAGATTGAAGGCTTCAAGGCCCCGGATGCGGTGACGGGCTACGGGCGTCCGTTTGCTCGGACGATGCTGAAGCAGACTGCGTCGGCGGCGGGGACGCCCAAGGCGGGGACGCCGAGATCGAGGACGCCCGTGTCGTTTTGGCGGGCGAGGAGGGGAGTTGATAATGATACGAAGAGCGAGGCAGATGCTGATGGTGGTGATGAGGCTGACAGCGACAACGACAGTGACGACGAGGCTGGCGGGAGAGAATCCACGTCGCCGCTGCTGCAGTTCATGCTGACGAGGCTGGTGCTGCCGCTGCCGGGCGTGCGAGACTTGCCCACGGGTTTCTGGAACGTGAGGGTGCAAGGGTTGCTGGCGAGGTTTGCGGAGGCGGAGCTTTCGGAGAGTTATGATAAGGGCGCGATGGGGACGAGGAAGACGTTGGCGACGGGGGCGAGCAGCGTGTTGGAGATGGTGGCGAGGGGGATCTTGGGAGGCGTGGTCAGGACGACGGGGAGCGAGGGCGAGGAGAAGAAGGGGGAGTATGATGAGACCAAAGCGGAGGACTTGTTGAGGGCATTTGGAGATGTTTTGGAGGATTGGGCGTATGGCGATTTGATGGGAAGGGTTTCGGAGCATGTTACGGAGACGGAGGACGTGGAGAGTTTTTCGCCGGCTGTTAAGGCTGCGATGAATTATGCCATTATCAAGTGAGTTTTTGTCTTTGTCTTGATCTTGATGAGATGGATGAGTTTTGGATGGAGTACTGGTCTGACTGGACTGACTTTGCTATAGCGTCGCTACTTTTGCGCATCACACCTTTACCGTCTCTCCAGAGGGTCAGGATTTGCTCAAGCTGATTGAGAATCTCAACAGCTTGGTGCCCTACAAAATGATCAAGCAGACGCTGCGCATCGGCAACGCAGCTACCATGATCAGCGGCATGATGCGCCTCATGCTGGCAAAGATTAGCGTCACCAGCTTGACCAACTGGGTCGGTCTCACAGCCAACGCAGACGACGGGATGAATCTCCTGCAGAGAATCATCTCACTAGCTTTGTCGTGGGATGCCTCGGAATTCAAGAAGAGCGTCGATAAAATCGAGAAGAGCAAGGGAGATGCTGCGCCGACGGATGAGATGCTCGAGGCGATTCGTTTGCACGTTTCGTTGCCTCGGAGCGAACATCTCGCTGTGAGAGAGGCGAGTGTGCGGGATTCGGAGTCGATTGTCGTGGCTATTCTGAGGACGTCGGATCCGCTGCTGGTGGAGGCTCTTACGGAGGCTCAGCATGCGCAGTGTTTGGAGTATTACGCTGCGCTGCTGTCGGTGCATGATCGCGAGGGGATTACTTCGGTGCTGTGTCGGCAGCCGCCGGATCTGTTTACGCAGGCTGTGAAGGATGTCGTTGGCGCGTACGAGCCGATGATTCGGGATGTGCATTCGCAGATTGACATTCGGTACTATCTCGAGGCGATACAGGGCTTCGTGTCGGAACTTGTTCGCGTGAGCAGGCAGAAGAAGGTGAAGCGGAGCAAGCAGAAGAAGGACGATGGCGAGGGCAGTTCCAAAGAAGAAGAGGAGGAAGAGCAGGATGGGGCGAGCGTGGAGGATTACGTGGTGCTGTTGAGGAATCATCGGGGGTTGCTGTATAAATGGGTGCATGATTTCGCGAAGAATTGTCCCGATGTGTGGAAGGATTTTCCTGCGTGGGGGCAGGACATCGCTGTGAAGTTTCGAAAACCAGACCGTGATGGGCATGGGATAGGGGAGGAGAAGAAAGGGATGGAGGAGCAGCTTGATGGGATGGTTGGGGATCTTGATGGGGAGACGCGGGAGGATGTATTGAGGGCTGTTGATGAGCATGCGGAGTATCTTGCGGCTATTACTCGAGTGTCTCAACGGCGGTTACAAGCTGTCATTAATGCCGCTGACTCTTCTTCTACGTCTGCTGCGTCTGGTTCTCGGACTACGGCGTCTGGACCTGGAATCTATCTCTCGCAGTGGCAGTCCCTCCTCGACTCTACGATAATCACACCATCTTCGAAAGAAGGCCCTCTACGTCATGGCGAAGACGTCAAATACGTTACTACAATGGGAAAACTCGGTCTAGGAGGGCGAAGATTGAAAGGAGGGAAAGGGGTGGGAGAGGAGGAATTAAAGGCGCCGGATGTGAGTGTCGTGGAAGAGGCTTTGGGGGACGCGTTTAGAGATGTGATTCGACAGAGAGCAGGAAGTGATGGGGAGGTTTAATCTTTGGGGACTTGGTGTTTCTGGTCTTGGGTTTGGTTATTAATTTTATATAGGCATGTTCGGGAAATAGAGTAGGATTTGTTAAGAAAAAAAATAAGCTAAGTAATGATTTGTGATGGAGTTGTGTATATATGTTCCGTGAGCATGATAAGGTATGCATCGTAAAAGCATAGTAATAATTAAGATAAAGATGAAGAAACTGCTCCCAATGTTAAAGACATGAAAACTGATAACAATGATTTCACATCACATTCAGATTCCCCTTTCCGGGTGTTATGTACCTTCTCCAGCACTCAAAAAGGCTCGGGAGACTCAGAGCACCGGCGAGAAGGAAGCTCGATCCACATAGTCGACCCCCTCCTACCTTGAGGATGGGGAGCAGCCGTAAAGATTCTCACGCCTCCGACATCTTTGCCCGAGGCGCGGTGGTTGCTCGGAAGACGAGTCGGCGTTACTTGTTCCTTTCGTACAGGTGGTGCTTGTGAGCGAGCATCGCGAGTCCAAGTGTAGTTTCGGGAAGTTCTTGGTCTGCTGCTATTGGCACGGGCGCGTTGTTGTCTGCCTCCGCTAGGTGGTGGCGTAAGCAGGGGATTCGTCTCGATTGCAGCTTCTATCGTCTCCATAGCCAGTGCGTCTTCTGGCTCTGCAGAAGCAGCCGCAGCATATCTCGGGGGCGCAATCTGAGGTGTAGCGGGGAGAGGCTTGTTGATGTTCTCGAGGTTCGTGGCCTTGCGCTGCTGCTGCTGTTGAGCGGCAAGAGTCAAGATGGCATCTCGGGCGCTTGCGGGGCACTCGTCAATTTGGCCGACACAATATGCCAGGCCTTCGATATATGTGTCCGTCGGGGCGCGTGTGTTGAGGCCTTGTTCGGGCGTAGGCGAGTCGGTGATGGTGTTGCTGTCGACGGTAAGATTAACAACCTCGGAATTGACGGGGTGGTCGCTAGAGAGATCGATAGTCTCAATAACATGAACGTCATCTGTCATGACAGTGTCGGAGTCGAGTTGAATGGCATCTTGCGACTGCGGAGGATTTGCCCGACTGCTGTCCATTCTCCTGTTTTCATACACTTTTTTCACCAGCCGGTCTCTCCATATAAGTTTGAGGGTGATTCCCGTGGCATTCTGCAGCCTCCTCATAAACTTGCCGCAGAAAGAACAGTTCTTGCGAGAAAAGTATATTTCGAATGCAGGCTTCGAGCCGTCATCCCAAGCTGCATGTCGTAGCGCCCTCAGGTGCTCAGGCGAAACGTTATCCAAGTCTTGCGTGATGCCAAAGCTACTCAGCAAGATGCAAATGGCATGCACCGCGAGCTTCACTTCGACGTGGCTGCCCTGAAATACGCCATCCATTCGCACACCCATAGTTCGAGTGACGATCCCATCATAGGGTCGGTTCATGCGCAGAGAGAGAGCGCGGCCCATGTTGATGGCCCTCTTCGTCCATAAGTCGTTGGGAAGCACACTGGGATCGGGATCGAGCAGGTCGCCTAGACGGCTGATCCCATGCCCGCTCTGTGCCCAGGCCAAGACAACCCGCTTCTGGTTTCTGCCAGTCCGAAGGGCGAGGAACCCCGTCACTTTGGCCTCCAGACGCTTAGAGATGACGGAGGCGGCTAAACGCAGCTCTTTTGCGCGCTCGTGTCGAAAAGTGTAGGCGAGGTTTGGACCAAGCACTTCAACGCGGAGGGTAGCATCGGTAACATCGATGATGTGATGGAAATAACAGGCGGATGTCGTATCCCGAAAAGCAGCATCAAACTCGGGTAGTTGCCTTGGTTGGGGCGACTCTTCCTCAGCGACCGCCTCCATTATGGCATCAAGGCGATGCCGTGAATTGTAGAGGTTTGAAGGAGGTTTCACATTCGAAGAATCTGTAGGTCATAAAGCTGCTGTCATTGTATCAGCTCAAATCCCTTGACTCTTAAGCGAGAAATATGTGGTGAAGTTGGCTTCACACTCACCCAAGATATCTCACGAGCAAAGGGCGATGAGAGGTTCACGATAGTTGCACCAATCAAATCTGCTGGGAGACTTGACATTGATGGAAGATCCTTGAACAGCGCAATGACCTGCGGTAACACGGCTCTGCAGGCGGTCAAGCGCATATCCTGCCTCTCCACCTAGAAGAAGAGGTTGTGCAGTGGTTGAAATCGCTGCACCAGGACCGAACGCGGTGATTTTGCTGAAATAGCTGCATGATGAATTGGTTGCTTGGGCAATAGGGAAAGCCATTAAATAATATTCTTCACTTTGCCGGGGCAACGGATGTGATTCCATGTGTGACAAAAGGTCTGTCAAGGAACATGGCGTCGAGATGCCAAATGCGAGCCTTGCGGAGTAATATGGATTGCCATCGTGTGAAGATACGGAGCTTTCTTGAAGTGGATATTGAAGCAATTGATGTGTATGAGAATGGTTATGACAACGAGTGCGAATACGTGATCAAGTAAGAGTATCATGAAGTCTGTCGAGGGAAAGAGCTTGGTGTTTTGGGCCTGATATTGATTGCAGTTGGTTTGGCTTAGTAATCAAGACAGCGGCCATATCCAACATGAACCGGGCAAGATGGCAACGCAATCATTACTGGGATAGCTCTATATAGCTGTCTGGTTGTTAACAGCTAAACACATAAACATCACATCAAGTTGGAACGCAATATTGATCAAGAGACGGCTGTGGCACGTCCAGTTTGGTAACCGAAAGCCCAAAACCAGAGGGAATCTTGTTCATACATCTCAAACACTAAGACCGTACGCCCATTCCAATGCCGCCATCCATGACAGTTGTAAGAGAAAAGCAAAAAGACTTTTTTTTTATTTTGATTTACTCCTCATCCTCCTCCTCGGCCTCAGCGGTGGTCTGGGCAATTCGGTCCAAATCACGCTGGCCGGACTGGGTGATGCGGCGGCCACCCTTGTCCTCGTCCTGCTCAACGACGCCAATCTTCTCGAGGGCCTGGAGGACCTTGCGGTCGACGGAGCCGGAGGCATCGACGTGGTGGCTGGGGCGGTTGCCACGGTTCTTGGCAGTGCCGTGAACCTTGCGGAGACGGCCAACACCGACGGTCTTGCGGAGGTAGACGTGGCGGGCGACGGAGGCGGCACGGACGTAGAACCAGTCAATGTCCTGGGGAGGCAGCTCCTTGGCGGGACCAGTCTTGACGGTGTCAACCCAACCTTGTATAATGTCAGTATATGCGCGCCCATGTTTTATGCGTTCAACTAAAAAAGTGAAAAACTTACCAGGGATGGGCAGCTTGCCCTGGCGCTTCAAGAAAGCAGCATAGGCAGTGATGAACTTTTGCGCCTGATTACAGAAAAGAGACCCATTAGCAAATATTCCGTCGTCAGAAGTCTTGCGACTCCCTCGCGCCTGCTCCTAGATCCCTCAAAGAATTTTTTCCACATATATGCCACGCTTATACACAACCATGTATGCAGCTGGTCCGAGGCTCAGGCAGCTGGTTTTTTCTCAATGCATTGTATTCAGATCAAACTCAAGCCGCTGCGGCTCGTCGGAGCCAGACCACAACATCGCCGCGTCGGAGGTTTCGAGGATAATTTTTTGTTTCTTCGGGGCCAAGTTGCGAGATCGTCGAGAGGTGATCGTGAAGAGGGGGAAATCCTAGATTTTATGATTTCAATGTGTTTCAAGGAGGACCTACATCGACATCGCGAACGGTGATTCCGCCGGCCATTTTAACGGTGTTGGATGGTTGGTTGGGGAGATGGTGAAGCTGGTGGACAATTGACTGGGCGTGAGGTCAAAGAAAGTTCGTCTAGATTGAGCACGCACGAGTTGCAGTGGACTTGGGCTCAGTCTAGGGCTTTGACCCTAGCGCGAACGAGCTGGGTTGTGAAGTGAAAAATGAAATGATGACTAAGGATTCAGCCACGTGCATCGGCCACTAGAACTCTTCGCGTTCCCACTAGCTATCGGAATAATATCGGCTAGTTGCTGCAACATTGAAGCCTTGGATTTGATTCGATACAATACAACTTGAAGTACGGAGCGTTTATGATGGCGATACAAACAAGTTGATGAAGTTGTAAATCACGTTGAAAAACCTATAGACTATTATACAGATCTAAAACTATTTCCTTTTTCCAACTCCAAACCCAAGTGACCGAAGCGCCTCTAAGAACCAGACCATCCGCGATAACCGTTATACTCCATATCCATACAATCGTAACTGAAACGAAAGACAAAGAACCCAGAAACTTTTCCCATTACGCCCATTTTGCCAACAAAGACATGATTGCAACTCCAACAGCCACACATCCAAAAGCAAAGAGCTGAATCTTCAATGGTGCCTTGCGCATGTGGGGGTTGAACATGAACTCATGTGCGAGGAGCTCAACCAGTCCGGTGTACATGAGGATGCCCGCGCTAATAGAGTCAAAGATGCCATTCACCAACTTCTGGGTATCGGCGTTGTTAGGCCTCGCCCCGATGCCGGCTGCCGTGCCGATTGGAGTTGAAATGGCAAAGATGAAGCCAAGCAGATAGGGCATCCACTGCTTATTCTTGGGCCAGGGCGCTGTTGCTAGCCGCGACCCCAGACCGAGGCCCTCAAACATCTGATGGAAAACCAGTACAACAAGGAGAACAACCAGATCCTGCGTCGTACCGAGAGTGAGTCCAATAAATACACTGTGAAAGACAACACCAAACTCGAGGACAAAGATGGCGGTGAGCTGGCCCGCGAGGCCACCGTGAGAGTCGCCGTCATCGTGCTCGTGGCCGTGTGCGAGGTGATCTTCACCACCGGGTGGATAGCTCACATCGTCCGGGAGGCCAGGAATATTTTTAGGATCCGGTCCCCGTAAGACACCGCCCCTCTCGAGGTCGTGAGGACAGGCAACCTCCAGTGCTTCCTTCTCTTGTAATTTCTTGCCAGATAATACGGCCAGTGACGGGTCAGAATCGCTGTCTGAGGACACCGAGTGGCTGTGTCCATCGTCGTCCTCCCCTATTCTTGCAGCAAGAAGCTCAACAAAAAACATGACCATGACCGTCATCAAACTGATGCACAGCGCCCACGGATAGTCGCCGAGTCGCGGCTCAAGGCAGGGGTCTGATAGATTATCCACGGCTGGGTCCAACAGGTGCATCCAGGCAGTTGCAATGATGACTCCAGTACCGACATATTTGCATATGAAGAATGTGAACTTAGGCACATGCATCTTCTGTTGTCTAGCCAGGAGGATGGGTGCAAATGCGCCAAAGGTTGCGGCCGCCATAACGATGAAGATAGAGCCGATACGCAGCCCGCGGTTGGTGAGATCGACAACATCTCCGTTGCAAGTATTGTCGCTGTCCGCCATGGTTATTTGTGTGCTGCTATTGTTGCCACGAAAGTAGTGAATGTCCAGTCTTTTTTGATGTAGCAAGTTCGAAAACCAGAGGCGACAGGTGAGCGCGGGATGCTCACTATATATCGATATCGAGTCTTGTCAAAGCATAAATGGGCAATAAGCTGCTTTGAAAATATTATTTGCGCCCCAGAAGGGTAATCGGTATATGTTATCTTCGAGACTGAGGTCCAAGTTAAGGAAGTATGCGTGCGCCAATCTTCTGGTGAAACTCGCTCCCGATAGAGGCGGTGTAGAAAATAGAAATAAGAAAAGACTGTCGAAAAGAAGATGCTCGCAAGATGTCAAACCGCGCAAGATGTCGCACAGATGCGGAAAGTTCCGTCAGTCGTGACCCTGGCAGTGAGGCAAGAACGAAGATGCTCCAGTCGAAGAAGAAAACGGCGCTTCGACAATTAAATGAGAAGAGGAGAAGCCTGAGGTCCAAGATTTCTCCAGAAAGTTTCCCGACTGAATATCTACAGTAGAAAGGCCGAGAAATGAATTGCCCAGTCGCAAAAAGGTTTGAGTTGTGGCTTGGGGACTCGGAGTGTGCGATAAAGGAGAAGTAAGATGTGGACCAGGGGCAAAGACAAATGCAGCACGCCTCGAGACGAAGATGGAAATCGTATGGAACGCTATGCGAACGCGACAATGGATATGCAATACTCAAAATGAGCTCCTCGGTACGATTTTGGTGAGAAAATGAAGAGAAACAGGACTTGATACTCTGGGGAGGGAGAAAAAGGCGTCTTATTTTTAGCCCCGCAGACGTCAAAGGTGTGCTGAGAACCTTGATGGTCTCGGTCGGTAAATGCTCCACCAAATCTCCCGGGTGCAAGAGAAGACGGGCGGCTGCAATTTGTAATACCTGGAATCGGCGATAGTAAGACTCTCACTGGATCACAGCATCACCACGGGGCACTCGATCTCAGAGGATGGCACCGTTACTGAACAAATGGGAGATTCCCTTTCCACCATGCGTCCATCTTGGCCTCGCAGCGAAAAGGGGTCCAAACACCCCCAAGACGACAAGAACGACGAGCAGTGGCGCATTTCTTGTTTTCTATTCGCGAATCACAAATCACCAAGCCCAGCTGTCCGAATCACCAGGCTGTCGAGGCTGCGGGGAATATCTGGTGAGCATCGTCGCTGCAGTCACGAGGCGCAATCGCAGTTCTCGGCGGCCGCACATGTGAGTGAGTCGTGATGACGGGTACCTTGGCTGGTACCTTGGCTTGGAGCTTTATCGAGTTGTTAAATTACGCCGGCGGTGATTCGTCATGGCCGCCCCACTGCCAGCCTTTTTTTGCTGACGAACCAAGAACCAGCCTGGACCATCAAGGTTCTCATGAATGGGAGCGGCGGAATGTGTATCAAATCATGCCGCTTGACTGTAGATAACAAAATGCCCAACGCAAAGATTATTTCTGGAGAAAATCTTCAGAAAATCTTCACCCGGCCGCATTGTTACTAGCGTGCACTTCGATAGGCATCCACGCACAGATGCCAACATGATGCAGTGTACGAGTATGTGCATGAATGATTACACAACCTGACCTTCCAGACTCGGTAACTGTGGGGTTGATATTACAGATGTGCTCCAGATCCAGCAGCTACCCTAAACAACACGTAGGTGATGCTGCAAAATGTTGATTTATTCCTCTTCACCGTCAAACACCACTGGAACGCGTAGAGATACAATATGCATCTCCCAATGTTGAAACCAAAAGCAATTAGACTACCCCTGATCACATGATACGATGCAGACAATGGCGTTGGCGGAAAACAATTGCAAGTCCGCGACTCCGAATCCCGCGTAGCCTGCGGAGCGGAGGACGACTTTAGGCAGATAGCATCCTTCGCGATTCACGACTAGCTACAAAACTCATCAAAACGCCTAACCTTTACCAGGCGAACCCATCGGCAGAGATTGCTAACTGCCCACAATGGTTTCCTACAAAGAAATACAAGCCTCCAACTCACTCATCAACGACGCAACGGCGCCCCGTGTCTCCGTTTTCGTCGGCGGCACATCAGGCATCGGAAAGTTTACAATCAAAGCCCTCGTGTCTACGGGTGCGAGCGTGAGAATCTACCTCGTTGGACGCAAGAGCTCTGAAGAGCCTGCGCGGGCTTTCATTCAAGAATTAAACGCCATCAATCCCAAGGCGGAAATCGTTTGGACCGAGGGCGAGGTCTCGCTTCTCGCTGAGGTCAAGAGAATATGTGAGCTCATCAAAAAGGCGGAATCACGCGTCGATTTACTCTTTCTTACCGCGGGCTATGCGCCATTCGGTACGCGAAAGGAGACCAGTGAGGGTGTGGAAGTCGCACAGAGCTTGGAATACTATTCGCGGATGCTGTTCATCCATCATCTTCTCCCTGTCCTAGGTGCATCTGAGGCTCCTAGGGTTATCAGTGTCTTGGGAGGTGGGCTAGAGAAGTCAAGCGTCAATGTGGATGACTTGGACTTGAAGAATCCCGGAAATTTCAGCGGCATCAAAGCACAGATACAATACGTCACAATGAACACGGCCTATCTGGAGAAGCTGGCCGTCCAAAATCCCAATGTGACGTTTATTCACTCCTGGCCCGGATGGGTCAGTACGGGAAACGTGAGGAGGGGCTGGGATGAAGGTTCGATTGTAGCTCGGATCTTTTGGTTTATCCTCGAGCCAATCATCTATTACTTTGGGTTTAGTGACGAGGAGTCTGGGCAGAGGAACTTGTTTCAATGTACCAGTGCTGCCTTTGGTGGTCGTGGGATACCTTGGGCAGGGAAGAAGGGAGTCAACTCGCTCGAAAAGTCGGAAGATGGGCTGTTTCTGGTCAGCTACAACTGCGATTGCACTCCGAATGCTAAAGCAATGCCTCAACTTCGGGAATCGTCACAGGAAAAGATTTGGGACCACACGCAACGACTTCTTCAACCATATCTATAAGCCAGAAGCTTATACTACAAAAGTTTAATGTTTACCACTACCTGTGATAGTTTCATAATTTGAAAGATTGATATCCCCCCTCTTAGAATCTAAGACTCTTTATTTCTGATATGCATCCCATGCAGCGGTACCAGGCTTTATAAACTCTCGCGCATCTGCCACAAGCTCGGTTGGGGAATCCCAGGAAGCGAAATGACCGCCAGAAGAGTAGTGGTTGAACCAGACAATGTTTCCCTGGCGGCGTGCCCAATCTTCCGGCTATTGAAATGTTAGAGACACTGCGACTAGATGAACCAAATACACTTGACTAACCGTGATAAAGCCTTGCTCGGCAAATTGAGTGATGCCCACTGGCTGGTGAATGTAGTCAAACTTGCCAGACCATGGGTTTTGTCCCTATTTTCAATGAGTAATCGCATAGCATCCTCTCATCTGAGGAATACTTACTCGTAACGAAAGCTCCTTGTACATTCTGGCGCTACCAAATGGCCCCTGTATATATAACAGCATGGTCCATGAGATAATTTCATCTAGCGTCCAGTCGTAAGACGGACTGCCACCTTTCAACTCGGTGAGTATCCATGCCGCACAGCCCACCGGGCTATCAGTTTGAGCGTATGCCCACTGCAGAGGCTCGTTTTCAAAGACTTGTCGTTGTCCTAGAAACGTCAACCTAAATGTTGCTAGCACATTGATGAGAAAAGCTTCCTCCGCGGTGGAATTCTTGGCATTGAAATTGTCCATGTCTTGCTGGTTTGGGACTTGGTACCACAGGTTGGTGTGTAGTGCTCGAACGCTCTCCGGTTGATCGATGGCCATGTATCGTACGGTGTGAGAGCCAAGGTCACCACCATGAACGATGTACTTGTTGTATCCCAACTGCAGCATCAATTTGTGAAATGCCTGACCAGACTCTCGTAGTCCCAGGCCGGGATATTCGGGAGCTGGGGAGAAGCCGAAGCCTGGGAGGCTAGGAGCTACCACATGAAATGCTGTTTCATTGCTGGGAGGATTTGTGAACCCGTCAATCACCCGTTCTACCTCTATTATAGATCCTGGGTAGCCGTGTACAAACAGCAACGGAATGGCGTCTTTTCTGGAGGATTGTCGGTGGACAAAGTGAAGTGGAATTGGGTGCGAGTAGTTGCCAGCGCCATCGATTGTAGTAGTAAACTGAGGCAAATGATCATTTAATCTTTTCTGCGTCTCATTCCAGTTGTAGTTGTTGGCCCAATAATCTTTAATCGCGGTGATGTTCTCGGCAGGAGGGCCATCCTGAGGAACATGTTGAACAAGGTCTGTAGCAATTCGGGCTAGAGAGGCCTTAACTCTCGTTTCTTCGATAAAGGATGGATCTACATCAATCGAAAAGGGGGCAGGACTGGTTCCAAAGTTGGCTTTGAAGGGAAAGTTGGCGGAAACTGCCAGTGTGGCAAACAAGAGAACTGAGAGAAACCGTTTGGACATTGTCGCGATTGAAAGAGCATACAATTTGCTTTTCCATTAGTAGCATGAGAGAAAGCCATAATGAAGAAATATCAGTGTTTATATGGTTCAATGAATTCATGAAAGATCACTAGATGGGGAGTCCTCGGGGAGTAGTTATTGTCCGCTGCCTGTCTTGCGAGGCGGAAAATTTACCGCAGCCCACTTACATGCGGGCTCCGTCAGCAAACAATTACTTTTACTTTTATAATGCCAACTCATGCTTCAGTTAAAGGGGCGGGCGTGATTGATCATCATGAGAAACGTGGGGATAACGAGTATATTTTTGTCTTCAAGTCAGTTCCTTTCGATATGTGGTTGGCTTCGAAAGGTGTGTACTCTTTGGTCAGCACTATGCATACTTGTCAAAGGTTGAATCTGAGAAAGCTTCCCGCTATATAATAGAAATTTCATACAAGCGCTCAAATAACTACTATGAAATAATCTAATGATATACATTTCATTTTTAGAGGTTTGGATAATCACAATGTTATGTTCTTCGAATCAGTTTGTCTTGGCAACTTGTTTCTATCAAAATTCACTGAATACTACATAACCCCAGTCTCCACCGCTACTACAACTCCTCCTTCCTGATTTGATACCATACACTCCGTAGTATTTATCCAAGAGGACCGCTCTATTATAAAGGCATTAGTGAGATCAGTATAAGTGGGCGGCTCAATAGCTCCATCTTACCGGATCTTGGCAGGTGATGCATCCCGCAGGACAGCATGTCAGTCTACCATCAGGTGATCCCTGTGTTTGGTTTTAGTACAAGTACAATATGAAGTTATTGCAATTCAGAATCTGGAAACTCACTCCTGCGATTTGCTAGTTGCGAGAAAATATCAGTTTTGTACGAGTAGCTGTTCAGTGTGGATTTAGAGCATACATCATCGTAGACACTGGGAAAGTTGTCCAGCTGCGCGTTGCACAATGTAGCAGATAATGCCAACATGTAAACCGTGATCCAGTTGAAGGTCTTCATAATAAATAATTCGAGAGGGCAGAATCGCCTTGGAATCTTTGAAAGGTCTTGGAAAGAAAGAGAGCAATTCTGGTGTTAGAATGGCTCATTGACTGGCTCAGCTATATATACATACAATCATATGTCCTAATCTTCCATTTAAAGAATGGTATCTGTTATTATAAATCTACCAGGACTGGAAGTATAATTCCGCCGGTGGAAAAATGTCCGCCGCTTCACTTGGTGATATTTTGTCTTTCAAGTTCCATAATAAGCATGTCGATATACCCTTGTATATCTGTGACCACACACTTACACTCTTTCCTCTCATTTCAGTCCGGTCTAATCGGAAAAGACGTCTGTAACATGGGGGAGATGGTAAGAGCGGTCAGTTGATTCATAGTCATGGGGTGTTGCCTTCGGACGAGAGTTTGACCGGCATTGAGTTGGTTACCGCCTTGTATGCACCACAACGTTACAAAGTCCCTGGACCCAAGTCACAGAGAGCGTCACTCAAGAAGATTGGAACACTCATGCATCCGAAGTTTTAAAAAAGAAAAGAAAAGATCAAAATCCATTGTATTCTGCTTGAAAACGCCTTCTAGTTGATCCGTTAACACGTAAACATGATATGCAGGAACACAGCTAGCTACTAGCTGTTTCGCCTGTTGCTGTTGCCTTTGGTGCTGCTGATGGAGTGCCCAAGTCATTAAACACCTTTGCCTTAATCTCCGCTGCCATCAATCCAGACAACTCCTTCATGGCAACCAAGTTTGAGCCCTGAGCAAGCTTTTCCACCGCCTTGTCAGTGCCCTTTCCACCCACCATTGCAGCCTGAGATACCCTGGATCTCATTATATTGGAGGTTGCTTCCTTGAGTTTGGAGCTGAGGTCCAGCATTTGCTTGCTACCAAAGTCGCGATTCGTCAGCAGAGGGCTCTGGCTCAGAGTCTGCACCCAATATTTATGCCACAGGAGCTCTAGTAGATGAGAGTCTAATGTGCTCTTGAAATGGGAAACGTCGAGACTGTAGTATCGGCTAGAGTGAGCGCCAAACTCGGCGGCCTTGTCCAAGGGGACTGCCTGGAATCCGTCTGATGAATATCCAGCGGCACCCTCCGGTTTATAGTTGGCGGGATATGTGCGGAATGCCCCAATCTCGACCTTTCCGGCGCTGATGGTGCGATCGGGATCAATGACCACAGCCAAGAAGGGATCCTGGAACTGCTGCTGCAGTGCCTCCGTCTCGACATCGATGCCGCTGAGCCAGCATCCGTATCCAGGATGGCTGTGATACCACCCAACGACATTCTCTTGCCTGCCCTGTGCACGGCTGAGATCCAGGTATTCGATCAAATATTCGTTCGCTTCGTTCTGTGCGTTGACTCGAGTCTCGGTGCCTTCTACAGGTAGTCGGAAAGCATCCGTCACCACAAAGGTTTCTCCATCGATGTAGCCTTGCATCAGGCCCATGACTTCCAGCGAGCCTCCAGACCGCGCATGCATCGTCATCTTGATCAGGGCGACGGCGCTGATCCTCACATACTTGAAGTAGTTCGGATCCTTGATCCACGGTTTAGCGTCGGCTATGGCTCTTTGGACATCGGCATCGTAGTTGTAGAGTGCGTCCCGTTTGGCGTCAACCAGCTGGACATTGTTGTCCAGCTCTATTGCGCATCACACAAATGTCAGCTTCTGGAAAACGGGATAGAAAAGGTCAAAAAGGAAGTCATCACGTACCCCATGATCGAAGAGCTGTGGCCTCCATCTTTGGCTGCCGCGCTGGTGTTTGGCAGGTGAAGATGCAGCTTAGCAGGCAGTGCAGAGGGAAGCTTCAATGTCACGGATGGTGATACTAATGGCTGTGCCCCGCCCGGAGACATCGCACATGCTTTATCGATAAGGGATTCGATTATGGTGGGGAGGTGCCGTTCAATGTGTTTGTACCTGTGTATCAGATGCCTCGCAAGGTCTGTCTTATCAATGTCTCCAAATCATCTCATATGTGTGATTTCGTGGAAACTAGAATAAGAATCGAATATTTAAAGGAATTGGAAAAGAAATGGTAAATTGTTTTGTTGCTGTCTTTACCGATCACAATGATAGCAAGCCACAAACTCCGGCAATCGCCATCACACTAACAGAAAGCTACCCCTTCTTACAAAGATGTTAATTGCACATGGCGATATCCTTTGTCAATTGCACGTGCCATATTTTACGAGGATGAGTGAGTTTGAATGCACGGCAAAGAGACTTCAAATTAAATGGATTTGTCTTGATAATGTCTATCCTGTGAGTGTCTAGGTACAGGCGGCGAACGTTGCTACCTGTAACAATGCGCTGAGCTACTAACACCAAGCTTTTATACATGTAATCTCTTTTGTTACGCCTTTAGCAGTGGACTCCTAGCAGATAGATATTTTTTTCAGTGTCGTTGTATAACCGTATGAGCGTTTTAATAACTGCTCGCCATTTAGCATCCAACCACGGAAAACCTCAGAGATTGTCGCAAAGACTTACTTAAAGACAAGAACGCCATCCTCGTTAGAGACATATTGGTTCAAGTCGAGGAACTGCTCCTCTCCGAAGCTTCCATCTGACCGGTACAGCAATGTGATGATGTTTGTGCCGTCAAGTCTCCACGACACCTGATCAGCGGAATCAAAGACACCATTTCCTCCGATCTCAAAAAATCCTTCATTGTTGCCAACGTGGTTGTTGAGGTCAAGTATACTCTCAGTCCAAGAGCCGTCCGCACAGCAGACGTCAGCAATCAGACAGGAGCCTTCAAGGCGTACGTTCTGGGAAGACTCAAAGAAGGACATTTTGGAGTGTTGTGGTGTTTGCAAAGACTTGGTTAATGATACGGGAGAGTTGCAAAGGGGCAATGCTGAAGGGATTGCTCTTATTTATAACAACTTGGCTCGTGGCAGAGGCCCATGCTGGAGGGCCAACCCGCCATTGTGTAAATTGATGCCTCACCGCTCCATGCATGAAGATTAGTATAGACAAAGGGGATATCTATTGCGGAGTTACGAGGCCTCTATCGTATCTGGGGTGGACAAGGCAGAATTGACAGCGCAAGCTCCACGTGTGGGCACAAAACGCCAACAAAGCCAAGCAGTTGCCAAGAAGAGGAATGTGAAAAAAGGTTATTGTCTTTACCAACCGGCTTCACATGACAGTTGGCAATTCCACTATAGAAGTGGAATACAGCAACAAACCGAGCTTGGCCCGCAGTACCTATTCGCTACCACAAATCCAATATCCCGCCGTGATAGCTGTATTGTACTCGTGTTGATACTCTCTGCAGAATCTCCATTTCCCTGCAGCATTACCCCTCATTCGTTTGGCCATTGGCACCCTTGGCGACTCCATCCACATGGGGCTGTGTTGATGGCAAACTGGATGGTAATTCACTCAAGTTGATCCGAGTGTCAGCTCGGCTCACCGGCAAGCATCGTTCCACCATGCGATGCTTCAATGCTACCTGTCGGCATTCTGCAGCCGCAATGGAAAGCCCAGCTGTATAGAATGAGAAACCCTCTATATCTATTAGCATATGTAGGACTTGGAAGCCAGCACTCGGGTGATATTCTGCTCTCCGAAGAACTTTATATACGCGTGTGTCGTATTGAATAGTTCCCCATAAGCTTGGGGATGTTGGATACTCGTGCGCTGTGTAAATGCATTCGTTGTGACAATGAGCAACATGCGCGAGACTTCGGGCCACGGCAGTTAATTAATCACAACTAGTATCGAGATTTCTCAACGTTGGAACACCTCTCGCACACACGTGAAGTGAAGTCTTCCCGCCATCACAATCTGATAACAATCATCAAAATCTTGTCGTTGGGTTGGTTGTGGGTGTTATTTAGCGCCCGCGTCTGCTACCCCATACTTTCTTGATCGAGTTATTGCTCCGTTAGCCTCGTCCCATAGATCCCGTCCCGATCACACAAACGAATCGCTCTAAATTTTTATGATTTAAGACTACCGTGTATAGTATATTAATACCCTTGTTGTTGCTCGCTCGATGCTCAAATTTCGCGAATCTGATACTGTCGAGATGGAGACGACCCTCATGACATTTGTGGGTGGGTCAGATACTAAGAAGCAATTTTCGAAGCTCGAATCATTAACAGATTTTGACATAATCGGTCAGTGCTCACGTGAAATTGAAGAGCCTGAGAATTGTAAAAAACAAAAAAAATAGGTATGGTATAAAGTACATTGCAAAATTACTTGGAGATCTCATTCAATCTTCACAAGTTGGGCCCCCAATTTGATAATCCAACGCCGTGCTCGTCACAAGAAGTTCCAAACATTCCCTACATTATTAACGTCTTCCACATGTTTGTGAAATTCTCTTCATCCCCTCAACGAAAAAAAGAAACATTGTACCAGAGAGCTGGTGTGTGGTCCATCTTTACGACGACTTGAGAAGAAGAGCCGCGTGGCACTCCGTCCCGATGTTGGGGTTTTTCAGGAGGGCAAAAGACAGCGTGCCGGACTTGAGATAACAGTCTCCAGGAGCGCCGCCTAGCTGAGCATTCTTTGCGAAACTCCACGAGGGAATGAAGGAGACGGCTACACAGGTTCCCTTGGTGGTAGTGTTGTACGAGTTCCACGCGGCGCAAGCATCCATACAGCCATTGAAGTCCTTGGCGAAAACAGAGTAAAGGGCAGGGTTGTTCGTATCCTTGTTGCAGTACATGGTGAAATGAGGCTTGCCAAAGACTGGATATGAAGTGGTCAGTAACTGAGTTTGTTACGTATCGGAAAAGGTATAGCAATAGCTTACATGCAGAGGTGTAAACGGTTCCATTAACACCGTTCGGGTCTTCGGTGCATCCGTTGTCGAGGGAGTTGAAGATCGCAGAGGTGCTAGAAGGAGTAGCAGCTGCTGCAGTACCTGTACCAGTGGCACAGGCTGCGTCGGGCGGGGATGTAGCCTGGGCATCAGCCAGAGAGGAGCTTAGAGCTGCCAGTTTGGAGTTTGCATTGTTGTAGTTATTGGTTGCAACACCAGTACCAGCTGCCAGTCCGATAACCGCAGCCGCCAGAATACCGATGATGATGGAGAGGAGGAGAACCAGGGAGATTCCACCAACAGTAGTGGCCGTCTTCTTTTCCGGGTGGATTGATTCGGGAGAGGTGTATGCTCCCTCAGTTCCAGCATCGGTTGCTGCTGCTCCCGTCACGCCTCCTACAGCACCCGCCGCCGTGCCCTTTCCAGCTTCCGAGTACGTTCCAGTGGTGCTGTATGCGGTGTTTGTGTAGCCCTCATTGTTTCCATAAGTTCCAGGGGGCTGAGAGATATAAGTCGGCGCGATAGACGGCTGAGGAGACCAGACTTGTTCCGGAGGTGGATGGCTGACATAGGCCTCGGGCAAGTCGTGGCCCTCGGCGAGTTCAGGTGAATCGTCGTACTGGGCAGCAGTCATGTTAGTCAATAGGATTCACAGTAGTGTAACTGGATGACTTGGCATTTTACAAACGTACAGTAGGTGCCATCTTATATGAGTAAGGATATGCCCTAGACATTCAAGCAAGCCCCAAGAAAACAGGAGCTCTGCATGGGAACGGGGGTGAGCTGGGGGCCTAGCGAGCTTATGAACGATTTGGCGGCTGTTTACGGAGTAGACCTGGCATATCGCCTTGAAACGCTGCAAGCAGTTCAATCAGGAGATGAAGGGCATGGATCTCAGAGCCTCCACCTCGAAATCCACCCTGCTCCCACATGGATTCCGGTTTGCCTCCTCCAAACCAGAGGTTGGGGTCCCTGCTCAGCCCTACATCTTCATGACGCCGCTCACAATGGTCTATTTTTCAAAGCAAGGCTGAGCCAGTATTCTAATCGGCTGCATTTTCAATCCATCTTCTTGGACATCAAATCATTCCATCAAGTCAACATTTCTAGATAGCTTCTTTGATGAGAAAACATTGGAGCGGCAGAGATTTCACGCGACTCTACCAAACATCCAAGGTCTCTCGCTAGCGCTGACACTGACAACGTACGAGACCATGTAAGCTGCTTCTAACAAGGCGCCGCAGATTCTTTCCACCCCCGGGATTCATGTTAGTGCGGCACATAGCCTCTGGTTGGCACCGCTTGCCTGGACCGCTCCGCCGGTTATCCGCTTCTAGCACGACTATTCTGTGAAATATGGGGGGATTGTGCCTGTTTCTGGTAATTGATTAGTTGGACCCCCTGCCGGTATCACGTCGCCACCTAAGTATAGAAAGCCGGGCCACTCCAAGCCTCTTCCGAGTCGACCACTCACATGGCTGAGCAGACATAAGAACACCAAATCTGAAATGAACGTGTCACACCTCCCTCGTGGGAAAAAAAACTTGGTTAGCTGCATTGGTTGGATGTATTTCCGGAATACTGTTGCGCTAGAAGGTGGTGAGGGTCAGATGCTATGAGAAATTGGTCTGAGACGTGGGTATTGATCGGCAGCACACATTAGCCCGAATTGTAACTGCTCAGAAACAAGGTGTCAAGCAAGACCATGAGCTGTTTTGTTTCTCTTCGTTCTCTGATTGATAAACAACCCCAAGGTTCGCGGTCTAAAAAACGCCTCGCCAGCACCGTCGTATCTCACCAGAACGGCGCGAACGTGTACGAGTAATAATAAGGGGGTGGGTCAACAGCCCTGTAATCAATTAGCACAGGGGAAGGATAAGTGGACCTTTTCAGCCTCTTCTTCTTGTTCACCGTGAAGAGCAAATGCTATGCCGAAGGGCTATTGAGCGGGAAAATCCATGTCGGCTAGAACGTTTGTTTCTCGCAAGCTTTGAAACTAGCCGCGCTAACTGTCGTCGTTTAGGACATGGCAAGCTTTGCCGGGGAAAGCAACGGTGCCCAATGATTAGTAGGATGTAAGTGGCATTAGATAATACCATGCATGGATTTTTATTTTTATAGTCGGCGACCAAGATGAGCCAACCACGATTGGGCTTACAAACACCGGGCTCGGAGTTTGGCCGCGAGTCCTTTTGCATTAGATATGAACAATGTTTTATACAAGCCCATTCGCTTTTGTTTGAGCAGTTTTGTTGTTTTCTAGCTCTTGGTAGATGTATGCTTGCTTTCATCGGCAACACCAGGCACCATCGTGTCATCTACTGGTAAGATGGAGCTGACGCGATGATACTCTGTGGCAAGTCCTTGCTTGCCACGCGGACCCTCCTCCATCATCGATTGACACATGGAGTAGTGTTAACCGCGGATATCGCCCCTTGAGAAAGGCGCTTAAAGGGTGGCCCTAGGGGCTTACACCATCGATCCGTCGCGTAACCAAGGCTCCATTATTGATGATGCCCTAGAGAACGAGAGCGATAAGTCCGAACATGGAAGAATGCCAATCGTTGGAGCAAATGGACACTTCCCATCGATGCGTAATCTCACGTGCATATTTCCTTCATTTCTAGCTCGGTCGAGCAGCTCTGCCGAGATTCATTGAATCCTTCATTGAAAAGGTGTGTGGAGTCGCATCTGACCTATATCTGTGAATGCATAGCAGAGAAAACAGTCCGCATTAGTGCAGGTTGATGCAGGTACTGCCCCTATCTGTAATTTCTAGTGGTAGCATTATTCAAGGCTACGATTGGGGACTAAATTTCATTCTTGGATTTCGATGCTTTCAAGTGTAATACCGAGAACGCGGTTGACAAAGCTGGATGCGCCAGTAACAATGAATGACTCAATGTGACGACCTCGTTTCCAATTTCTCGAATAAGAAACTCTGACGTACTTTAGACTGTCGAGTTTCATGCAAGATGTATTAGATTGAATTCATCTCCCGCCTGCAGGCTCAGGTGGTCGCATGGTCTTGAAACAGCTAGCTAGGATGGCACCGAGAGAATTATGGAATGACTTGAGCCAAAAAGTTCGCTTTCGAGAAACATGAAAGAAGTAGGTGGAAGGTGGCCCGTGGATAGATCCAGGAGACGGGACGAGGGTGCGTGGGGTGGTGAGGCAGATTTTGTTGTGTATTTCCCGCCCTGTATGTGATTCCATTACCACCTGCCAGGGATTAAATGATGGAATGAGAAATGATACCTTTTTTGGACGTTGACAGCAGTCAGCCAAGTACGTCTATGCCGCGGTATAAAGTATTGTAGTTCTCTACTTTCGTTTTATCGTTCTAATCTGATTCGTAGCTTGCACAAATGTTCACTCTCGACAGCTTCAATCAGTATATCACAATTAATATGGCCATGATTTTGACGATACAGTGTATCGACACACATCTGATAACGGAGTCACTATTCCCTGCCTCGAACTCAAGTATGGTTCTCAATATTACCTCGGCCATTCGTGGGCCGATCTGGGGTTCCGGACATTGACAGGTGGGGCGCTTGACTGGGCACAGTCCTTTAACCGCAGATTCCCGACAAGAAAGGGGGTTCATGGAGAAGAGAAATCTCTAGTAAGCCTCTTGATTTGGCTTGTTCTTTCATGTGGGTGCCGATCCTAACAGCGGCTTCACGGTTGCTTTGACCAGCCAATATGAGAAGCAGCAGGGGACATATGCAGCAACACATTCTGGTTTAGAAAAGACTGAGGGTAATGTAACACCTTCATGCTAATCTTAAAGAGAGTTCCTTCAAGGTGATTCTCAATGACCTCCATAGGGCGCGGAAAGAGTGCGATTGTCTCCCAACTTAGGAAATGTTCAAAGGACGTGCAAGGCGAGAAGGATCCACAATCTGTGCCCTTGCAGCCTTTTCGAGTCTCTTATGAAGAGGCCTACCACGTGAACATCTGATAACTTGGCTACGAATTGATGAGTATGATCATGGTGAAGCCGACCTGCATATATGGGATGAATCCAATAGGGGATACATGCAGGATATCTAAGTTTTCTTCACGGAAATGGCGAAAACTATCCATGGCTGGTTGGTAATAATTACTCACTACGTACAAGTTCCCTTACCCTTCAGTAATCAATAGCCAAGACAGGACCTATACAAAACGTGTATCATACGGTTCAAGAGGTAAGACTTAGTGATCACCTTAACATTCCAATGTTTGTAAATATAGACATCTATATTGATAGAAGTAGAAGCGTAATAAACATGAAATAAACTGACAGATTCCCTTAGATGTTAGCAATAATCTGGCTTATTTCAGAAATAAGGGGGATACATGAACTATATGGTGCACCCCTTCAGAGAGCGGTGAATGGATGGTCACAACATGTATTCGCAAGACTGCATCAATCATGATAGATGTACTGCAGCGTTTATTTATATCTCAAATTTTAGTCTAAAATGAAATACAGTCGTCGCGCTTCGTCAATCTGGAGATCACCAGTCTAGAACTAGATGATTTAGAGATTCACTATCGCTATGATCTGCAATGACGATCTTGCTCCTCTATCGCGATAACAAGACATTGTAAGCCCCTTCGATCCTGAGGAGCTTTATACCATTGCCTGCCAGCTAAAGAGACGCAGATGCGTGCATACTTAGAGACCAAAATGTCTGAGATCCACCGTTGGGTGTTTCGTCTTGCAATGCCGTATGAGATTATCTTTCCTGGTGACTGGTTTATCGTATTTCTTGCAGCTCTTTACAGTACACGCCCAATAGACCTGACCATATTCATGTACGGTTTCGAAGTGACGCTTCAAGACGCTGTTGGTAACGAAGCTCTTCTTGCAAATATCACAACGGTGGTGAGAAGTTTTATCATGGCGACGGCCTGTCGATGTTTTGGCTGAGGTTGGGTCGTTGGACTGCTGCTGGCTTTCATCCCAAGGATGAGCAGAATCCAGTATAGGAGAGTGAGGGAGGTTGTAGGCGTCAAAGTGGTTGTAGCCTGAGAAACTGTCTTGTTGAGCACTATATAAAACTCCTGATCCCGAATGGACACTGTCGGCGCTCTCGTTCTCTGACAAAAACGAGGGGGTAGAGGGTGGTAGGGAACTTCCGCACACGATACAAATCTCGCACGTGTCGTTGCATCCCCACTCACCACAGCAGAAACACTCGAAGTTCTCTGACGAGAGCGCTGAAGGATCGTAGTCATCCGAGCAGTAACGGGAGGTGGGTTGACATGTAGCTCTACAAGCACGCGGCTTGTTGCTTGACAGTGGTAGGCGGTTTGGGCCTCCTGCTCAACGGACAGGAGACCCGGCTCCTGTTTAAAAAGAAAGAATTTTGAGACCTGTGCAGTCCTGGGCCCTTCACAATCTATATGAGCCCAGGACTGTTGATGGGAAATGAAGTATATCAATTGAGGCGGGAGAGGTTCTGTTGCCTAAAGAAACTCGAACTGCTTTCCTTAGCGAGATGACCTTTGGCTTTATACCTTTTGCCTAACGGTTCTTTTGTTAGGCTGATTTAACTCAAATCAACACAGAGGCAAATTGCTGGCCTCTTGCACGCTCAATGAGGCTGTGCCTAATGTGTCTAATCTACATATATCTAGGTACTGTCGTATGGGGCTGAATGAGAAGGCAACCTCAAAACTGACCAATACGAGGAGAGAAATGCAGCCTTGCAGGCCTTATCGACCTAACTGCAGAACAAGAACATTGTTTGGCGACTCAATAAGTATGTTGTGTGGGGCTTGATGCAGACACAACCTCAAAATTGGCCAATTGAGGGAGAGCGCATATGTGTGGCTCACTTGAGGGCCTCCCGCATCTGATATCAGGATCAATAGAAATGCGCTCGGATTATCGCATGACGACAATCTGCCTTACTCATCTCTTTTCCGGTGAAACCTCTCGTTCCTGTGACTGAAACTATTGCATAACCATGCATATGGCAGCCTGGCGATGCTCTTCCAGGTATACTAAACCTCGAAAAGAGCCAACTGAGAGCCGAGCCGTATATTAATGCGGAGGCACTGCCACGACACAGCTTTTGATTGCTCATTTGCTGTTAGAGCCTCTACATCACAGACGATTCCTTCGCTTACAGTAAAGACGATGCTTCTTGAAGATACACTCACTCTTGTTTTAATCTTCCACTATTTAAACGCTGGTTCCTCTGCGAAGATAATGCTTTTCCAAACCTCATCTTCGTCAGAAAAACATCCATAATACTATCATCAATCTGCTTATAAATTGAAAAATGACAGCAAGCCAGGATATCACTACTCTATCAAACCCTCCGTTGCTTGAAAAAATCGACAAGCTCCGCGATTTGAATATTGGTCAACATGTGCCTCTGCCTCAGGTAAGCCCAGAAGTCTCATATCTAGTACGATTGTACATAGGCTCACAGATGAAATAGCTTGTTGTGGTCGGAGATCAAAGTTCTGGAAAATCGTCTTTGCTAGAAAGCCTGAGCGGAATCCCGTTTCCTCAAGACCAAAGCCTCTGCACTCGTTATGCAACGCAAATCACTTCGCGACGTGATATCAGCAACTCTGTTGAAGTACGAATCATTCCTGGGCCACACGCATCGGAAGACCATAGGAAGCATGTCGAGGGATTCCACAGACAGGTGCATTCAAGCTTGGAGTTTCGGGAACAGTTTCCAGACATCTTGAAGAAGGTGAGTGAGACCCTAATGGCTATGATCAACTCCAATAGCTCAAGAAATATCAGGCCAATGAAAGGATGGGTGTACGGTCCGATATCTCAACCGGAATTGGCACTGTGTTCAGTGAGGATGTCCTTAAGATTGAGGTTTATGGACCTAACGAGGACTATCTCACCATCATTGATGTCCCCGGAATTTTCCGCACCACTATGCAAGGAACCACCAAAGATGACATGGCCATGGTGAGAGACCTGGTCAAGAGATATATCAAAGACGGCCGCACCATCATCTTAGCAGTACTGCCGAGCAATGTCGACATTGCCACCCAAGAGATCTTGGAACTTGCAGAAGAATACGACAAGAAGGGCGAACGTACTCTCGGTGTTCTTACCAAGCCCGATTTAGTACTCGAACCCAGTGCACAAGCTGCCGTCTGCAACCTTGTTCAGGGCAAAAAACGGCCACTCAATCTTGGCTACTTCCTTGTCCGAAATCGAGGACCGAACAGCGGCTTAGAAGGGCCTTCGGAGCTTGACAAGATTTTCCGAAAGCATCCATGGGCTGATCTTCCACGAGATCGAGTGGGCATTCTAGCCCTTAAAGACACGCTCAGGTCACTCTTGGTTGAGATCACCAAACGCGAGTTTCCTACATTGATCCAAGATGTCAGTCGCCAAATTCGAGAATGCAAGAGAGAATTAAACAGCCTTGGACCACCTCGTCAGGATGAGCGCGAGCAACGAAGTTTTCTTTGTAGCATTGCTGGGGCTTTCCAGGATCGCGCCAGGGCAGCATTGATGGCTGATTATAACGCAAACACGGGCTTCGACGAAGATGAGCTTCGTCTCATCACCCACGTGGTGAACATTACCGATATTTTCGGCGCTGATTTCCATGAGAGTGCTCATTCGCGACAGTTTGAGAAACTTGGATCGGCGGAAGAGCCCGAAGAAGTCGAGAAGTCTGATGATTGTGATGATAAAGCCGGGCCGATGGTGAACGAACTGCGAGAGCTCCTCGAGAAAGCAAGAGTTGATGATATTGCGCCAGAGGAGTTTGCTGAACTAGCTGATGTCATTACTCCGGAGAAGATATCCATGCCCGTGCCGTGCGACAACTTTAGTGAATGGATCAATGAAGTCTACCTGAAATCCAGGGGCTTGGACCTGGGCACGTTCAACGCAAACTTCCTTACTACAGCGTTTGCAGAGCAGTCACGCAAGTGGGGAGACATGACGAAGATCTACATGAGCAGAATCATCATCACTCTCCATCGCTTCATCGTCGCCGGACTCCGTTCCGTCTGTTCAGAAGAGCAAGTCCGTAACAAGTTGTGGATCGCAATGATAGAGAGCTTAGGGGAACGCTACAAGAAGGCAATGGACCAGGCGAGACTGTTGGTTGAAGTCGAGCAGTGCAAGCAACCCTATACTCTTAACAAGCAATTCGCTCAAGCGCTGTCCAAGGCTCGGGGATACCGAGTCACGGAACTACTACGCCCCAAGGCTAGAAAGGACAGTAAGCAATTCGTAGGGACTCAGCCCATGATTAATTTGAACGACATCCCTAAGGCTGTGGAAGTTAAAAGCAATGTGGAGCAGTTGCAAGAAGAGATTCATGACATTCTTCATGCCTACTACAGCCTGGCCGCGGACCGGTTCATCGATAATGTCTTTCAGCTCGCTGTTGACTACTGTCTGTTGCGTGGCCCTTCCAGCCCCTTGAAGGTTTTCACCCAGGATTGGGTTATCAACTTAGAAGCTGAGCAACTTGAACAGATTGTTGGTGAGACCAGATCTGTCAAGAAGCGCCGTCAAGGATATACAAAGAAGATTGTGGATTTGACTAATGCCTTGAAGATCCTCCGAACTTAGTTGCAAATGGCTATTTTGGACACAATTGGGAAATTATAATGGAAAGTAACGCATCATTTTCTTCGAGAATAGGCCCACGTTGAGTAATATCGTGTCAAGTAGTAATGTTACTACTAGATCAACGTGATCATATATTGGGGTGAGAGAAAGAATAAAAGAGAAAGAATACCTTTATTCCAAGATGGCTTTTCATATGTAGCTATGACCAAATAAGTTAATAGTACTTGCTCTTCTACATACCTATTTTGCACTGTATTTCTGCTGGCCATAAAACTACAGGGAGTCCGTGCGGAAAGCGGTTCTATCTACACTGAAAAAACTGAGCACTTGTTTCGAATTCTACTAGATGTCTTGTATTTGTCACTACCCACTAGAAGTAAGACATCATGGATGAAACTTCCCAAGATCAAGAAGGGAGGAATGGCGGTCAACTACTTGAGGCCCAGAGGTATTAAATGGACAATGTCCCATTCGGTTCGGCACTCGGCTTCGCTGGATCTTCTCAATAACTCGACAGATACCTGTACTTTATTCCCTTATATAAAATGAAGTCTCCTCAAATTCTCTCCGCTATGCCTCTATTTTTATTAGGGCTGACTACCGTGGTTCATGGACAGAGCTGTATGAGCGGCCAGCTGTACTGTGGATATGCTTTGGAAAACATGGGTGAAGCTGCTCGAACAATATCTGTAAATGCATTGGGCTTTCTAACACATACTGCAGGTTGGAGTAAAAACGACCTTATTGTCATCGTAACCAACGACGTTGATCCCAGCCAAGGCGCCATCGATCATCCAGGCCACGCTCTCTACCAGTGTCTTGATTCCGAAGAAGAAGTCTTTTATGTCGGTTATTGTAACCGGGGATGCGATGCCCAGGGTGATGGCTACGACGACATTTGCAATGGGGAGTAGAATAATAGTCTCCAATAACTGCGCTTACATTTACTGACTGACCATTATAGCACCGATATTTTGATGGTCTATTGTGAAGCCGGAAGCGATGATGATTGTCGGCCTAGGGTTCAGGTTTCAGCAGTTCAGAAAAGTTTCTGGTACGCTGAGAGTTACGGCTGGTAGTTGTAGTTTCATAAATGAGAAAATTTGCGCCTTCTAAAGAATAGAAGATACTGTAAGCCGTTACGCTCTAAGCATCAGTAATACTACTAGATGTTGTTAAGCAGTCTCTCCAGCTGGTGATATCTGTATCTCTTCCCATCTTACGGAACTTTTCTGGCTTATAGATCACTCAGTAGCAGAAAAAATATAATTTGCAATAGAGAAATCATGGAACAATCTGATCATACTATCTACTTGATGAAAGGAAGCCAAAATGAAATAATGCCGAGATGTTTACAAAATGTGGAATCTTACCTTTACAAGAGGTACATGCAGCATGAGAAACGTCTACATCAGGGTAAAATAGATCTGGTCGTGGAAAGAGGACCATGCCACTTCAACTCACGTCTAACAGGAAGCATCCGCTGCCCTTGCTCTACTGGTAATGGCTATTTCGTTGCTAGCGAGTAATAAGTCCCGTTCCAGTCTATCTTGGTTGCTACAGCTGGCTCAATTAAACAGGGCAGAGTTTGATGCTGCCCTAAAGCGGTATCTATATCCGCGGGCTCCAAGATACGCACTGCAAGGCATCGGCATTGATCAGGCAATACGCCAGTCGCATTCATTTCTACGGGATAGACGTCATTGGTGCGACTCCATTCACTCGCGTAGCGATGTTGATCCGATTTTTCATCGTGGACATCGACGATGGTAGATCAGAGTGTATCGCACTGTAATCCAATCTAGCCATCCAGCTGGTTATTGGAGCTGATACTAGTCTATCCCCAAGCACTTTAAAAACGATATTCATTTACATGGTTGAAGTAAAATATGGCTGAATTCATTAACCGCCGCTGGAAGAGGTACTCGTTCGATTACCAAGCGCCCAAGGCGGACTTCGGCGTCGTATTTGATGAGGTACCAGATTAGATTGCAAGCGGTGGTTGCGACGGAGAGACGATTACCCGACTGATAAACAGTGCTCCGTAGAGATGCGCATGCTGCAGGAGGATTCGATTAATATACTGTGCCGTCTCAGAAAAGAAGGTTGGCATCGAACGGGTACGACCGGAGCGGTGATGAGGGGGGCAAGATGAGAGAAATGAGACGAGGGTTCACAAAGTTCAGATATGACAGAACACGTGGATATATGAATGGCTACACGAAGAAGATAACGAGTCCTGAGAGAGTATAATCACACGCTTGCTTTCCGGATATGATTTGAGAGATCGAAGCAAAAAGACGGGTCGATATGGGAAAAAAAAAATCCAGGTAAATGTCGACTGAACGGTCCACGGAAATGTCGCGATGCCAAAGACATGCCCCGTAAAAGAAGCGGAGCAGTATGGAGAAGGATGGCATCCTCCCCGCATTCCATGGTACGTACCATCCGGCCCAGGCCTATCACGAACAGAGATCCAGCCGTTAACAGCAGGCAAAGGGCCAAGAATGGGTACGACTTAGTACCACGATGACGGCATAATCGTGGTGGACGAACTGAAGCTAAACCGCAGCGAATGGGGCACCGTTGATAAGACGACTTCAGAAGGTGAGACGACAACGAGGTACCTGGGTTTAGTAATAACGCTACAAAAAGACCCCTCGAGGTACGAGACGGTCCATGGCAGAATCTGTAATAAGCCGAGTCGATGATACAGGCACGGCCAAGAGCCAAGAGCCACTCAAACAGGATACGCTTTTTTGTGTTGAGTTTCACGAGTACGGATGCGTCCCGGGGGCTGGCGGGCGATGCTGTGCGCCCTAACGCAAACTTTTTCGACGGCCTGCATATGAATATGAGGAATGAAAAGTTTTTCAGCTTCTCCCCTCTATTTTGCATGATAAAGAGGGTGTGATGCCGTTGCTGATGCTGCACAACGCATGGACGTCTCACAGTGGAGGGGATGTGTCGAAGGAACCCCCCGCAAGAAATTTGCGCATGAGACAAGTCAGCCAGCGAAGCATGGCTGAGAGCACGCGGACTTGCACGTGTGTGGTTGGCTGACCCTCTGGCTGGAGTGTGTTTGCCTGTTATTGGGCACCAGACATCTTGGGCATGGTCATGGTCATGTCCTTAGCCGTGTGATGCGCCCTCAACCGTGACTGCGCAAGTAGTCAACGGCAAGGCTGCCTTGAGATTCAGTCAGAGATATGACTCAGAATCGGAGCCTGAGTTTGATACCGTACATACGATACTGTCTGTACGAGGACAAATGGCAAGCAATGCAGGTCTGAAATGCTACGATATCGTTTATGCAGGGGTTAGAGTTTGGGGCCACTGGCGAGACGAAAAAGGCTCAATTTAAACTTACCTGGACATTTGCTTTCGACGTGGCCAGGTAGCTGTTGATAACGCCTGTAATGGAAATAACGAGACCGACGTGTCCGAGAGCGTGGTAGGCAGCAAAATGCCTGGACGGCTCATTCATTGGCTTATCCCGGCCAGCACACTCAGATCCAAGGCAAGCCATCCGTGTCAGCCATCCAATAGCTCTATGACGCCGCATCAACCATCATATGATAGCGAGGTGCTTCGAATGCACAGTGGCATCTCATGAGCCGGCCAAGGACGCCCTGCATATCCCAAGCGCTGCTTAGCTGCCCGACCGAGATGCACCACCCACGGCAGCAAGAGATAGAAAGAAGTTGCGCTGCGTGAATCCGCTTATAATCCTGGGGCCATCCGGGGGCCAGCACATACTGGTACTAGCACGGCTTAAAAGAGGACATGCGTCGATTGCTACATGCCACAATCGACGAGCAAACGGGGCCGGGAGGAGCATCGGGAATGGGGGGCCTTTTGGGGGTCCATGGAACTTTGTTGAGGTTGAAGCATCGATGCCTCAAACTGCGGCTTTAGTGTTTGCGTATGCATTGCACCCCTGCTGGTATTTCGTGCCTCGTAAACGTACAAAGCAGGGCCGTCGCCATCTTCTTGGTCTGCCGGTCTTGTTCCCTTCAGCTGCATGTTGCTTCTTCTGTCCGGTAGACGCAGATCATCGTGCCTCGTGCGTATCCGGTGGCCATCTCGATCGCCCTGACCCTTATCATCTGGCCCTTTCTTGATTTTGTCGGTTGCAAACAAAGGGTCCCTGTTCAGGCCTAAAGCACGCCGTCTCGCCGCTGCGTCATTACCCCGTACCCCGTATTTTTGTTGGTGGGAAGAAATTCTTTGTTCGACACGATCGGTCAACTTTGTTGAAGAAGAGAGCCACTTGACATTTTTTTTTTTAATCTACTCGTCCCCATCGCCTCCATTACTCTCCATTTCGCCTTCCCAAAGTCCTCCGTTCTCTCACCGAGCAGAACAGCGAACAACGCATCGTCGATAAGGCGAGTCAGCTAATCGCACCCGACCGGCGGTTCCGTAGCTCGGAGTAGGTGCCACCGCAGAGGCACTGTGTTATCGACAACCAAGTCTTGGCTACCGCCCCCCCGCCGCCTGCTCCCTCACGATTACAGTGTATCATTTACACTGCAAGGCACCGCCGGCCGGTTGCGGCACCAATCGCCTGCCCACTGAAGGACGCCTGACAGTTGCACTTACCTACCTAAATCCGCCCCAGCCGTTAGCCCTAATCGCACGCCTGCCATTGGCCAGCCCGCTTCCCTGACTCTTCCCCTTCAGGCCAACTTTTCCGTGCACGCACGGGTCGGTACCACAACGGAGCACCCGCCCTGGTACAGGTACTCGCTATCAGTGGCACCCTCGCATTACATACGCGCGACCGAGTAGCGCGGCAAGTACGCTGTACAAGGCGCAAAGTCGTCCGTGTCCGTATTCCAGAAGGCCTCGCCTGGAACACAGCGCCCGACCCTTCTGGGAACTGGCATGTCTCCACTAGAGTCTCGGGCTGTCTCCATCGTCCCCCGGCTGCTCGTGCCTACGCCATGATGCTATACACTCCTCGTCCGAGGCTCCCTCCAACTCCCACTCCTGCACTCTTCCCTACCACCACCGTCTCTACAGCCTCTCGCTCCTCTGCTCGCCCTCCAGCATCAACCGAGTCTCTCTCTTCGAAGCCCACGATAGCGGAAACAAACATCTCCATCTCTACCGTCTCTTCCAAGTCCACCAAATCAGTCGTCACCATTCTTCCTCCACACGCGAGCAGCCCAAAGCATGCAGAGGGCAGGAATAGACCATCGTCGATTACAATCACCGTCACACCTATCCGAGCTGAATCACCTTCGCCTTCCGACATCGATGCGGAGATGGGGAAGCACGGATTGTCTTCGCCAATGTCTGCTGCCTCAGACACTATGACGAGTCGGCCAACGACACCAACTAGCCCCGTCCAGATCCCAAAGCCAGGCAGCCGTAGCCGACATTTCGATGCTGTCCATCCCGTGCGACGCCATAACACCCCTCGCCGCAAGGTCCCAAACAATGTCCGCTCGCCGGAATCTCTATCACCGTCGGTGGCCGCCTTGTTGGCTGTCACTGACATCCCACGGCCCCGACGGGCGCAGCGGAAACCGCGTGGCCAGGACCGCTTGTTAACCGTCGATGCCATCATTGCTGATGAGAGCTCTCTATCAGAGAAGGAATTTAGCTGGTCGTTGAATCGCGGCAGTCCGATGGACGTGCTGATGTCGCCCCCCGACAGCCTAGACGAGGACTTCTTGGGCAGCGACTGCGGAAGCGTCCATATGGCCAGGACGCTTTCTGTCGATTCCATGCCATCTCTTGGCAACTCTTTCGGCACCGATGTGATTTCCTCTGTCGAGTCCCCTCGAAGCTTGAGCCCTCAGTCTCTGCACCGGAGAAAGGCCAGCCCCATCCGTAGGTCGCTTGGGCCTATCCGCTCTCCTCCGGACAGCATCGACGAGCACCCACTTTCTCCTGAGCCATCACGAGACGAAGATGAACTGGACTCGCTGAACCTCCCAAGTCCTGAGGACGACCAACCAACCTCATATCAGTTCATACAGTTCAAGCCGCTCCGGGCAGTCTTCAAGTCCAATCTTACAGCATCACTACGAGCGCTGCGATCAGCAGCCAAATCCTTCTCAAGCATCAACTTTCCATCTATTCCTCCCGATGATCTCATTACCCGCTCTATCCTCACCATGGACCCCAAGGTGCCCTACGCTGACGAGCGTCGACCACCCGTCACGGAGGAAATACCATCTGCCGAACTACGCCGGTACCTGAATCCAACCACCAGGCTGTCGCGTGAGACGCAGTCTCGACCTCTGCAACAACCCGGCACTTTTGCCGCATCCATTCAAATGCAAACCTACAAAATTCAGCGCACACGACCCACAGATGCCGCGGCGCGCAATGCGTATCCATCCACCTCACCGCTATCTCCATCGACTCCCGCGAGCCAGCCTGCAGTAACGCCGGCCCAGGATTCAGTCACTCCGCTTCCTGCTATGCGACAGCGAGAGATGCGAGAAAATCCCGACTTCATTCGCATTGCCGTCATGGAAATGATTATGCGCCGGCGAGGCAAGCTGGACAATAGCAAGCCTGGACGTGCGCGCTGGGCACTGCCACCCAGAAAGACATCGACTAAACCCTATGAGATTGGGGCCGATGGTGTTCCAGAGCGATGGATTCCTCTGCCAATTGCTGGCTAGTGGGATTCGCCGGAATCTGGACTCGTGGACGGACACACACATTGCGCGCCGAGGCAAAGCTCATGAGGCCGAAACGCGATTTGCCATGATTCTATTGGCTGCCGACCACGACCAACACATCGGCGAACGCTGGCTTGGTGATCCGAGACAGACCCTGATTTTCCCTCTCAGCTTTTCTGCTACCAAAGCCGACGATTTGGTCCACCGCACAGAATTACTGTGGGCCCGTGTCAAAATCACCAGGGAATAGCATGATTTGACTTGCCAATGGCGAGCCGCTCGCTGTTCGCTAGGGTGGCGATAAGACTCCAGTGACACATGGCAGATTCGGCACTGGGATGGAGTTGAACACCCTTGTCTCCACATGGAAGGGTTTTGGAAGCCTCCGAGCCCTGGAGAGCCACGGAACACGAGTCGGACAACACCCACCTGCGGCAACATGTCACGAACTATACCGAGAATAAAACGTCAACATGCGTTTCGGGCCGCCGTTATTACTTAACAGGTACCGGCTATGGGCATTGGCCGATAGGGCAGCAACCTATCCGGACAGCTGGCATGCTTTGACTGGGTGAAACATAACACTGAAAAATTTTCAGCATTCGCGACACGGCCCAAAGCAATGCATGCGCGTTTGAAAAAATTTTCTCCTCGGCAAACCACCTGGGAATAGCCTTGTTGCGGGACGCTGCAGATGGCTTCACTGGCATTTTGATTTCATAATATGTTGCGGATTTTTGGGCGACAAACAAAAGGTCAATCTTATGGGAGCAAACCATTACTCAATTCGGAAGGCCGAGAGATGACGCAGCGGCCAAAAATCTCCGAAACGGCAGCCGATTGCTTTGTTATCAACCTGCTTCTTCCGCTCTACTGCACAGCTTGTCAGGGACCTTTGCCAGATTGGTATCCATCGGCTAATGTGCTCTAATCTGGACACACCTTACCTGAAGTTCGGCGGATTTCGGGGCCAGAATGAGTGCAAGTCGCTGATGGTCGAATGGGTTGACGATTGGGCTCAAATGCGAGCCTTTGGGCTACGAGAGCCATTATGCGCCATTTCTTGACCCATTGACTCTCTACTTTTTCTCTCTCTATGAAACCGCGCGCTCTATTCTTGGACTAGTCGCTTCATGCCGGTTACACGGAACTTTTTTCATTTCTATTTTTTTTTTATTCACAGTTTGCCGCATCGCGATGGTGGAGTCTTGCATCAACTTTTCTCTTTTATTTGGAGTATCTAGCATTGCGAACTGGCGGCGTAGGATTTGGGATACCCTTTGATTGGTGTATAAGGCTTATTTTGGCATCTTCTTTTTTCCATATTTTCCCACGATTTGAGTTTTTTGGTCTCATTTCTTATTTGTTGTCATATCACCATTGAGATGGAGAAGATCCTCACGGTATAAGTTTTTCGATTGGATTGTACGAAGAATATTTGTGGGCGGGAGATTTATGTGAGAGGAACATATAAAGAGATGGATGGTTACGTCGCAAGGCGATCATAGCGGTTTTTCAGCTGGCATTTATATGATAGATTTACACCTTCTATAAGCAATATGATTAAAAATTGAATACTCTACTTAATTACCTGGTTCGAGAAGTGAGCGGTCGTTGTGAGGTGTGGACTTGTCGATATAAGACTGTCTAGGAAGTTTGAAGTCTGAAGTTTGAAGCAGTAACTTTCAAAGTATAGTACGCTCTAGCTGAGTTATACGTCACGTAAGAGCTTTTGGATTTCTCTACTGGGGGAATGAATGAGTGCAGCTTAACTAATTATTAAAACCCTCATTGAACTGAGAGCTGACATTAATGATTTGATCCTGTTATAGTGTTCTTGTATAAGATTAGGTAGAGTATTATAATGAGTTAAGAAGGATGTATATTGAAGCCCTCAGATCATTGTTCTGCTACAAGAGGGCACGCATTATCCTTGAACATGATATATAAGTCAAAAAGAATTCCAAGGAGAGCAAGTTTTCTCTCCAAAAATTAATGTTCTCCTAACGCCCCAGATGTGTAAACCCCGTTGAATGTACTCGTACGCGAAATGCTGATATATGTCCACCCAGTCTTTGATGTAAAATGTAACGACACAATGCTCGCTCGCTTGCTTTGTAGTAGAATGAGAACTGAACGAAAAAAGGTGAAAACGGAAAAGAAAATCGGAAAGGAGGCGAATGCGGTGGAAGGAGAATCACTTTTGCGCCCACCAAGAGATAAAGTTGGCATAGCAATGCACCCTTTTATCCCAGAGAGCTTTCCGTGCGGATGCGAGATAGACTTCCAGCTCGGTGTCGTCCCATCCTAGCGTTCTGAGAGGTTTGGCGGCGAGGGCGCCGACGAGCTCGTTGATGGCATCGCGGAAGAGGATTCCTATTTCACGCTGGTGGGGATCCTTTGAGATACTACGTTAGTCTACATGTTCAAGAAGCACGTCCTTGTCTGAGCGTTACGGTACCTTGGGCCAATTGCCGAGGGGCGTCTTGATTACTCGGCATTGGATATTTTTGAAGCCCGCGGCTTTAAATTTATCTTCCAGCTCGTTAATGACATAGGCATTCATGCCGTATCTCGACAGGGCCTGGTGCATCATCATGGCGACTTGCGCCGGTGGGTGGTTTTCGGGCATTGTGCCGTCATCGCATCGGAGGAAGCTGCAGTAGTCTGTGATTTCAAGCCAACCACCTTCTTTCAGGTGGGAATAGCTGTTCCTTATCATCTTGTCGACGTCCTTCAAGTAGATGCATGAATGGCGCAGATGGATCAAGTCGTAGCCGCCGCGATCCATCCATTCATCCTCCACGTCGTCGACTAGGAACCGTACGTTCGGGGGGACCATTAGTGGTTGGATCGGGCTGAGGTCAAGGCCGACGATTTCGGCGCTTGGATACATTTTGGCAACTACCTCTGCCTTAGCAAATAATCGAGGACCTTGAAGGAAGAAACAAAGAGAGTCGCAAAGCTTACCCGCTACTGGCCAGAGCCCTGTGCCGGTGCAAAGGTCCAATATTCGTTGTGGATTCGGCGCAATGGGAGAGTTGAACAGCTTGCCGCTGACGAGTTCCATGTGTATCACATGTTTCAAATACTCTCGCTCCTGCTCGATTTCGTCGTTTGGTAAGGGATAGCGACCGTGGCGATAGTGATGATACTAGCAAATTTCTTGTACTCAGCGACATGCTCTTTATAGACTCGGCAAAGGCATAGGACTACACACCCTTCGTCCTCCCTCCCACTCGTGCTCCCATATGCTACTCCGTACAGTGACAGACTCGGCAGAGTACGTATCACCGCCATCGAATTCGTCGTCGTCGTCGTCGCCGTCAGCGTCGTCGCTGTCCGTTGCATCAAGCGGTGGATCCTGTTCCTCGATGTTAGGAGGATCTCCTGACACCATCATGGAGGGCTTTCGAGGCTCTGCAACCTTAGCTTCTGGATCTGAGTCTGTTGCTGGCGCCTTACCAGCACTGGCACTGCGCCGCCGCCGCTCTTCTTCGCGTGTGGTATCTCCCATTGTGTTTGTGTGTCAACCGGACGGCGTCGTGTTTGTCGTTGTAATCGTAGTCGTGTGTGTTCGTAGTTGATGACTTGATGTCTTGTCGTCAACGTTGTTATGGTGCGCTATCGAGGAGAGCGACTGATCGGTGTTAATGACAAAGGGCCACCTCGATCCGTCCCGAGCCCGATCCGTGGAGATTGAATTATAGGCGACTGGGGGAGATGGAGCATGCTGGAATGGAATGCTTGCGGCAGCTGAACTCAGCCCTTTCTCTTGTGGCTTAAGCGATGGATGGATGGCGATTCAAGGACCGGCGCGATTTTGGGCTTCCATTAAGCGACTTTCGTCTTGTGATGGATTCGAAGCTATGCAGCGATGCTGTTAGCGATAGTCGCCCGGCCAATCCGGTTGAGTTGCGAGAAAGGCGGATGGATGGGCTTTGATACGACAAACATTTGACTGGACAATTGCTCTTGATTCTCCAGTCAGCTGATTGGAGAGACGGGGAGGGAGTCCGGGGCACTTTGGCTATGCGTTCCGGATACTCCACAGCGGCAGGGCGTCAGCCAATGAAGAAAAGTATCCTGTACGATGCCCCGAGTATTCTGTACCAAACTTTGCGCTAAAAGTCGACGGATGAGGTTGGCAGGATTGGAATTAGAATCTAGAGATTGGCCTAGCGTGGACATTAATCGATTAAGGAGATGAGATGGAAGAAAAGGAGAAGTATTTTGTAGTCTGTACTGTATAAGGTACATGTAAAACAATATACCAGACGAAAATAGTAATACCAGGCAGGCAGATCAAAATAGGTAAATGTCAGATATTAGTGAACCTGGATACTATATTTCACTATCAGTAATCAAACCGAACCATAATATTCTCCTACTACGTCCATTATCTACAGCAATTAGCGGATGCTTCTTAGACTCAAAATGGGCTCTTAATACTACTCCATTTGTCTAATCTTCGGAGTTCACTCCGTACTGCCTGCTGATACATACGTGGCAGCCTAGTAGATACAGAACTACATAATGCACAAGGAACATGCTAACTGATGCGAGCTATTCCTCTGCTAGTTCATCTTGCATGTTGTTTTACCCCCATCAAGTAACAAGCTGAACATGGATCAGAGTCATTCATAATGGCTAATCTGCTTCACTAGTCTCGTATGCTCAAACCGGCATACTCGACTCTTCATCGTGCTCCTTCTTCTCTTTCGTATGTCTCCTCCAAATCATCACCTTTTGAAACCACGAAGATGCTTGTGTCATATTGCCACTCTTGCCTCGCCTCCACCACAGCCAACAAAGTGACAAGAGAACCAACACGAGTGTCAGCGGTATCGAAATGTACCATAACAGATAGAATAACGGTGTTGCGCTGACGTCCCATGAGCCCTCTTCGTCTAATTGTTCCGATAGTAGTAACCCCGATCCTGCGATGGTTGCAACGGTAATCGTGGGCAAGAATATTAGAATCGAAGCCGCTATAAGCTTCATCGAAACTGGACCCTGTATCGCTGCTGCGGACTGTTGTTGCGATACCAAGTTTGATGCTAGAGCAGTAGCGGCTTCGATTCGTTTCTGAAGGTGAGAGAGTCGTAGATGGGTTGAGTGAAAGAGTGTGCGACGATATTCGAGGCACTCCTTCAGCTGTAAGTCAACAAGTGACCGCCGACTAATGCTAATGTTGTTTGAAGGAGATGGTGGGTTGCCCATAGAGGTTGTTGAAGGGATGCTGATGCTGGCATTCATAAGAATACCCTCATTGATCATTAACGCAGACTCAAGTGCCCTTGATAACTCTGTCGCATGCCTCGCAAACAAGTACAGCTCTTCATGTTGTGTTCTAGGACTTGAGATCATGCCATCAGAGCCTGCAAGTTGAACGAGAGACTGTTTTGTGGGGTTAACATTGCTCATCTACCGGCTGAGGATTTAACAGATACAAAATGTGAAGGGAATACGCACCTTTTCTAACGGCTCAAATTCCTCCTCCATTTTCCGCGCCGTATCATCAACTTCTTCGTGTAGCCCTTCTAGAGCAACATCGAACAATATCTGCGGATTGGTGGCAACATCAGTCCATCCCCGGCTCTTCATCAAACCATACATCCTTCTTTTCACTCTTGGCCCTGCATCAAAACACACCAGAGTTGCACTGGTATCGGCTGAAGCTTGAAGAAAAAAGGCCGACTCTCTTTCTGGGTACTTATCAGCTGTTGTAGAGTTCTCAGTTGCATCATCTTCTCCATCACGCGACTCGTCATCAGTTCGAGCAGATGCAGCCGATACGTACGAAAGTCGGAACCAAGAACTGAATCCGTTTTGCTCGTCACTTCTCCGACTGAAGCTATGGTTTATAGACCGCACCCTCTCCGCGGTAAAGTCATGTGGTATACCGAATTTGTGAAAGAGCTCCACCATCAACCCTTTTGTTTCTCGCCGCGGTCCATCTGAGGGTACAAAACTTGGAAAATAGATCAGTACTGGCTCCTCTGCTCTTCATTTACATCGACAGATTCATCAATTAGACGAGCATGACAACTTCATGCAGTAGACTTACACGATTCTGAGCTGCGGCCTGCCATTGAGACGGCGTACGGTGTTCTGGACATACTCGCGCAGTTGCCCATCTAAAATATTGTTAGACTCCTCTTTTACAGATATGAAGGTCTTCATTTTACCTTCTGGTATGTCCCAGACCTCCAGGCTCCAAGGCTTTTCGATCATGCTTTGAGACTCGCATGCAGCCTTCTCAGTGAAGTCTCTGTACAATATCTCTTGTGATCGTTTAGTCCAAGACATGGTTTAACCAGTCCGTTTTGAGTAATAGTTTTGAGAATCTGTGTCGTTGCTTAAGTTTTTACCCACTACTAGGGTTGTTGGATGTGATTCAGCAGCTGAGCAAGAGCAATAGATATGAGTCCCAAATCTATTAAATCGGGTGAACCGCATCCTTATTATGACCATATCAATTACAACCAATACATCAATACCAACTTTCGGTGTGGTTGCATCCACATCTTGGCATCAAAAAAGCACCGCTTTACGGAGTAATGCTATGCCTCTCAAAAGCATCGACCACTCTATCCTTGCCACATTGCCATACCAGCACATATTCAGGTCGTTTAGCGCAACCCCCTTGCAGCACAAGCACGGTCTCGATCACATCCGAACATTCACCCCAACAGCTCCCCTAAAACGAAAAAGAAAGGAAAAGCACAAAACCAATATACTGCGAGCGAACCGAACTCCTTACCAGCTGCATGGCCACGGTGTCATCCCTTGCCAAGCCCATTTGGGGGTCAACGGCTCTCTATTGCGAGCGTGTCGTTGCGCACGGCTCAACGCAGCGGCTGAGTTGGGACGCTGTGAGTGGACCACGATGGAAAGATGCGAACTTGAAGCTTGTCGTGTTACCGGTAGCTCTTGGGGCTAATCCTTTGATCGCGTGCTTGGCGTGGTCAGATGAAGCTTTCAGCTGGAAGAATCCGCCCCCAACAGCGATCCAATTGCGGAGTAATTGATCCCGTCAAGGGAGCGTTGAGCTGCGATGACGGCACATGTCGGGTTGTCCAGAGCGAGCTAAATATAGAGTATTCAGCGCGATGGATACGGGTAGAGAATTTAATCGTGGACTTATTCGAAATCCACCAGAAATGTTCATAGCAGTTGTACCACGAATGCTGGAGTACATGTGCATATCAAGCGGTGGCATATGCCGAAGACAATCCATCATGAAGATGTTACCCCAGATGTCTTTCATATACATACAGCTATAGCTTGGCCTTCAGCTTCGCGTTCCACAGAGACATCAATGGCCCTTGCTTCCCATATACCGGGTCAGCTCGTGGCATAGCAACTGCTCCAATGGTCTGGACGAAGGAAGCTGGCGGACGTTTGCCCATCTCATTCGTCCACTTCGGGCATTCCTATGTAATGCTTGTCAGTGTGCACTCACCGAAGAGGAGGAAATCTGATAAGTGATATTTCTAAATACTGACCTTCGGATATACCCCAATGTAGTGATAGTCATCGGAACTCCGCAGAGAGGAATGGGCAGTACCGGCTGGAAGAACAATTACGTCGCCAGTACTTACGTCAACTTGAATGCCGCCTCCGTCATTGATCTTCCCGAGGAGGAGAGTTGAGTGGCCTTGAAAGATGCCTTTTTACAAAGAACCATTTAATACCTTGCCATGGAGATTTGTTGGAGCATAGATGAACATACCGTAGCATTCATGTGTGTTGGGATGGAAATGTGGCTCTCCAATATGGCCCCATGTTCCCTTGTATCACAATTACCTGTGAGTTTGCGTATCAAGAAAGTGAGAGGACTTAATTAAACAGAAACATACCCTCTTTTCCCAGCCAGTTCTCGTTAAGAACTGCGTCGTCGTCTCCTCTGTTTGCGGCTGAGGTAACACGTCCCTGTAGTGAATTACCGGTAGCCGACTATTCGGCGCATCACTTGTCGGACCAAGCAGATAGCATTCAACAGAGAAAGACATTTTAATATCACCTTTTTTTCACACCGCTATATCTAGCAGGCGATTCAATTGCTTTCCAGGCTATAAAGAAATATTTAAAATAAAGTAGACGGCAATTCAAATGCCCGATGTGCGTAAGCACCACCAATCATTGGTTGACAATATCTGCACATTTTTAGCTAAAAGTTTCGAGAAGAGGGGTTGAGCAAGACGGATATTCTTAAATTAATAATTGGCTACATATGTGAGGTCAAGTGGATGGTCACCAAATGCTGCGCTTTATGGACAACATGAATATCACAATCATTATAGGTATCTTGAAGCAATCCTGAGATAATAATCAATTATGTAGTAACTGCAACACGACCGGAATAATTATAGCAACGAGGTACGAGAATCGTGTGGCTAATAGTGAACAAATAATATCAAGACAATCTGTCTCTTTAATTCTCGATAGTTCTTCATCCTCCTCCTTCGATCTCAGCAGCTGCCCTGACGGCCCCTTTCGCCCTGATAGCAGCCTCCGAACGGAGACGAGCTGCCTCTTCGGTTCGAGCGTGGTCCTTAATCTCTCTCCTGATCCGCTCCCCGGCTGCCTTGATTTCTGCTTGAAATTTGACTTGAGCAAACGACTTTAGCAGAGGCTGCCCTTCAGGATAAGGCAGCGGGGGCGGGAGCTTCAGTTGGTGGTTGCTGTAGAGGCTGTGGAGAGTCAGTCTGCTTCTTGAATACCTATGTATGTAGCCTGCTAACGGGTACGAAAACGTACTTCTTCAAGATCATCGTTGTTTAAAGCCTCAGGTACTGGATTTCCAGTAACTCTAGTTTGAAGGCTGCTTGGGCAATCAGCGTCCTCTGCATGCTGCCAGGGTGGCGAAGGGTTTGCTTTTCTGACGAGATCGGCAATTCGAAAGAGCGCCTCCAGGGACATAGATATCAGCTCGAAGTTCGTGCAAATCACTTCGGATGGCTCTTCCTTGGTATCATCGAAGCCATCACGATGTTCCATATCTTTGTCGTCTTCCTTTGACTCGTAACTTGCCTGACTTCCCTGCACAATTGTGGCCACTGATGGGACGTTAGTTAGATACATGGTTTAAACGGGCTAATTCAAGCATACCATCATCAATAGCTTCTAAGAAATCGTCGAGCTGCTGATGAATTGCAATTCGAATATCTGGATCCTCTGCGAGTCGGTACTCTATTGATAGCTGAGAGCCAGGCTCTCTCAAAGCCCCAAGGTTTAGGGCCCACAAAGTGAATCTCTCTAGACCGTCTATGGCATCACTATAGTAAATATCATTCGATATTTCACTCTCCTTCATGGTCTCAATAAGGGTTATAAAGCGCTCCTGCACTGTGCGGCTCTTTTGAGGCAGAGTTTGGGCTTGTTCCATCATCGTCACCGCTCGATAGTGGTCGCGTACGACTTTGAAGAGATGATGGTCGATTTCAGCTTCGAAGGCAAATCCTTTAAGTTACTCCTTTTCTAGATAAGCTGTTACATGAGTTGCACAAACAAAGGAATCTTTGTTCACTATGATTGGACATTTGAACGTGTTTTAGACAATAGCTCGCTTGGAAGGCGATATCTATAAATTCCAAATCTCTTTGTTAATTCCCAGCCTCTTTGTTTACATCCAGTGGTCACAGCTTTGTCATGAACCCTGACCAGTAATCATTACCATATGCCTTTGTACCTAGTCTTCAGCAGTGTCCACGTGGCAGGCTACTAGCATACTCTTTGAGGTATCTCCCCTTGTTGTAGCTGCTCTGCAGAATCATCAAAAGCTAGCTACTAGTCTTATGTTGTTTTCTAAGACGGAAGTTGAGTACAGAAAATGCAGCAACGAGATAGAACTCAAACAATTGACATTTACGAGACATTTGAAGCGACTCTTACTCCCCCTAGTTGACAGTGAGAAAGGTCAGGAGCTCATTGATAGGTCGTCAGGAGAAGCGTGGAGGGATACATCAATGGTTGAACTCCTTGGGAAAATGCTTGGGGACTCTTACTAACTCTACTAAGAATACATCGATGATATAAATCATGTGATGGAACGGCGACAACGCTACGCGATAGCACTCGCTTTAGCATCTTTATTCTTCCAGCTTCTTGAAACGCCCTAGTTAACCTCCTCTTTCCATAAGGAGGATATTACCTTCTTCACCGACCCTACTAATACTAATATTTTTCTCCTTGATCAACCCCATATGGCACGCGTGCTTATTGCAAGTTCGTCTACAGGTAGAGTAGCTGCAAGCTTAGCAAAAACTCTAGATCAATTCGAATCTATTACTTGGATTATTCTTTGGAAAACTGCTGGCTGATCAACCCTTAAGAAAAGCATGGCACAAAGGGGATACTAAGGAGGAACGAGCTGAATATGATCCTCTGGCTACGAGAGATTGGCAGTGTGAGGTGGTTGAGGAGGCTGATCCAGATTATTCAGAAGCCGTTGCATGGTGCCTTGGTGGCAATCGAAGTGCATCACCCGAGAAATGGAGGCAGGATGAGAAATGTAGTGATACCACTGCAGTGTTGTCAGGATTACCTATTCGGTAAACAGTAGAATGGTATAAGTCTTGGAAGCGTTATTATCGGTTATCTTTGTCTTCAAAATTTTCAGCTCATATGAGTTTTTGTGTCCTAGATGAACGAGTTAGCATTGGTTGAAACGCTTACGGTCGCTCAATAATTGAGTGTTGTCCAGACGCCAAAATTTAGATCAGAGGCTCAAATTTCGGAAGTTACCAAGGTGATGACAGTCACTCTCCCTGAAATATTGATTAAATATTGCGCAATTGCTGCATAAACTGTGTAAGATGGTATTGTAACCAGTAGGCTGGAGAAACAGAGCTTAGCTCTACTAATTCACTCAGCTCGGATGCTTGCACCCGTGTGCGTGCATTTATTATTTCTCTGCATCCAATGTTGCTTCTCAAGCAAAGAGAAGACTACAAAGTGTTCTAAAATATTAAACACGATGGTAAGGCGTTGAGACAAATTTCTTGTTTGTTTCAGACAATATACCTACACTCAGATATATTTTGCTTTTCTGGAGAAGACACCACGCCACTAATTCGAAGCAAGGGGTAATTCAACAGAAACAATTAGATTAACTGTCTCATAACGTGTACATGGCAGCATACATGGTGGCTGCCACTAACCGCATGGCATAGTCCATATTAGATAGTGAATATGATGTATAATCTGCCCTTGTGGGGCGGTACTATCTTTAAAACCCAGTTACATTATACCGCAAAGCGATGTGAATCAAGTTTGCCATGCGGGAGGCCTATGAGGAGGTCCATGGGGAGGCCTACAACATATCTGCAGACGGTAAGTATACAGCAACAATTGTAACAGCAGTATTGGATTTTGCCTATAAAACTCTCAGGTACGCGCTGCCTCTTCGATCTTGAAGTCAGGTCAATCCCCCTTTCAGTGCTTGGTAGACTCATCATGGTTCTGACACAGCTCGCATCCACAAACTTGGAAGGGCTCTGCTCTAAAGAGCAGCTTGAACTCCTCAATACGGTCGACTCTCTACGATCGCAAGGAGTCAGCCATTACATCTCTTTGCCACAAATTATTGTATGCGGTGACCAGTCCTCCGGCAAAAGTTCCGTCCTCGAGGCAATCTCTGGTGTTTCATTCCCAGTCAGCACTGGGCTCTGCACACGCTTTCCAACCGAATTAATCCTTCGAACGGCACCACATACTTCGGTCAAGGTTTCTATCATCCCGCATCAACTACAGAAACGAGACAAGAAAGATGCCTTGTCCAATTTCCATGAGCAACTTGATTCAGTTCAGCAGTTGCCAGACTTGATCGAAAATGCCAAGGCATATATGGGAATAAAGACTCTTGGCAAGGCATTCTCTAATGATGTGCTTCGTATTGAGATTAGCGGACCGGACCGCCCGCATCTCACCATTGTTGACCTGCCAGGGCTGATTCATTCTGAGACCAAGAATCAATCGGCCTCAGACGTCCATCTCATCACTCAAATCGTCAAGAGTTTCATGTCCAAACAACGAAGTGTCATCCTTGCGGTCATCTCTGCAAAGAACGATTATGCCAATCAAATCGTCTTGAAGCTTGCTCGTGACACCGATCCGAGAGGGCTACGTACACTTGGTATCATCACCAAACCTGATACACTTGCTGCTGATTCCACAAATGAGAAAAGCTACATCTCTCTTGCCAAAAACTTGGATGTAGTGTTTCGTCTTGGATGGCATGTGCTGAGGAATAGAGATACAGACGCAGACAAATGGACTCTTGCGCAGCGCGATGTACAGGAGAAGGAATTCTTTTCCAATAGTGCTTGGTCAGCCTTGCCCGAGTCAAGCCTCGGCATTGCATCTCTCAGAGGCCGATTGAGTAAGCTGTTGTTACATCAAATCGCTACCGAGCTACCAAGCTTGATGGATGAGATTTCTCTCGAGATTGATGGCTGTGAGACGGAATTGGGGAAGTTTGGCCAGCCCCGCATAACTGCACAAGAGCAGCGAATTTATTTGATCCAGATCAGTCAATCGTTCCAAGCTCTCATGCAAGCTGCAGTTGACGGCACGTATACCGATCCATTCTTCAGCGACTCAGAATCGAAGCCAGGCTACGTCAAGCGCATTCGTGCCATTATTCAGAACCTCAGTCGCGACTTCGCCAAAGAGATGGAGGACAAAGGCCGATTTTATAAGACAGTGGACGCCCACGATGAAGGTGAAAAGCCCGACCACGGCCACATAATGCTAACTCATACTGAGTTCGTCGATAAAGTCGTCGACATGATGACTCACAGACGTGGCCGAGAGCTGCCTAATTCTTTCAGTCCAACAGTTGTCACAGATTTGTTCCGGGAGCAGTCGAAACCGTGGCAGGCAATTGTCATTCGCCATATCAACAAAGTCTGGGAAGCAGCTCGAGTGTTTGTGGACTTTTTGATCTCACACATCTCTGATCCAGAGACAAGTGACGCCATTATGGACGCGGTTGTGAAACCAAAGATGAAGGCAATACTGGATACACTCCTCAATAACACTGCAGTTTTGCTCCAGGTGTATCGAGATGATCATCCCATCACCTACAACAGCGATTTCGGCGAGGCTCTTCAAAAAATCCGCGTCCAACGACACGCGTCACGGTTGGATGAAATTTTGCACAAACACTTTCCGGGTTCTTCCATCGACAGCAGCAGCTCATCTGTAGATAGGAGTGTGAACTTCAAAAGCCTAAAGAACGAATTGGCACAAAGCATTGAGCCCGATTTATATAGGTGGAGTGCTGCGGAAGCACTTGATAGTGCCGAGGCGTATTATGAAGTAAGTTTGCAATTTCCAGCAGAGACATGGGTGGATCAATGACATTAACAATTACTAGATAGCTTTCAAACGCTTCATTGACGAGATCTCGATTCAAATCATCGAAACCGGTTTGGTTGCCGAAATCCGCGAGATTCTCAGTCCGCTGGCTGTGGCATACATGCATGAGGACGAAATGGAGGCCATCGTTGGCGAGAAGGAAAGCATTCGCGAAGAGCGCAAAAAGCTTGAAGCTAAGCTGAAGCTTCTCAACGAGGGTTCGGAGACGTGCAAGAAGTTTTCAGGACTTCGAGCCTTAGGTATGCGCGAGCCCTAGAAGTGCTGAACTTGACTAACTAGGCCAATGATAGTGTTCGATGACAGCAATAATGATGCTAGCCTTTCTGCTACCGCTTAGGCGAAGTCTCTGAAATATTCTTGGTTTGGGGAATTCTCCAGAGAAATGAGGCGCGGGGATCTACACGATGTGAAAAATATGGGGTTGAGTGTGAAAAAGAGCAAGAGTCTCATTTTAATTGATAGCTGTATGGCTTTGTTTGTATCGATACACCTATGGTTGCTATTAAGATTTGTCAGATTGATTAGCAAAACTGATTTCGAGTACTGATACTTCTACCTATTGTATGATTCGTGAAGAGGAAGAATCTTCCACCCAACGAGGTTATAATCCAGCTTGCCTTTACTAAGCCCTGACGGCTCGGGAGGATGGGAGGTATACCGCCATACGAACTCAACTGCAAAGAGATACAATTGTAAAGCGTCCGGTTTATACAATGACAATACTGAAGCGTTATTGGAACCGAAACATTACATACATGCCTTTCGGTTGGACTCCACGTTCTAGATGAGGGAACTAAAATGGATCTCCTAACAGATACCTTTAGATATTTCATTCAACGTCTCAGCTGTTTCCATGCGATCCACAGAAGTTCAATGAACTTGGTCGAAATATTACAGGAGTTATTTGATCTATAATCTGGTGACGCAATTGGTCATACACTAGTTGCTCACTCCATCTTCAGTATTGATATGCGTATAAAATCACTATGACAATAATCTTACATCATAAATATCTAACTCTCGTTTAATAAAGATAAATAGTATGTGTCCAATGTATTGAATCAACAATTAATTCTCCATCTTGAGTAAGAATTGTTGTTTTGACTCTCAGAAGACTAGAATGGCACCGAATGCACAAGACAAGGAAGGAAGGCCAATTAAAGAAGGCGACGAAGTCTGGACTCCAATTCGAGGCGGAAAACGACAAGGAGAAGTAGAGAAAATTGTATACACAGAAGAAGAAGCAAAATCTCTCGGCGTGAAGAATCCACCAAAGGTATCTAGCGAGAGCAGCTAACATAAATACTTTTAATGTTTATGGCAAACGGGCTGACCAGATGCAGGTGGTATTCACTGATCAACATGGACATAGAGTCGCACACAATCCAGAGGCACTAAAGCATGTAGATGAATAAATTCACATAAATTGCGGTGATCGCTATAAGAACCGTGGCATAGAAGCTTGGTGAGATGTCTGCAGCTAGTATAGTATATGGACATTTCGGATCTAAACATAGAAATGTGCTTATGGCAATGTAATAACAGCGGCTTTAAGTCTCAGCCTTCGTAATATTCAGCTCGTAGATATCATCTGGATCTAATTATAGGGTTAGCTGAGGTTATATCGCTCGAATACATTTTAACTCACCTTTTCCATATTCTCCAATGTACTCTTGTACTTTTGTCATTTCTTCGTTAATGCTTGACAATAGACCCGATAGTTTTTCATGTATAGCATCATTGTGCAAAGCTGCAGCATTTAATGCTCTTGAAGCCAGGTGAAATCGGCTTACGTTGTTCACAAGCATCATGTCAAAAGGCGTTGTGGTGCTGCCTTCCTCCTTGTAGCCCTCAACTGTCATGCGATGCAACGCTGGGCGCCCAAAAAGAAGCCCCTGTAACTCCGTCGCATAGCTATGATAGTTGAAACACACGGGTTTATCCAACGTGAACAGTTCTTCAAAGTCTTTTGGCTTGAGAGCATGTGGGTGGTGTGATTCGTGTGGTAAGACTAAGAGGTCGGTAACGTTGATGACTCTGACACGCAGCTCCGGTACAAGCTTGGCCAAAAGTTCTGCAGCTTTGATGACCTCAAACGTCACTTCGACGCCAATTCCAACAAGAACTACGTCTGGATCCTCGCCGCCGTATGTGCTTGCAAATTTCCATATTGAGATGCCTCGTTTGCAGTGCTCCATTGCGTCCTTGGTGGAAAGATATACTGGCGTGGGCTGTTTGGACCCGATCATCAAGTTTACATAGTTTTTAGACTTGAGACAGTGGTGCAAGGTGCTGAGGAAGCAGTTCGCATCAGGGGGTAAGTAGACTCTTGCTGTTTCGGCCTTCAAGTTCAAGACTGCGCCGATGAAGGACGGGTTTTGATGTGAAAAGCCGTTGTGTTCTTGTCGCGCCCATGTACTGGTTTCAATGTAGTTGATGGAGCTCAAGTCGCCTCGCCATGAGAGCTTGCGGCTTATCTTGGAGAACTTGGCATATTGAATCATCATGGTGTGAATGATTCCCAGGAATGATTCGTAGCTTGGGAAAATGGCAGTTCTTCCCGTCAAAGTATACCCTTGAAGGAATCCTTGACAACAATGCTCTGACAATATCTCGATGACACGACCGCCTTGGGCACGGGCGTATTGATCCCATTGGAAGTTTCGTCCCGAATGATCCAACACTGCGCTGAGTTTGTTGCTCTCCAGCTCATCGGGTGAGAAGATGCGAAAGGTCTTCATATTTTTCCTTGCCACGTCGTCGAGAAACTTGCCCGATTGTTGCATACTGCTAGCTTGTTCAAATTTCTCAGCGGCATGTGGTTTCCAATCCGGCAAATCGAGGCCACGATAGCAATCGTATACAACTTTGAGCTGACCTAGTCTCTTATACTCTTCTGGTGGCAGAATGTCCAGGACATCATGGGAAGGTTTTCCATCTGCCAGCAACTGATGCACCACGTAACTCTTCAACCAATCCTGCAATATCTGAAGGTGGTCTTCACTCTTGTTGGCCTTGGTCACGGGGACCTGATGCGCACGAAATGAGCCTTCAATTATCTCATTGTCAACTGTTCGAGGTCCTGTCCATCCTTTGGGAGTCCGGAGAATAATCATCGGCCAACGAGGTTTCGTAATAGGACTGCCACTTCTCGCAGCCTCCTGGATCTTCTTGATCTCCGACAAAGCCCAGAACAACGCTGTGTGTAATTCAACATCTATAAGATCCAGGTCTTCCACAATACACACCTGATAGCCGTAACCTGAAAATAACAGGATCAGCTCTTTGTTGTCCATGCACCCAAATATGGTCCGTTCACTAATTTTAAATCCGTTGACGTGAAGGATAGGGATCACTGCTCCGGATTCTGCTGGGTCCAGGTATTTGATGGAATGCCATGCCCTAGTACCCGTTAGTAAAATGTAAGAGCATATATAACTTGTCCTTTGCGTACGCTGCTGTAGGGCCAGTCTCAGCCTCACCATCGCCAACAACACAGGTAACAATTAGGTCTGGATTATCCATCACAGCGCCAAATGATACCGATAGCGCATATCCTAGCTCACCACCCTCGTGGATACAACCTGGAGTTTCCGGGTTAATGTGACTTTAGGCATGTTAGTAGTCGATAACTTCCAAGTTTATATGCATCGCCGGATCACAGACCTCGGAAATCCTCCAGGGGTAGAGAACTTTGTAATTAAATTATGCAGCCCTTCTTTATTGGTTGGGTATTTGTCTGGATAGAATCGTTCTAGTGAACCTTCGAGCCACAGGCAAGCCAATGCAGCAGGCGCTCCATGACCGGGTCCAATAACGAATAGCATGTCCACGGAACTATCGCGAATGAGAAGGTTCAAATGTGACCAGATGAGCACGAGCCCGGGACACGTCCCCCAATGTCCTTGATATGGCAAGTCAGCATTCGTACAGTTAGAAGAGCAGAAAGATGTTTACCTAAGAGCCTTGGCTTCACATCTTCCAGCCGGAGATCACGTTCTAGAAGGACATTGTCTTTGAGGAATATCATAGCTGTTAAGCTGTTAGCAATGCGCGTATAGCGGCGTGCGTTCTGAGAAGCTCTTCATTGCACATACCGCTAGCGATATAGCACGCAGCCCGTTGGAATTCTCTTAGTGAGCACAAGTCATGGCTGTTTAATGGCGCCTTTGTCGGCTTTACGGCCAAATCTTCTGTTGAGGCCGGGAATTGGCTGGGCAATGGCGGAGGGTTCGGTTGGTCGATAACTTCACCAGCCATGTTGCTTTACTTTACGCAGCAATGTGCTTTTTTCGGATGTTAAGAGAAGAGACTAGTTGTATTGCCAATCTAGCGACGATGTTGGTATTCATATCGCTGCTGGAATACCGGCACACTTTGTCCATTTCAGGCCTGTTGTGGAGATGCCTGCATGGTTGATTAAACGATTTGAATCACTTTATGATGGCGACATCACTCTGTCAGAATATCTTGGGACTTCTTATCCATTAGCGATTTCATGACGTTTAGTGGACGTCATCCAAACCGTCGCTCATCCAATGCCGTCACTATTCGTTCAAGGGTAGCAGGATTTTGCGCATGTTTTGAGAAACAAAAAGGAACAATATTCACATATGAAGCCCAGCATGTGGCCCTTGATTCAACAACATGACCATGCTATGTTTATTAAAAATTTCGTCTCATTTGACTTTCTTGTTATTCCTTACAGTGCAGTTGAATTCATGTGCTAAAGTAGTGTATTGGTGATCATGACGCGAGCCTTGAGATTATTGTTACTTGCTGATCTGCAGCACTAAATCTGCGTACTATCTATCACCAGTGGATGATTAGGTCCAAGAAGGACACCCTATGTATGATGGCAGCTGGACATCGCTAAGTACTGAAAATTATCCATTTACGGATAATCCTTGAGCGTACTGATTTGATACAGAATGGCGTGAATTTCGTATACAGAAGCCACTTGACGTGCTATGCAAGAATCACACAGATGCCCAACGATAAGGTCAGAAAGCCGATGAAGCAAAAGGCGTTCATCCAGACGCCATTGATTGATACGTGACAACTTTTTTGCAACCGGCCAACTAGTGTTCTGAAGTATCGGCAGGGCCTTTCTTTGATGGAATTTCGGAGCCCATCTTGCTAATGCCTTTCGTGTCATGGTATCCTTCGTGATCCTCCCGACTGGCAGTTCCCTTGCCTCCACCGCTCAAAATTGAAGTTGTATGTAATCTGAAGTGATCCGATTTACTCGAGGCTTCGCCGCCGCCAACACCGCCAGTTGGCAGCTGGACTTGGCCACTTTGAGAATCTCTTTCGGATCCTGAAGGTGCTGCAGCATTGCTTGGGCCGCCGGTCATTCTGTTGCCCCCAACACCTGCACTACCCAGCCCGAGCTCGCGTGTTTCTTGAGCTTTGTTTCTCCGTATTTGCGAATTGTCTGTTTTGGATTCGTTTTTCCGTGTGGCATAGAAAATGACACCAACCATGCTTACACCGGCGATGGTTGTCATTGTGAGCCGTCTAGACATCTTGTAGTAGTGTGGAGGTGATTTTTGCTAGAAACTTTAAATAATCGGTAAGATAATAATAAGGGTTTATTTAAATTGCATATTTGAGATTTTACGAACATATATAATATGCTGATCCATAGAGAAAGTTTGTTAGTCAGAGTGTGGTGTACATAACAGTTCTCGATGACGCATAGTCGAAGGTGAAAGTTTGACAGAGAATGGATTATGTTATAGTGATTAACCACTGACGTGAACGATGTCCAGCATTGATTCATCGAAAGGTAAAGAAGAGTGGCGGCGTTGTTAGTTATTTGATGTCTGCTTTACATTATTACAGGGTGTTGGGCTCTTCATCAAAAGTGCGCTATTTGCCACCTCATGAGCGTTCTTCCACTTCCATTGCTTTTAAGCATTCCCATGCTCATTGAGCTTTGCAGTCGTTAATATATCATCATTTGTATTTGTTGGTACCGTTACGAGCAAATGTTCTTGATCAATACCCATGAAATTTAAAATTTCACCCATTTCAAGAGTACCCAAGCTAAGCAATCCCATCCTTAATTGCCTTTAGCTGCTGCCGCCCATACATCTTTTGCTGGTTTTCAAAAATTTGCAGATTCTTGACTATGTGCGCTATCCGCCTTTGTTCTTTGTCGTCCGAGCCCGTATGGGTAGTAAATGTGCTCCTCTTTCGTCTTTTGCTAGTACGTTTTTTTATCTCCGGAGCTGGCCCGCCATCCTTTTTGTCATTCGCTCTTTGTTCCGCTTTAGGAATATCTGGAGGAGCAGTATGGGCGATGAACGTATCTGGTCGTGGTGTTGGTGTTGGTGACCATGATGGATTTTCCGACACGTCATTGTCACAGCTGGGTTGCCCCCAGTACGGGTTCTCTGCCCATTGTTCAGCTTATATCTTTTTATCTAAATCAGCATCCAGCATATATACTGTTCTCTTACCAAATGAATATGGATCGATAGGCTCAGATAGCTTGCTCTCTGCAGGCTCGCATTGCTGGCCTAGATATGGGTCGACAGGATCTGCCATTCTTCTATGTTCGCTGTATCGAGATCTCTCGTGAGCGTTGTGGTGAGTTGGCATATTTAAGCTGAAATCTGTATTCATCTGCGCAACGGCCAGCGGAGTAAACCTTCCTGCAGCCAGACGCACCTCCCAGTCTTCCATTCGTGTTGAGGCAGATTCGGCGCACCTCCCAGTCTTCCATTCGTGTTGAGGCAGATTCGGCCAGTATGATCCAAAGAGCTGTGTATCGTATGTTATTTGACCCAAGTCAATGAAACAACATGATGACGCTCGTAAGCTTGGGCACTATCGCGGGTGGTTCCTTCTTTAATATATCTGCGCATATTCTATCTTGTTGCGATTGGAAGGGTTGCCAATGTAACAACGTGGCGCCCCTGATTCGCGGATCTTGCATTCCATACGCCACAAACTCTTGATACTCATGAAGGCGATATCGATGTGTCAGTGTCTTCTTGTGTCTGCAGATTTAAACATTCCTTTGCGTGAGGCTGCACTTGACGAAGAATCTGACACACTGACTGCGGCTTTCATTCACCAATCCATCGCATTTATGATACTAAGATTTGCTACCTATGAAGGATTCCCCATGAATTCGTGTGTAGATAATTGATACATCATACATCATACCCCAAATAATTCATGGAGTCCAGTAAACATATCAGGCAGAATATTCAATGTCTGAGAGATCATTCTTAAGGTTGCCTCTGACAAGAGCGCGCAAGTGGCGACGGGTTGAGGCGTAGATTCCGTCATGATTAAACCATGCTAGAAAGCCCTCTGAGCCAATCCGGCCCAGCCATCGGAAGCCACCTCTTAACTTATGGCAAAATGTGAGAAATCGGTCAGGAGTTGCACTCAAAGGAAGGGTGTGAGTGGGTATAACCTCTTTTCATTGCACTAGAAAGGCAGATCAGCTACTCTTTGGTTGCTACCCTTAAACCCGACAAGCTCGTGAAGGTGAAGCGGCAACTTCCACGCTTTCTGTACGGAGTATCCAAGCGAAAAACATGCACTTGCTGAAGATAAACGCACTTTGGTCGGAATCTATAATATGGTTAATTGTTGAAGAGTGGAACAAAGATGTCGAAATGCTGTGACATCTCACACACGAATTATTCTCCCCTTGAAGATCAAGTCTTGACGTCACGTTGAGCAGTGTGAATCTCGATATTTACGCCATAGCTACGTATAGCGATGTAGAGCAAAGCATCATGGGGCTGGAAAAGTTCAGACGGCGATGGGATATTCCCACTGTTTTATTCCCATTAATTTCCTGAAATGTATTTTGCGAGACGTCAGCAGGTCTACGGTGAGATGACTGTCCAGTGTGAATCCGCATAACATTCTCTATACAATTTGTCTTTGAACAGCACGAAGCGGTGTTTCGTTCATCCGATATTACGCAGAATTGTCCTATACATTTTATACTATTCAAGCGATTCACAGCTGCTTCCCCAATGCTTGCCAGCGCCAACACGTCGTCCATCAACGGCCATGAAGATGGTCCCCAAAGCGTGGGCAACGACGAGTCATGGATCTTGTTCGTCGCAGGACCTACCGGATCAGGCAAAAGCTCTGTTGCGAAATTCCTCGCTTCAGAATTACAAGCTCGCTTCTTAGAAGGGGATGATGTGCGTGTTTCATGAATTGACTTTTGATGACTAGAAACATGAGGCTGACGCCATCAAATAGCTCCATCCTAAAGCCAACATCGACAAAATGCATCGAGGAGAACCATTAACAGACTCGGACCGCCAGGGGTGGCTTGAAGCAATCAATGAGCAAGCGTCATCATACAACAAGCATCCGTCCCAGCACCATCACATGATCATCACATGCTCTGCTTTGAAGCGAGCCCATAGGGATATCCTGAGAGAAAGCTGTCAGCGAGCCGGGTATTCTCTCGTGCATTTCTTCTTTCTAGACGCGCCGGAGTCGGAGCTGCAACGGAGAACAGAGGCCAGACACAACCATTTTGCAAAGGCGAATCTTGTTCATAGCCAATTCGATGTGCTGGAGCGCCCGAGGATCGATGAATACGATGCTATGATTATTAGCGTAGTACCGTCGCTGGACGAAGTGCAGAGTGAAGCACTAAAGGCGGTAACTCGACTTTTTAACAAAGAATCATAAATGCATTGCGCTCTATCTGACTCCTCTGCAATCACTTATCACAATGAGCATGCATATTACCATTTTAGTTCAGTATCATGATTTATAAAGATAGCTACAAGGCCATACAATGACTTTTATATACTCCCCAAAATGTCTCTATGTGGTCTATATATTTGTCGTATTTTCATTGTGCACTGAAGCGCCCGTGCTTTGGTGCTCTGGCTCTGTCTTGACATGAGATGTCTATGTCTAGTCTTTTCTGGGTTGTCAGAATCTGCATCAAAAAGGAGATATTAGCTTCCACATACCTAACACACATCCGAATTCCATTATTGTTTGTTTTCACGGCATATTCTCTAGAAGTAGCGTCTGGGATATGTCAAGTTGTAATCCTCAGCCGCAGCCGTCTATAGCGCATCAATGTTTCCATGTCGTAAAAAATGTATTTGTAGTTGACTTCATGTTGTAGATCGATCAAGAATCATGAAGGGGGGAGAGCAGTACCGTACGAGCCCCCAGTTCTTTGCATCGATCTTGGGTTGTATTGAGTCTTATATAAATTTCACAAAAGTATTTTGGAGGTCGTAATTGAGAACTAGTTGTCTTTCGGTGAAATAAAATAGTTAATTATTCACTGATCCTTATAGATGACGTCGACATTCTCGAGACAATGGTTCACTTATACATGATTCCTCATCACCATGCGACCAACGGTGAGCGGGAAGTAGGTCGGGTCAACACTCTCCCGACCATAATCACTTTAATGACATCAAACATAGATAAAGTTTTATTCTTATTTAATAGATCCCTTCGGCTAGATATGGGCAAGTCATTCATCCATTATGTCATTTTTGGTTAGTCAAACTAACAGAGCAGGATCATAGACTCTGTTTCAACCCCGTCGGACGGTTTAATATTGCAATATCCGTGTTATCAGATACCACCGACAATTCCAAATCTTCACCAAGATCGAATTTACCATCTGTCCGCCATCACTTCTGGTTATAACTCGGAGGCGTCTTATTCCCCCTCTCCCTCCAAGCATGCCAACACGAATCAGCATCTACTCATAGTTAGCCACCTCAATCCCACCCACATCCACCAAAAAAAAGAGAAAGAAACAAAGAAAGAAATCTTACCTCCATGAATCTTCGGCGAAGGAATACTCTTCCTTGCCTCCCTCTTCTCCCTATAATTCGTCCCAAACCTCTCATCCCTCTCCTCCACCCTCCCAAAGTCCAAATGCCCATCACTCGTATAACTCATCATAAGCTGCGGCTCCCCCAGCGGAAGCTCATCCCCTCTATCCGTCTGCCACAAATGATACGCTTTCCCGTATAACGTGATGATCTTCTCCATCTCCCTCTTCTCTGCTAATTCCCATGCTGCTTTGGGTACCATGCGGTTAGGCATCACTAACATCCCTGATTTCACTTCGTATACGTGGGAATGCCATAGGCGGCGCTCATCAGCTGGTAGAGATTCGTAGCGTTTCGGTGTGATCATGTACTCTATGCCTATGATCCGTGCATTGGGTTCTGGAGAGTCGTATAACACACATTGCCGAACCTCATCATCTATAATCAGTCAGTATGAGTACCTGTATCCTCAATCCAGTCAATTAATAGCTCCAAGTCTACTACGCACCCAATTGGCTGCAGTAATGATTCGTTTCCACGGATCGCATAGGATCATTCGCATAAGCGTGGAACGCGTTAAGATGAGCACATATATTCTTAACCGGCTTAAAGTCCTATATTCTCCCTAGTCAGAACATCATCCACACCCAAGATATTTCAGTAAAAGCTACCTGTGTAAAGGATGCCGCACTCGAAAGCACAGTGTCTTCCTTAGGCAAAAGATCACCCGGAGTTTTGTCGTGTGCTTCCGAACCCATTTTCGGTGTGTATTGCCTTCGAGTCCAATAGAATGCCGAGTTGTGATCACATGGAATGTTCAACTCAATTTGCTAGTGCAATTGGGAACTGATCTTGTCTATATATACAGATCACTGAAAAAGCTGGAAGGAAGGGCGTTCATGACGTTGACGAACCATCATCAGTATTTATAGTCCGCGATTTAGCGTACGGTGATATCACACCACGTCTTGTCGTTCCACAGCCGTCGTTCCACATCTTACAAAATGTACGCACTGTATATTTTATCATTGCCTTTTGTAGTTACTTCGCAAATTAAGCACTAAAGCGGCTCAATCTGGCGTATATCATAACCTAAGATGTGGCCGCCGATCTGATGAGCAAAAAGAGTGACCTGCAAGATCAGCATATCGAATAGGATGATCAACATCATGTACGATGTAACTCCAGATATTGCCATGAGGACAAATCATCACAATTAAGACTAAACATTGTAATATATCACACAACAATACAATCCTTCAGGTGTCATTAAGCCGCCATCAGCAATCTCACATATATATATCGACCATGTATATCGACCATATATATACAAACACAACGCTCCCCCAATCCAACCTCTTTCATACGCCATTAAACAAACAATCAACAAGTAAAAGATAAAGATAAAAAATAAACGCTAATCCCACCCATCTTCTTCCCTCCCCTCTTTTTTCTGTAACCCGTAGAATTTTCGCCCCAGCCTCCGATTTGATATGCTCCAACACCGATTTTGTGTTTTGACAGAATAAAACAGAAAAAGCAAACGCATAACAGAAGAGTACTACAAAAAATATGTAGACAGCAGGTGTGTTTCCCTCGTATATCGAGTATATGTACGTATACCCCAGAAGCATAGCGGCGAAGCCTTTGGTATTAAAATTACAACTGTAACATGCTTTGGGTAAAGCAAAAGGGTAAAACAGTGGACAGGTGGTACATATATGACCCTAAAGTCATTCAACCAGTCGTCTTGGATCGTGACTGAGACCAGCTTAGCCTCTTATTTCTCAGTGCTTCATGATGCATGTGTTCTGCCATTGTTGGAGAAGCAGCAGCTTCTTCTTCATTCATTTCCTCAGGCTCGTCAGTCTGCACTACAGCAGGTTGTTCTCGGTGGCTCATCCTCTGCGTAAGAGCAGTAAGCTTGTCCCTCAGACCAAACCCTCCGCTGCTGACACTGGTGGGGCCAGGATTCTTTTTGTCGAGATGTCCAGCGCTGGTAGAGGGCCTTGATTCGCTGCCGCCTGACAAGGTCCTCATAGCATGGCGGTGCGATCCTAATCCCTGGCTGGAGGACGGCCTGAGAAGCTCAATGGCCAGGCTGCTGTGGCCATCGCCTCTGCTGGTAGTGTCTACTGGCGTTGGGGGCGTCATTGTCAGGTACGATGGGACCTGTGGAATATTCTGAGCAGAGCCGGTTGTCAAATGAGACCTGCTGCTGGTAATGCTACTGCTGCGACTTGCAGATCGCGGAGCCGGAATGCCACTGCGAATGCTGCTGCGAGTAGACCGCGGAGGCGAGCGTGAGTAGTCTATCGGCGACGTACCGTACATACTTGCCGAATCATCGCTGTCGTGTATGCTGGGCGTGTAATTCTGAGACAGGCTAGAAGACATTGGTGAAATGAGAGCAGAGCTGCTCGCAAGTTCTCTTAGCCTATTCCGCTGCTCTGCGTTGGGCTTGTGCTTTGAGAACTTGTTTCCAATAATAGCACCTGTATGTGAAATGAGAGCTCTCACAACGGCCTTTTTCAGCGCCAAAGCGAGATCCAAGTTTGACCAAGTCTTGTTCTGCCACTCAATGAGAGGAAGGCGGAATACAAAGTTATGAACGTCTTCAAAGTTGCGTTGGTCTTTGCCCTTGTAGCTGAGACACAACACAACGGACGGTATCTTGATATGCGCAAATGTTATGTAGTTGTTGGCTCGCTCAATCATCTTGGTGAGATCATCAGACATTTGCTTGTCCTCAGTGTTATGCCTGCCTCGTAAGCCGAAACGTGTCGACTTCTTTGAATCCGAATCCCGGCTGTCTCTGGACGAGAATCCAGTTGAAGACCGGCCAATAACGCCAGGTCGTGGAGTCGCCGTCAATGGCCGCATAGACTCAATCGAAGACTTCTTGCCCAGTGTTCGTGACGTGCCTGAACGGAAAAGTCTGAAGTGGCCGCCGCCCTCGCCGTTGTTAACGCCTAGGGTCTTCTTTGAGGTTCTTTCCTCTGCGACGCCGGATGATAGTGTCGGCTTAAGACGCAGCTCGAGCGAACCCGGGCGGGTTGAGAATGAAGTATCCAAGCTTGGCGTACCCGTCCTGCTGATTGTGCTCTTGGGGGACTCGTTTCCTTCTTCATCCGCCTCATTTGAATCGCGCCGAACTACAATTGAAGGATTTGTCTTGGATTCTTCATCAGCCTGCTCCATATCCATACCAGGGAAGATGTATTCGAAAAGACGTTTGCCGACTTCACGTTCCAGCTGGATCTTGATAGGAAATAGCTCTATCTCGAACTGGTCCATAACGGGGATACCTGCTATGGCCTCTAACATGTACCAGTAGACCCGAATCATGTCAGAATCGCCGTCGCCATATCGAGTGCCTGGCCTCTCGCCTTCGTGATATGGAGTTATTATCTCCGGGTATGTCGCGTCCGGCAAAAGGTTCAGGCCAAGCAACTTTCCAACTCGAACCAGATTCATATGGGAGCCATCCGAGTGATCGGTGCGGTCGTATTCTAAATTCTTAAGTTGAAGTTCAACCAGCGGCTCATTCGAATCCTGCATGAGGTGCCAGACAATATCTCTCACAGAAATGCTCCACTTCAACAGCGCATCAGAGCGTGTATTGTTCTTTTCGAGTCTTCTCTGTGAACTCATGATGGCTTTCATCATGAAGAAAAGTTCATCCTCAGAAGCAGCCAAGTCACGCTCCAGGGCCAAGCGATCCTCCCATCCTTTCTTGTCCAAATGCAGGGAGTAAATCTGGAAATGCGATTTGATTTCTTCCATCTGCCTGATGCGGTCCTGCAGTTTCATCACCATTTCTGGAATGCCACTCAGGTCACTAAAGTCAGACCCGAGTATAATCTTCTCCAAGCGCTCGTTCCTCGTCTTTTCGAGGGGCTCGCTGTACATGAGCAGATCAAGCACGATGACATACACCGCGTAATACTGCGATGAGTTACAGAGAGCGCGAGCTTGCGGGAATTCCACCCAGAGATTGTCCACACGTTTCTCCGTGGGCTCTTCGGTGGGTTCCTCTGTGTTTTCACTATTGACTTCGTCGTTATACTTGAGACGGAGGTTGTTGTACTTGTCATACCGAAGCATGGCTGAAGTTTTCTGCACAACGCGCTTGAAGCCGAATGGGTCGGTGCGGAAGTCAAACATGACCTCCATAGGTACCCATGGTGGCCACGAGGAACCCGTGGGCGTGCCATACTTGCTGCCCGCATACATGGATACCACGTTGGTGAGGAACCATTTCTGATGCGTGACGAAGAACTGAGTGCTGTCCATGTTGACCAAGAATCGACGTTGAACAAGGCCGCTGACTTGGTCCGAGATTCGCGACTTGTCCATGACTTCCACCACTTTCAGTTCCATTCCTTTTGAAGTAACCAAAACAACGTGCTTCTTATTCTTTTCACTCTGCAGCTGAATTTGCGGCGCGATAAGCCGCACATGATAACTGCATTGCGGGTTGAATTCATCTGATATACCGCTCTCCAAATCTTCAAGGGAACCTTCCACAACGCCATTGGCATTGAGAGCAAAGCCTGTGCTCGTCGAGAATTTCCGTCCATCCGCCAAGATACCTTTAATCCGGTCTTCGAGATCTGTTGCAGCGTCCTTTTCGTGAGAAGGAGTATCTGGAGATGTGGGAGTCCCGTTGGCAGCTGATGCCGGCTCTGAGTTCATGGCTTTCCCCATCCTAGCCTTTGTCTGCTCGTCTACCATGTCCAGTATGAATTTCACTGCTGGTCTGGAAAGGTAGTATATAAAGCCACGTCGTTGGCTACTCTGGTGGACATATCGCAGCACAATGTTACGCAACAGGTTGTTCCACTTCAGCTGCATATTGTGAATCACGAAGCGGTTCTCAAATTCGCTTTCAAACTCAGCATTGGAGGGTATCGACGGCATGTCCATGTGATCACTCGGAGAATCCACGGATCCTTCGGATCGATGCGTGCTCGCCGCTCCGCTTGATGCATGGCCATTAGTCGAGACTCCGTTATTCATTCGCTCCAGCATAGTTTCAAGGAATGCTCTCTTGTCCCGAAGTACATTAGAATGCTGACGAAGGGTATCGAAGTCTTCCAGAATTTCGTGGTCCTTGGAGTCAGTGCGTATCACTTTCAATTCAGCCTCGCCCACGTGTCGGATGTGTGCTCGGATCTGCTCATCGAGTTGAGCCAGACGCTCTTTGATTAGATGTGTCTGTACACTCTTTGGGTCATTTTCTTCACTCATAGTACAAAAATGTGTAGGCTCGTTTCCAAATGGGCTTGTTCTCGTAGGGTCTCCAGCAATAATACCCCCAATGTCGGTCTGACGGAAGTAAGTTAATCGAGGGATATAAGCAAGAGGCAGAATCTTGGTCTCTGGATGAGCTTCGGTGGGTAGAATCCAATCTAACTCAACAAAATCGTCCATATCAATCCAGCTGTAGTCTCCGTCGGGAATTGTAAAGCGAGATACATCCGGCTTCTCATCCTGATCGTGGGTGAGATGTGAAATTGATCCCTTCTTGATGGCCTCTGTCGTGGTACCATATAAACTGGCAGAGACGGCTCGAATATCTGCGCACGCCAAGTCCAAGTGTGCTGCATGGAGCTTGATTCCCGTGATTCTACTAGGCGAATTCTTGGTCTTGGCAATGGTATCGAACTCTTCTCGGCGCTGATGAAGATCAAGCATGAAGCTGTCGAACCGAACTTTCAGGCCAGTGGCAGAGACGGCGTTTTCAGAGTAGTCTTCGGCATCTTTGTGCTTGTAAATGTGACTCAGGAAC